CAAAGGAGATCTTCAAGGCAGCCATCAAGACAAAATGGGAGACATCGAGCAACATCCCTGAAGAAACCTGTGTGGAAGAACACTGGAAGTCTTTGAAAGCTATGTGGAAAGAAACCTGCACAACAGTATTAGGAAGGAAGAAGAAAGAAGACAAGGAATGGATCTCGACGGATACCTGGAAGCTGATAGAGGAGAGGAGGATGGTGAAGCAGAAGATAAACCAGTGCAAGGATGCTCAACGACAAGAGGAACTGAGCACAATGTATAAAACACTGGACAAAGAAGTGAAGAAGAGTGCACGCAAAGACAAAAGACACTTCTACGAAACACTGGCAAGTGAAGCAGAACAGGCTGCAGGTAAGAGAGACCTGACGACATTGTATCAAATAACCAGGTTGCTATCAGGGAAGAGACCAACACAGATGAAACCAATAAAAGATGAAGAAGGAAATTTAATTACGAAAGAAGAGAAACAGAGGAAACGATGGGCCGACCACTTCAAGAAGCTCTTGAATCGACCACCACCTGCACTTCGTCCAGAAATACCACCTGCAGCCGCTGAACTACAAGTGAACATTAATCCCCCAACGAAAATGGAAGTCCTGAACGCCATAAAGCTACTGAAATGCGGGAAAGCAGCAGGACCAGATGGAATACCGCCAGAAGCACTGAGAACAGATGCAGAGACAACAGCGGACATGCTCACACCACTATTGCAGAAGGTGTGGAAGGAAGAGAAGGTACCTGACGATTGGAAGAAGGGTTACCTTGTCAAACTGCCGAAGAAGGGAGACCTCAGTGCTTGCAAGAACTGGCGCGGAATCACTCTCCTGTCCACCCCAAGTAAAATATTAAGCCGCATCATCCTGGAGAGGCTAAGGGATGCACTGGATTCAAAACTACGACCGGAACAGGCAGGCTTCAGGAAGTACAAATCATGTGCAGACCAAATTGCAACGCTTCGTATCATCATAGAACAGAGCATAGAATGGCAATCACCTCTCCACCTCAACTTCATCGACTTTGAGAAGGCCTTTGACAGCGTCGACCGAGAAGTAATTTGGAAACTGCTTCAATACTACGGAGTACCGCAAACCTTTATCCGCCTCATTCAACAACTATATGAAGATGCTACATGCCAAGTAATCCACAATGGGAAGCTCAGTGATGCCTTTGAAGTGAAGACAGGAGTGAAACAAGGTTGCCTACTATCCCCCATGATATTCTTGATTGTGGTGGACTGGATCATGCAGCAAACAGTAGGCAGCGAGAAGAGGGGGATACACTGGACGACGGAAAAGAACCTAGAAGACTTGGATTTCGCCGATGACTTATGCCTAATGTCACATAAACTTGAAGATCTGCAGGCAAAAACTAACAAGTTGACAGAAGAGGCAGCTAAGACGGGACTTCAGGTGAATATAGAGAAGACAGAAGTGATGAAGATACCGCACCACCACCATCAACAACAACAACAACAAACTCCAATCACCGTCAACGGGAGAAACTTAAAGGAAGTAACCTCCTTCACTTATCTAGGAAGCACTGTTTCAACTACAGGCGGGACGGACGAGGACGTCAAAGTCAGAATCGGAAAAGCAAGACAGGCGTTCATTAGCCTGAAACCAGTGTGGAGATCTTCTGCACTCAGCATGCGGAACAAGATACGGATTTTCAACACCAACGTCAAGTCAGTGCTCTTGTATGGCTCAGAGACTTGGCGCGTCACGAAAGGTATTTCCAATAAACTACAGACATTCATCAACAACTGCTTACGCTCGCTGCTGAAGATCAGATGGCCAGAAAAAATAAGCAACAAGGAACTCTGGGAACGAACCAACCAAGAACCTATCACGCAACAAATATGCAGGAAGAAGTGGAGATGGATTGGCCATGCACTGAGAAGGCCGACTGAGGACATCACGCGTCAGGCCCTCGAGTGGAATCCCCATGGGAAGCGACGAGTTGGACGTCCGAGGGTGACATGGAGGAGGTCGTGCGAGCAGGAAATGAGAGCTTCTGGGCTGTCGTGGGACCAGGTTCAAAAGATCTCAGAGAACAGAGGTCACTGGAGGCGTGCTACTGAAGCCCTATGTTCCACTAGGAACCCAAGGGACTAATAATAATAATAATAATGAGAAGCCATCGCATTTAGGTTCAGTGAAGTCGGATAAAAAGGGAAAATCTTTATGGCAAACAGACAGACATAATCAACGTAGAACCTGGGAAACAAATACATCACTTCGAGTTGCCACACTTCACAGTAGTATACAATGAACATATAGATAGGAAAAGAGTGATATCAGAGTATTGAAAGATGTATGAGAGAATAAGCTAGATGAAGATAAAGATAACTCTAAATATTTAAGCCTTAAAAGACGTCAAGGTGTGGATACACTCGCACCATTAGGACTAATTTTCACCCATGTCTCTAAGAGTTCACAACCATTAATTCTATTGACCCCAGTCAGGTAGTCTACACCTTCTTACGCGGCTCAGACGAAAAGTTAGAGAATTCATGCACTGGTACTACGTTTTAGTCTGACCATCTTGAGTCTTCTTTAAACTTAATCTAACTTCACCAAGCATTTCACGTTGAGGTAAATGTTGGCTGAGCATGAGTAGTACATGTTTAAGCTATCTCAGTTAATGAAGATTCACAACGTCATCAGTCGACTTCCCTTCTTTGCCTGATAATACTGCTTGCATGATGATTGTACCAGACATCAACAATGCTATAAAGATACCCGTGATCAAAATCCTGTAACTGCTTAAAGGTCATATCATGTCTTCAGTTGGTATGATTACAAATGTGAACATTTAACATTATAACCTTTTGACTGAACAGTAACGTGTTATACTTGAAAACTTACGGTTCTAGGATTCATCACTTACAAAGTCCCTGGAGCTCACGTTCTAAAATGGGATGAAACAAGTCAATTGTTTCAGTGTTTTTAACGCTCATTTAGCTGATATAATCCATGATAGCAACCATTGTGCAAACAAATGTCTTCTCTAAAGCCTTTTGTACATTTATGTTAATATTCGCGTTTATAAAATTTAAATTAATTGCCTAAGATGAGATGAATAGGCAGCAAAATAACAAACTACATAATTTCAAATAAACTACTACGTGAGTAATAGATCAATCACCCGCTACCCATTCACACAAGCTTCTTCAAAAACAAAGCAAAGTAGTCTAAGTATTTGCTGAAGGTTTAAAAGTACTGGAAGCATAAATGTTATCCCCGGTATCCATAAGGTATATGCTAGTTACAACAGACAGATCAGTGATTTCCTTCAAGTATGAATAGTTTGAAATATGCTAAGAAAAACCAGATGAAGTCCATTCTGGTCAGTTCATCCATTTTACTTTCTACAGCAACAGCGTTTGGGTATTGTGAGGAGGATATTTACCTGAATCAAATTAGTTTAGTTTTGGGGTTGTATAATGACACAGTTGTAGAGAAATAGGTCAGCCAACTGCTAATAGGAGAGACCTGACAAAATTGTATCAAAAAACCAGGAAGAGATCAACACAGATGAAATCAATAAATGATGAAGGAAATAAAATTACCAAAGAAGAGAAACAAAGGAAATGATGGGCTGACCACTTCAAAAAGCTCTTGAATCAACAACAACAACCACCACCACCTGCAACTCATCCAGAAATACCACCTGCAGCCACAGAGCTACCAGTAAACACAGGACCTCCGACTAAAGAAGAAGTGAAGTCCTGAACGCCACAAAGTTGCTGAAATGAGGGAAAGCAGTAGGACCAGATGGAATCTCGCCAGAAGCACTGAAAACAGACGCAGAGACAACAGCAAACATGCTCACACCACTACTGTAAAAGGTTTAGAAGGAAGGAAGGAAGGAAGGAAGGAAAGGTACCTGCTGATTGACTGAAAGAAGGGCTACCTTGTCAAACTCCCGAAAAGGGAGACCTAAGTCATTGATGCAAGTGGTGCGGAATCATGTTGCTGTCCACCCGAAGCAAAACATTAAGCCGCATCATCGTGGAGGGACTAAAAGATGCTCTGGATTCAAAATTACGACCGAAACAGGCTGGCTGGATTCAGGAAGTAAAAATCATATGCGCACCATATTGCAACTTTTCGCATCATCATAGAACAGAGCTCTTTACTGAAGCTCAGATGACCGGAAAGAATCAGCAACAAGGAACTCTGTCAACGAACCGACCAAGAACCTATCACTCAACAAATATACAGAAGGACATGGAGATGGATTGGACATGCACTGAGAAGACCATTCAGGGACATCACGCACCAGGCACTCGAGTGGAACCGAGATGGGAAACGGCAGGTTTGGCATACGAGAGTGACATGGAGGAGATGGTGTTCGGAAGAAATGAGAGCTCGTGGGCAGTCGTGGAGCCAGGTTCAAAAGATTGCAGAGGACAGAATGGAATGGAGACGTACTACTGAAGCTTTATGTTCCACTAGGAACCCAAAGGATAAATAATAAATAACTGATGATAGAATCTTTGGATACGGTAAAAAAGGATGGAAGTTTCTAATCCCGTAAGAGAGATAAATGTACCAATTAATTACCGTATAGTCAAGGATATTTTATCTGATCTTCAACAGTCACTGGATTTCTGTGGCATACAGAGTAAAAAAATTCAAGATAACAATAGATGATGTTTGGAATATGCTACAAATTAGTTGAAATTGAAAAATATTAACCGTTTTATTCGGACATAGACATCGTGTTAGAGATCTTAGTCACTTAATTCTGAGGAGTTTGAAACTGTCAGCAATTGCCTATCCTGTTCATAGGTGAATTTTGATCCGTATCAATAACTCTTTAGAAGCTCAAAATGATAATCCTCAAATTCTTCTCTTAGAATCATGAGTCAGAACATTCTTAACAGTTTAGAATTCTTATCATGATTCCAGCACTGGATAATATTTCAAACGTTAACTCTTACTTTCTAAAACACTGATCCGATCTAAAAGAAATTTAACAATACTTACCACATAATGAACGCCAGTAGGAAATATCAGTCATATCTGAACAATCTATCGAAAATAAGGTTCTGTTTGAATGCACTGCCATGGTATGAACTTCATCGAATAGTCCGTTTGGATTAGGTTCTTTGTCGGAACAATTATTTTCATTGAGAAAATTATCATTCAGTTTATTTGGAAGAATTACTGGAAATATCGAATAGTTTATACCACAGAATGAGTATTATGGCTTATATGTAAAGAATATTGTTTTTCACTTCAAGCAAACAATTTTATTTACCCAGTAACGTTGTATATGACTCATTCTAGCGAGTATTGTGACTTTGCAAATCTTTTGCCTCAGTGAATGAAAATAAAACCACATAGCTTTACCAGGGATGGGTAGTGACTAGCAATGGAATCCAGTAAGTGTGCTTCATCCAGTCTGAAACTCGTCAGCTGTATGTACCTGCCTCTCAGTGTGTGGTATTGCTCACACTACCCGGGACCAGTCGTATCAAACGCCAGAGCGCTATCCATTAGGCCACTGATCCTTGATAGATGTAGTAAAGTTCAGATATTGCAGCTTGTAATTTATCTTTATTTACTGCATCAAAACAAGTGTATTCTTTTAGCTTGAAATTGTCATGACTGATTCCAAACTTCGGATATTTAATAAAAGATTAATCTAATTATAACGTGTCTAACTTATCAATACATAACTATTTAAAATCCTAGTGGGTTGAACAACTAGGCCCAATTGAATTAAACCATTGGATGCGTATTACTGACTCACTTGATTGGAAAAGAGAAAGGCTGAGCTAATGTTAAAGTTACTTAAACCTGATGAACGAGCACCATTGATTTGTTTAAAAAAAATTGCTTACCAAACAAAGAAAAGACTCAGTTGATCAATATAAAGTTCGGCTTATAGGTTTGTATGGAATTTATTTATTGATTTAACGTTGGTATTCATCAGTTGGAGAAACACTGGGAACCCAAGAGCTCTGGGCAGCTGTTTCATCTTATTATAAGACCTCTCAGCTGTGTGCACCCATGAACTCGATAGAGATCAACCCAGGATTTCCAGCTTCCGCAGCCAGTATGTTACCATATAATCACTGAGCCTGAATCCAGTGGTTCCCATTTCCTACTTCTGTCAGTTCATGATACGGTGTGAACTCCATTCAGTGCTGTCACTGAGTGACTACTAATACCTCTGAATCGGTTGGCTCCACCGGTCATAACTTCTCATTTGAGCTTCAGGGAATCTTATCTGGAGGCAAGTCCCTAATGAGTACTAAAGGAATCCAATTTATTGACTGCATGCTAAAATATGTATTATCCTGAACTGACTACTGATTAACTGCTGATTGGGTTACAAGTACTCTACTTTGATTACATTTTTCGATGTAGATGACTGCTCAACTTCATTTATTTGCTCGTTCTTATCTAGGTCTTCGTCATAATCGTTCTTGTAAATGTATGCAGTTATTGGAATAGTATTAGGTATTTGAATTCATTAGGCATGGCAGTAAGATGGTCACCAGTCTATCATAGGAAGTCAGTTAACATGCTCAGCCATTTAGTGGTGGCGGAGACTCACTGTCTGAAAGGGGTTTGCTAATCTATTGAACTGATGGTTACAAGAGGAGTGACAGCACTTTTATCGCCATGATTTCTGTCATTAATGTTTTTGACAGCGATCCATAAAATCACTCTAGCAGCTGCTGAAATAGCCAATTAGGTTTCTTTATTATTTGAAAAGATACTTTTGCTACTTAAATAAAGAAAATAAATCGGTTATTTACAGTTATTGCTAGAATGGCCATTAAGAGTCACTCACATACTACATAATAGTTAAGTGATTTTAAGAAAAAAGCCTTGAACACTACTGGATATGGGCGGGTGGTTTTCAGCTGCTTACAGATCATGGACGACTATTTCTCCCCGAGGTATATGAAAAGGGATTTGCGTGATCACAGAGCCCATGAGGCATCTGCTTTAGGTCTGTCATATGCAGCCATTTCAAGATTGTTGCTATCAGATGTGATTGTTCTAACACCGGATAGAGAAAACCCATACGGCCGGCAGCGGAAAACTATGAGTCGGGGAGGAGTATGTTATTTTTGGGGTTGACCTTTTGTAAGCCGCCACCTTCCCATGGGGAAGGCAGCATCAACATGGTACTGCTGGTCATCCAAAGGAAACACCTTACGGCTGTCACAAACCATCTAGCCATCAGTGTGACTTCGCCCACACTCCTCATCACAGTGCATCAAATCACAGTAAAACAGTATCTCCTTTTCCTTCTACCATTATCCAACAGACCTTTCTGATATAGTGGGACTTCTAGCGAACAAGCATTTCAGCCGGTGCATCTGGGTGGGTCATTGGGATATCCAAATCTAACCACCTCATCAAGGTAGTAGCTATCAGGAGGATGAGAACAAAGTGGAAAATACAGCACTGTCAACAAGTTTTTCAGTCGGATAGGCCTGGTACTTTAAACAAGGGATGATAAAGAATGGAGTACAACCCCATATAGAGACGACATTTAGGCTAATGATTACCGAGTGGTTATTTTTTTGTACCTGATCATCTTAGAAGACTTTCATACCCAAGTTGTTTTGTACTTCAAACTGCAACCCATTGCCTAAGATAATCGACTTGTGACTCGAATTACATATAAGATGTACATTCTACCTCTCAGCATTTCCACAGCAAATACTACCATTAACGTATAGGAACTAGTCATGGTCTATACATCAACTGGTCCCAGTATGGTAACCAGTGTCATTTTATCTAAAACTAGGTGCTGACAAATTTTGATCAAATAATGTTTGACTAGTGCTGTAGTACATCAGCCTATAGCGTTCGCAGCTTAATGAGGTTTAAGTTCGTAATTACAGTTTTATTTTATGTGCATACATTTGAAAAACTGAGAAATAGTACGTCGCATTCACCCCTAGATTATAGTTTACAGTAAGTCTAAGAAGATTTAGTAAGTCAGTTAATCATGCACTCAACAACCTTGTAGACTTTCGTACAGTATACACTGAGCAACATCTACTGAGTGAAGGCAAACGGTACTACGTGGCTGCCTAAATGTCAGTGAGCAGAGAGGGATTCGTACCCGTTAACCATTGGTTGACAAAAAAACCCCAAACTAATGATTCTCAGCTCCCTAAGAGTTTAGTAAACTTAGTCTTTATGAAAGATTACTTACAATAGACAGCAGAAGATACGAAACTATTTTGATCTGAATAATATCCACGTATTTGTTTGGTAACCTGTGGTTGAAACAATTCCTTGATACGCGTACGTTTCTCAGTTTCAAATGAATTGTCTGTATGCTCCATACTGTTGGTAATGTTAACGTATTGAGCCAATACAAAATTTACAAATTCTTTTGAGATGACTGAGAACTACAAAGGTATAAGGGTAAACAGGTTTTAATAATCAAACGATACTAAGCTTAACGTATGCTAATGATGGGCAGTGGCTACCATCATTACTATACATAATTAAAAAACACAGGCAATATCGAGGCATCCGCACAGCAGCCCATATGCCAACAGAGACTGATCAATTCGGTCCAATCAACGACGGTGTTATACAAGCAATAACACTTAACGGATACTGTTAACACATTTCAAGGATCCTCAGCTATGAAACCAATGATTGCTAGATAAGTGGTCTGATTGTGAATCGGCTTAGCTAAGACATTCAACCGGCTTTGGTTATGACTCAACTATTGAGAGTTTATAATATTTTTGTGAACGTCAACCTAGTAGGAGTAACCAAAAACATTCTGTAATCGATTATTCACGATAAGCTATGATTACTATTATTTTTTCCTTAACAAACGGACCGTATAAATGAGATATTTATGAAGATACTATTGAATAATAGGTAAACCAATCTAAAATCTGAAATTTGAAAGTTTGCGATGGTTCAGATAAAAGAAACGATATGAAATCATAATAGTAATAATAATAATATGCCATGTAACATCGAAAAGCTACCATGATTAGTAAAACGTAACGATTTGAACGAAAAATATCCTTTTAACAAATTCTCATTAGATTCTACAATTATAAAATGGGTATATACAGTGTCAACTCAAGCCAAGTCAGAGACAAACACATTTTCAAAATGGAGTAAGATTTCAGGACTGTAAGGAGACCGACTTTCTTTTGTAAATTTGTCAGTGTTGGGATAACGTATTTACATATGAATGTCATGGTGGACGAAAAGACAACGAATAACAAAGGCATTGGTGGCCTTTTAGTCTACAGAAGATCAAGAGAGGAATAAAGTTTGACATGATCTTTCTGAATGCACAGTTCAAGTTTGATCAACTTTACTGTGACAGCCCTAGCTATATGGAGCAAGTCCTAAATGAGAGTTAATCATAGTAAAGAAGAAGAGTTTGTTTCTGTGTTTACAATTCAGGAGAGATGCCCCAATTGACATCCTATCAGAACCGCCTAACTAGAGCAGTCAGTGGGACGTTTTTTGCAGGTTGACTTTGTATATCATTCGGTAGTCGGTAAATGATCAATCCGAGATTAAAGATTAGCCTACCTATCAGTTTAACTGTTGCTGAAGAACAAGTTACATGCTGCTTACGATTAGGCGGGTGCGTCTTTGGATATAAGAGCATATACCATTTTGGTTCGGAAAAGATAAAGTAAAAATGGAGAAACGTTCTAACCTAGCTCACCTAGTAGACACAGGCCATCACATAGATTTTAATGAAGCTCTAAGTGTGGTATATCGTATTTCAAAAACAATACCATGTGTAGCTCCCCAATGCCTGCTCAATATATATATGAGGCTGGCGCAATAAGGTTGATCAAACCTGAACTTTGATTTCAGAAAGAACATATTCAAATGCAATTCCTTCCCTGGCCTTCAGTAAACTAAAAGCCACTCCTGTCCTCGTTATTCATTATCTTTTCATTCACCATGGTGTTATTCATATGTACGTATATCATCCTAACATTGACAAATTTACAGAAGAAAAATCGATTTTCTTACAGTCCTTAAATCTTACTCCATATTGAGTGTGTAGTTGTCCCTGATTTGGCTTGATGTTAAGCTGTAGCAGCACTGAAGAAATGCTTGATTTCTTTGTGATTCAATAAAACAAAATCTATCAAAATATTTTTCAATGTGTACACAAAGTTATCATATGATGTTTTAACTTTGTAGACATCTGGATGTATACTAGTTATACTGGAAGACCCTTTCTGAATATAAAGAAAGACATTAGGTGAACTTACTAGTTCAGGTTTCATAGCGATACAAACTAAAAATACATGTGTTTCAGGCATTTTCTTTGTAGCTGTGAATCCAGGTAGTGGACGAATAAAGTTTAGATTTGACTACAATTTATCCAGATTTATAGGTATACAAAAGAAAAAAGAATAACATTACAGTTTAGTATAAATTCAAATTAGTTTATGTAAATAACAACTTGAGAATAATTTAGTCCTGTCTAAATTGTTATAGGCGTAATAAATTAAGTTCATTGAAGTTTATTTTCATTTCAATATATCAGTGGGAACCGTTTCACTAATCATCAAATGATGAATTGGACTTTTTGTTAATCAACTTCCTCCTTTATTTCTGAAAAGTGGATAGGTGTAACTCATAGGCTTGAAGATTTGACTTTGAAACAATGAATACCAGGTTCAAGCCTTACTCCATGTAGTTGGATCTGGCTGTCAAGGAACATAACACTCCATTACTCTTTATCCCAGTGCTAGATTTTACTCTCATATTATGAAGGCGCCCACTTATTAAAATGATTATAAATATAAAACGTCATGAGAATACCTTAATTACTATAATTAATTGATTAACAATTCAGTAATAATATTAGTAACAGTCACCAGTTATAATCAGTATAGGTCTGGGAAATCCTGACTATTTCAGACAGTCAAAATTATGATCAACATTATGCACCCCCTCACTAATTCAATTCTGTTTTCATTGAGATGAGAAGTCTTGCCTAGGTAGCCAGTGTGGATACGATAGAAACGGGTAGTAATGGATCAGAAATGAGCATGGGAATAGAGCAAAATCCTTAGTGACTGAACCAAAGTTAAGATCTGGTAGCCATACGGGTCTCTTAGTCCGGTTGGTACAGCACAGCTCCGGTAACCCGAAGGCTGTTGGTTCAAGTCATTCCACGACACAGTGTTTCATTTCACATTCAATCATCACACAATATCAAAATTTGAATATGGCTGGAAGATGAGAAGGAAAAAAGTTGTATTTCACAACATAAATGGTTTTATTTATTTACTTATTTTCACTTTGTTGTTGTTATTATTATTATTTGTCCTTTGGGTTCCTAGTGAGACGTAGGGCTTCAGTAACACGACTCCATTCCACTCTCTTCTCTGCAGTCTTTGCAACTTGGATCCACGACTGCTCACAGGCTTTCATTTTTTCCTCACATTATCTCTTCAAATGTCACTCTCGGACACCCGACTCGTCATTTCCCATTTGGATTCCAGTCTAGGGCTTGGCACGTGATGTCCTCGAATGGTTTTCTCAGTGTATGTCCAATCCGATCTATCTCCACTTTCTTCTGCATATGTGTTGGTCGATGGGTTCTTGATTCGTTCGTTGCAAGGCCAACCAGAGTTCCTTGTTACTTATTCTTATTATTCTGACCATCTGATCTTGAGTATGGAGTGAGCGTAGGCAGCAGCTGTTGATGTATGTCCGTAGTTTGTTAGAAATGTTTTTCTTAGGTCTCCAAGTCTCTCAACTATCACATAGAAGCATTGACTTACTTGACTGACATTAGTATTGAAAATGCGGATGTTGTTCACGCTTTATGCTGAGTGGAATGGAGTAGGTCTCTACACTGACTTCAGATGAATGAAGGAAGGTCTATCTTGCTGTCTTTTCGATCCTAGATTTGACATCCTCATCTGTGCCGCCGCCACCTGTAGTTGAGGCGATGCTGCCAAGGTAGGTAAAATGGGCTACTTCCTTTAGGTTTCTCCTGTTGATGGTGATTGGTGCTTGTTGTTGTTGGTTTGGTATACTCATCACCTCTGTCTTCTCCACGTGCACCGGAAGGAAGTCCCGTCTTCCTTCGCAACCTCACTTCTTCTGTCAACTTGTTGGTTATTGCTCGTAGATCATAGAGCTTGTGGGACATTGAACATAAATCATCATCGGCGAAATCCAAATGTTCTCCTAGGGTCTTTTCATTGGTTCAGCCATCGTATGCCCATCTTCTCCCTCCTCACGGTTTGCTCCATGATCTAGTCGACCACAGTCTGGAAGATCATGGGTGATAGTAGACAGCCTTGTCTTACTCCTTACTGTCTTCAATTCAAACGCGCTACTGAGCTTTCCATTGTGAATCACTTGGCATGTAGCAACATACAGAATAGCATATGGTTGTTGAATGAGGTTGATCAGGGTTTGTATCACTAGAACTGCAGTGTTGAAGCAACTGCTCATCGAATTACTTATCGGTCGATGCTGCAGAAGGCTTTTTCAAAGTCGATGAAGTTGAGGTAGAGAGTTGATTGCTATTCTATACTCTGTTCTAGGATGATGCGCAGCGTAGTGTTGCGATTGGATTCACATGAAGCCAACCAGCCAGCCTGTCTCGGTCGTAATTTTGAATCCAGAGCATCTTTTAGTCCCTCCACGATGATGCGGCTTAATGTTTTGCTTCGGGTGGACAGCAACATGATTCCGCACCACTTGCATCAATGACTTAGGTCTCCCTTTTCGGGAGTTTGACAAGGTAGCCCTTCTTTCAGTCAATCAGCAGGTACCTTTCCTTCCTTCCTTCCTTCCTTCCTTCCTTCCTTCCTTCCTTCCTTCCTTCCTTCCTTCCTTCCTTCCTTCCTTCCTTCCTTCCTTCCTTCCTTCCTTCCTTCCTTCCTTCCTTCCTTCCTTCCTTCCTTCCTTCCTTCCTTCCTTCCTTCCTTCCTTCCTTCCTTCCTTCCTTCCTTCCTTCCTTCCTTCCTTCCTTCCTTCCTTCCTTCCTTCCTTCCTTCCTTCCTTCCTTCCTTCCTTCCTTCCTTCCTTCCTTCCTTCCTTCCTTCCAAACCTTTTACAGTAGTGGTGTGAGCATGTTTGCTGTTGTCTCTGCGTCTGTTTTCAGTGCTTCTGGCGAGATTCCATCTGGTCCTACTGCTTTCCCTCATTTCAGTAACTTTGTGGCGTTCAGGACTTCACTTCTTCTTTAGTCGGAGGTCCTGTGTTCACTGGTAGCTCTGTGGCTGTAGGTGGTATTTCTGGACGAGTTGCAGGTGGTGGTGGTGGTTGTTGTTGATTCAAGAGCTTTTTGAAGTGGTCAGCTCATCGTTTCCTTTGTTCCTCCTCTTTGGTAACTAGGTTTCCTTCACTACCATACATTGGTTCCATCTACGTGGATCTCTTCCCAGATAGTGATTTGATTATTTGGCATAATGTTGTCAGGTCTCTGTCTCTCCTACCTGTAGACTGTTCTGCTTCACTTGCCTATGTGTCGTATAAGTGTATTTTGTCTTTGCGTGCACTTCTTCACTTCTTTGTCCAGTGTAGCATTTTATATGTTGTGTTCAGTTCCTGTATTCGTTGTTCATCCCAGCACTACAATGCACTGCACTAGTTCACCTTCCGCTTAATCATCTTCCTCTCACTACTCTAACAGATTCCTTGTGTTCATCGAGATACATTCATTGTCTTGTTGCTTCTTCATTCCTAGCACAGTTATGCAGGTTTCCTTCCACATCTCCTTCAAACAGTTCAAGTATTCTTCGGCGCTCCACCGTTCAGGGATGCTGCTTAATGTTTCCCATTTTGTTCTGGCCGCTGACTGACGTGAAGATGTCCTTCATAGTTTCGTCCTTCACTTCACTTTCTGGATATTCAACTTCAACTGTGGTCTGTCACCAACTTCTGTGAAGGCTTTAAACTTCGTTTGAAAAGTAGGTTACTTGCACTAGATATCCTGATGGGCTGAACCAACATCTGCTCCCCTTCTTCATCTGATCCCCTCTCCAGTAGGCTGCATCTACACTTTCTTCACACTCAGATGACGTCGATCTGATTTTTAGTGTAGTATACCCTGGTGTCTGGTGAAATCAAATCCATGTCTCTCACTGCCTTGTGAATATCCTCAAAAGTGTTTGTACACACTGCCTGACTCCAATCACCAAATCGTTGAATGCACAGAAGTCTGCAAACACTTCTCCATTCTCACTCATCATTTCACTGAGTGCTTGTCGACCCATGATGAGTTCTCTTCCTGTGTCGTCTGCTCCCAGTTTGGCATTTATGTCACCCATCAGAATAAATTTTGATTTCACCATCTGGAGTAGTCTCCTGTCCATTACTGATTGCAGTTGTCTGTAGAATTTCTCCTTCTTCTCTTCATCTGCCCAATTATTTGTAGGTGCGTAGCCAAGCATTGAATGATTGTGACTTTCCTTCCTTGTGAGTTTAATCCATTTGGCTGACATGATCCTGATCGTCAACGAGACTGATTCCCACTGCATGAGAGGCTTCGATATTCTTGAGGAAATCATGAAAGCCACTCGAGAACTCAGTGTGCTCGTGGTTGTCCTCTGGGTGACAATATCGGAGTAGATTATTGACTCTCCAGTTGACAGTTTGGAGAGTCCATTCCATTCCACCCACTCCTCACGCAGATTCCAAGCACTTCCATGCCACACCTCCTCATCTCTTTTGCAATCTGATCAGCCTTACTAGGTTTGTACATGGTGTGGACATTCCATGTCCCCATCCTCACTTTCGCTTTGATCGAGGGAGAGGAGACACATCGACCGACTGGATTCGCTAAGGCTTTCACCAACCGGCATCATTTCATCTCTCTGATTCCAGTTGGGAATAAGTTTGCTTTTATGTTTTATGATTTTCTGTGCTTTGAAGTTTGTTTAGCGATTGGATTAGTTTTCTGGGGTAGGGTTGGTAGCCCTATGCCCAATCTTCCCTCTTTATTCGGGCCTAGGACGGGCTAGTAACTACTGAACTAGTTAACTAGGCGAGGTTTCACTTTATTTTAATGTGGAAAAATGCCGACATTTCGACATTTGTTTATGCACTCATTATTCAATTACTTCAAATACTAAATGCCTAGTGGAAGTCAACGAAAGATCTTATTCAACCAGTGCACATGATCTTCACTTGCAGTAGATAAATTACATTTCTTAAGGAAAACCAGTCATTTTGGACAACCAGATTCCGATCAAATAAATACCCAATAGTCGTTCTCCCATTTCCGTGTGAACTCGTGGATGAGTGTGTACCTAGGATGATTTCGCTTCAAAAACCTAACAATTTTGAACATCCTCATTTTGGGATAGCTGTTTTTTGGACTATCGTTAGACATACTCGAAAGAAGACAAACCGACTGGTAGACAAAATCAGTCTGGGACCTTAAAAAGAAGTGCATCGCTTCAAGTTGCCGTACTCCATTCACAGTGGTATACAAAAGACAAATGCATAGAAAAAAAGTGGTATCAGAGTAGAGGAAGCGGTGTAAAAGGGGATAAAAGTTAGTGCAAATATTCAAGATTAAGATGTCAAAGAGCGATTACGTCTGCGCCAATCTGATCGGTCTCCAGTCATGTGACCAAGAGAACAAGCCACTGATTCCTGCAGTCTCAGGGACCCCAACTGGGCAGTTTACATCTAGCAACACTGCTAAGATGGACAGTTAGGGACATCACCGACTGATGCCAGGTTTTGGTCTCTCTACTGTGAACACTCTTCCAACCCAATCCAACTTCCTTTGACATGCCACGTTGGGATGCGCAGGACATATCCAAGCCATCTCAGTTGACTAAGATTCACAACCTCATTAATCTACGTGCTGGCCTATCTTGGCAAGTGCACTTCACCTGGTTTCAACACTGCTCACGCGGTGATTCCAGCAGACGCAACCAATGCTAAGAGGACATCTGTGATCAAAACCCCGTAATCGCTTCATATCTTCTACTTTGAACGGCCATGTCTCACCTATGTAACTAGACAGAACGAACTGCAGCACATTATTCACATTCTCCGGCAGATAGTCGGACATCTCGCCGGCGCCACAGGTGACGCAAGTTTGCAAATACCAAACAGACCTTCTCTATCTGAGCTGAGATTTTGCCAGCAGCCAGCTCGTTCGAGCTGCTACAACTTCGCAAGTAATTGAAGCGGTAAAAACAAGTATATTCGTGATCCAAAATCCAAGGTAGGAATTGCGCGATCAGATGCTACCTACATGCAAAATCTTAATGAAATTTCATATTTTTACCGTAACTAAGTGTATTATTCTCACCGAAGGTCATAAAATAGGGAATCTTTGATATATGTAGTTTCCGACTCAAAATAAATCCCCAGAGTCAGTTTACTATCTTATTGTTTATTCAGTAGTGACCACCATGATAGCAAAGTTTTCCTTCAGCTTTACATCATAAAACAAAGTACTTGTCATACGTGTCACAATTTATCAAGCCACTAAAATCATAACCATCAAATGAAATTGCCTACTAGTTTACTAGCCTAACCGTTCCTGTGGAGTGAATCATCTGAGCCGTATTCAGAAGACTTTATCCCTGCCGACTGATTAATAAGCATATATCAGCCTGACTTAAGAAAGGGATAACTAAATCTGTTTCTGTTATTGGACACTGACATACCGAGTGCCAAACATTCTGTCTGAAGACGTACTGTCATTCATAATTGAAAATACCGAAAGCAATGACAGAAAGTGGGAAGGTTCTATGAAATAAACTACCAGTTAACATTATTGGTTCCAAATTACTTGCATTGATCAGCAGAAACCGCTGAGCATACCAAGATTATCTGATTTCCGGACATTCATTCAACTTATGGTACGGCTGACCAGTAATAAGCACAAATCGACTCAACCAAGAGAACTCAGTCGAGCCTTCAAGGTTCATTGTCAAATGGACCACTTAATAAGGTCCAAGTATTTTGGTTTGATGAAGTTTCATAACTGGACTTCAAACAGTTATACCATTCTAACCATGTACCGCATAATTTGCAGACGATTTATTTTATTTTAGAAGAAACTGGACTTATGTATTCGAGCGAAATAAGTTCAACCTTTCGATTCACTGTGATCAACTACATGATAAACTTCGATTTTAAGGTTTGTGCGGATTTATTTGATGATTTCAGGTTACTATTCATCGTAGACTGGTATAAGTTGGAAAGCATTGGAATCCTGAGAGAAGTGAACAACTGATTTGTCCTATTATGGGACTTCTCAACAGTCTGCACCCATACTCCTGCCATGGATCAAGCACAGGACCTTCAGGTTCAACGGCTACCATGTTGCTATTGAGCTGTTGAGTCAGAATTCAATGATCCATGGATCGAAGCCAAAACCATTAGACTATGACTCAGTGACCCAATGATACCGTACTCACAGCGAACCCAAAGGTCCTGGGTTCGACCCAATTTACTAAAACTGCTTACCTCAAGTGTTTCATTCCATAATAATGGTTCATCCAGGACTGATTGCTGCAAACCCTTTAAATTTGGTAGTTTCTCCTCTAACAGTTGAATACAATTTGAAACCTTATAAATAAGAAGAGGAAGGATTTAATTTTGCAGTTGTAAACGTTTGGAGAATATCAGTATTTTCACGTGAACATTTAATCATATGTATTTCTGAATGACACATTTCTAGGTATAATTTATGTCATTCTGAAGGTTGATATATCTAAATGAAAGTAACATAATCAACAAAAAGTCACTTCACTGATTCACGACTGAGCTCACTATCAGGGATGTTGAGAACCGAGTGGATCAAATCATTCAAATCTAGCAAGCTGAATTGGATTGATCATTAAACTAAGATCTTTTTAAATTCCCACCAAAACTGATTTAAATGGTAAAAGGCAGTAAATCGTTGCTGACTGTATCAGACAAACCACAAATAAACAGAAAAGTGAACCTTGATTGGCCAATGAAGGGAAAAAATTTTTCATATTCTTCCTAAGAACTGACCGAATTCTGTCGATTTGCTTTCAACGTAACCACGAAGCGTGGAGATACATCATCGCGGTGCGCGTTGATTAACCCTGGTTACGATTGCCTACGACCAACTAACACAATGAAAAAAATGTTTCCGTCAAAAATTTAACGCTACCAAGCATCACTGATGCTAAGATCAGTTGTAAAGTGCAAACCAAGAGTGGTAAAGAATTCAGTTACTGTTTAGCTGTTGAAATTGCTATCATTCCCCAGAAAACCCATTACATTACAAGTAGTAGCATTTTATTGAGGTATTTATCCAGTTTCACCACCTGTACTTAAAATCAAACTGATTGGAGGCTAGTATCCTTAACTTTTCATTGGGGAAACTATGAAACCCAAACCAGATAGCCATTCTACTTCTACGCTTCATAGGAAACCTCTTTACATGAACTTACAGTTCAAGGAAAACCTACTGGCATAAATAGTCTGATTAAGTTTCCCTGTTTACCTAATACTTCCGTTATTTAGATAGGATAAGCTAGCACCCTTGGCCACCTGAACCTAAGTCTACCAATTCACCTACTGCTGTGGAGTAGAGCATATTGCCTTTACTTAGCGTTTGCTTTCTGAATATATTTCTCATCATATACTCACTTGATTCGACAAAAGAGAAAGGAAGGTACGTTGAAGCTCTATCCTATGTTATTTGATCGATTCGAATTATCTGGCAAATGCAAAAAACAACCTCAGTGTTACCTATAGAGTTTTTGCAAACCACAAGAGAAGTGTGTGTCTGAAACTTCTTGAAACTACCAAAGTCATGGTAATTCATATTTTGAAGCCTGAAATCTACATTCAAAGACGCTTATTCAGTAACTTGATATCCAATGCACATGACTTGAAAGAGCATTTCACCGCCAAAGTCTCCTCTTTCACCTGTTAACTAGTGTATTATGTCTTCTCATAGATGATATTCTTCCACCCTTAGAAATATTCCATCATTCAACTTTGTGATGTACCATTGGTGCGACCATTTTAAACAATACCCAGGTATACTGATTAAACTTAATTTTTACGACGATCAACAGATATACTGATGAGAAGATTATTTCAGTCACCATAAATAGAGACTAATAAACTTGTCGTTTCTATCTGTATTCTGTCCTGCTAATAATCTTGATGCCTGGAACACAGAGACCCTTAGTAGATTCGACAATTATATCACAACGGTTTAGGCAAGTAGTACTAACTCAAAGTCTTTTGTTAGCTGCTGAAATTGATACGAAGTAACAAAACGGAGATCAGTATTACTAGTCAATGATCAGTGAACCAAACCTTTCTAAGCATGAGTTTTTGATATTTGCTGTTCGTCTTAAGGATAGACTTTTTGAACAGACTAACATTTCAGTGACCTAACCTTAATAATTTACTTTGTCTTTTCTAAGCAAATACATGTGTGATTTCTCGTAAAGGCTGGCTTTTGTCTTCCGATATTTTCATACCTGAGTGAGTCATACAGTACTGGAGAAACAATAGTTATTCATGTACCTTTCTGGTATGGCCAGGTTTTCAGTATTGCATACTACTCGCTTATCTCCTCAGATTCCCTCATTTACTTCTTCAAGAAACAACAAAAACTAACAGTTTTGGTATTATATGCTATCTGGGTCGCTTTTATTTGAAGCTAACATTGTAAACACATCGTTATTTATTTGCGGGTGCTGTGCTTGAATGATGCTTAACTTGTTGTGATTTTTGCGCCGGAATATGTTACGAGTAAATTCATCATGATATATGCCAGCGTATTTTGTTTTTACGTTGTATGTAAATGGTGAACCAGCAACTTTTTGGAACAGTAAGAATATATCACTAAAGGCAGTTCCTCATTCAAAACCAGAGTCACTGTCTGTTTATTTGATTTATGTAGGATCTCTATGTTGGTAATACTACTTAATAATAAGTCAGTAAGTCATGACTACTAATTTGCTCAGCTGGCAAACATTATTTCCCTGTCAGTTTTACTGTAAGTAGATGATACATAACTGTGTCAACTCTAATCTTCTCCAGTCTCTGTTGTTTTCTGTATATTTTACCCTCGGACACTACTTTTCTCCAGATTATCTTCATTGTAACTTTTTGAGATACAGAGACCCATGAAATGGATTTTGCATACTGAAATCCAGTCTTCATTATTTATTATATTTATTCGAAAGATGAAAACTGCTTTCCTAGATACCGAATTATCTCGTAAAACTTGTATTCAGTGATAACCATGATACATTGATTCAGGTCTCAGTCTTTAAAGCTTGTACTTCATAGAAGAAGGATAGAACAAAGAAGAAACATTGTCCAACATGGTTGTTGAGAGGCCAGATAAGAAATATCAACAGTTCTGTTTCAGAACACTTTGTCATCTCATGAAATTTGGCCTTTTCTACGCCCTATTACAACTACATAAAATGTTGACCACGTCATCTATACATGGTCGAATCATTGGCAGTTTACAGCATTAGATCTGATCTTTGAGTTTAAGAAATTTACGTGCAACTATTCACCTTATGATGACCATAGTAATGATTTACTCCTGCTCTTATAAACAACCATTTAATGATAATGATAATAATAACAATAACAATAATAGTCACTTTATTCCGGACAACTTTTAGTACAGTATGGAATTCGTAGAGTGATATTTTAAAGAATTTACCTTTTGTACGGTATTTTAGAATTAAAAAACTATGGCAGATAAACAGTGTTAATAATAACATTATGATGGGCAGTAAAGCATAACAACTAGTCAAATTTAGATCATCATCCACTTTGTATGTTGTTACACATGTTTCGGATAGAAAAGCACACGTAAGTTTAACCATGGAAATTTATTTATTCAGTTTGAAAATTAGCTGTTCCAGCTACGTATTTCTATAATATTTATATGATTCAGTGTTATACGTTCATGGGCCAGCTACTGTCTACTGTGATATTTTCTCGTATTTTTTGCTGACAACCCATCTAACGATAGATTGAAGACATTTTAAGAGTGCGGGAGAGTATGTTTAACGATTAGTTGACATTTGAATGGTCAAAACAAATAAAAAGGAAGCATTTAAACTCAATACGTTCGATGAAATATTATTGGTAGCTCAAATTTCAGACAAGCCCCCAAGGTCTCTCTCTTGGACATAATAATAATCTCCTGGCTATGCTGGTCAACAGAAAACTTTTCCTATGATTATAAACACGTCGTAAAGAAAGTTTCCTTGACAATTACGTCTTTGTTCTATGACAGTATGGGAATTTTTAGTTCACTGAACTTTTATTCTTTTCCCAATAAAATTGAAGTAAAAATAAACCCTAAAGGTTCATCTGTGTGGGTGAATGTACGAGTACCAAACTGGTCTACAAAAAGTTTCTATGTTTCAATAGACTTTCAGTAACTTCCTAGGTGATATCTATCCACGATACTTCTTTTAAACATCCATCTCCAAAACACCTGAAGATTATGTACGATTTCCAACTAAGAAATATGGGCAGGCAAACAGATAAACAAATATTTATAAAGACATAACAATGTAAGAACTACATTAGGTTCTAATCTCCAGTAGATTTCAGTCCCCTTGAAGTTGCAGAGATGCTTAGCTGTTGCCTGCAAATAAACACGAAACCTATTTCAAGTAGGACTTGTTGCAGATTGTATTCAACCATGAAACAATGTCAAACTTGTCGCACCCAGATGCAGTTATGGTATCCATTTAAAGATTAAAATCTCGTTATCATTATGAAACAAATTCAGAGTAAACTTGATCATAGTGGAAGAGAACAGACAAACAAAAGCTGAATTTTCCCAGGAATGTTATCCAGGGTATTTAGCAAGAGAACTTTTCTTTCAATTTGGAGGTTTGTAAGGCTTTTATTGATTCCAAGTTGGTATTCATGATGAACTAAAATCAGTTGGATAACCATTGAAAACCTGGAAGCACTTGACACCTGTTTCATCTTAATGTGGGACTACACAATGGTTGATATTAATAACCCTGAAAGGAATCGAAACCGAAAGCAGGAGTACGAAAACCCATACCGATCCGATAGTTCAATGGTAGTATATTCACCGCAAAATCTTAGGGTCCTTGGTTGGATCCGTGGCGGGGCGGGGAGATAAAAAATAGTAGTTGTTATGCTGAACCACGCAGGAAATATGATTGATTGGGATCACTTAAACTGTTTGTCAAGAAAATATCGCAAATGCTGCTCAGTTAGCATAAACTTTCGTTCAACCCAGTTCATGCAAATAATATATTCCCTTTTCTTTCAAGCTGAACAATCCATCAATTTCCGTTGCTTTTTTCTGGTCGAATGTAGTATGTTTCCAAATTTTTCATTTTTCCTCCAAAATTTCTACTAATTGAATGTCAGCTTTTATTACTTTTTCAAACAACATCGCATTATATACTACTCATATATGTTCGTTTAGTAGCACAAACCACGTGAAACATTAATCGTTCGATTCTAAATTCAAAATAGATGAATGATTAATGCATGATTGATAATGTTTCAAATCTTTTCACATACTAACAGACGGTTGATTCCATTGGAATAAGACTGTTATGCTCAGTCGAATGGAATATTGGATTACTGTAAAGAATGCAATTCTAGCTAAGTAGAAAATGTTATTGCTTGTAATTCTCCACCGTTGATTACATCGAATTGATCGGCCTCTGTTGGAATATAGGCTAAAGAATGGATCCCTTTAACGTATTGCCATTAATTTCAGTTTAATAGTAATGATAAATAGTTGCTGGACGTGGAATTCAAGACACACGTTTCGTTCTGCTTGAGATTTTTCAGCTGGATGTACCCATACTCCAGTGAGTGATTTTATTCATATTGGGCTCGAATCCTTAATGAGAATAAAATCACCTACTGGGGTACAGGTACTCCTGGCTGATATGTCCCATCACTACTATCCAAAAAAGAAAACCTATGGCATCTTTAGATGCTCATGATATTACAGTTGTAATTATCATTTGGTTTCAAATGAATTTTTTCAATTAACTTCCTAACAATATTCAGATAATAAAACTTACATCCGATTTACTGATGTCTGAACATTGTTGAACATCGTATGCATTTGTTACGATATTATTGTACACTATTTGCTTAAATAATTGAATTTCACGTACATCATTTGGATTTTGTAATTCATTACTATTTAACTTGAAGTATTGAAGTATATTGAAGTGGATACATATCATTATTTGTAAAATTAATCTTAGGGTGGTGTTCAGCTTGTTCAAATAACTCAAAAAGAACTCCAGAAGAATATGTAGTATCCATTGGCTTACATCCTATGAGAAAGGAAAAGAGAAAGTTTCTGAAACTAAAATTGGAAAAGAAAGCTACTGAAATTGAACCAACCCTAGATATGATCTGTATTCGATTGAAAATTCACCCCAATTATAAAAATCAAAATAACTCCGAAATTTACTGATCATTTTGAATAAAGGTTATATATTTAAAGTAACCCTCTACCCATGAATAATACAACAGTGATCCACTCCTCCTGTATATTTCTAGGAATTAGCTAGATGCATGTGAATGGCACTGGTTCAAAGAGTTGAATTCAAACCAGTGGGTGATAGGTTTGAACACCGCTCAACCTATTGAGGTTTAAGTAGCTAAGTAGTATCATAAGTAGCCTTCATACAATAGGTATAGCTCATTGTCTTCTGAAAGAATTTGAACAAGGTTGTTGAGTGGATTGCGTAGATTTTTTCATTACTTTCCACCACTCTAGAAACAAATTACTTCAACCTTCCCCTGATGTGTTTTAATGTTAAAGAAATGTTAATTCAACTGTTCAGCTCATTAAGTATGCAGATGTTCACCTGCTGCTGCAGAACTAGTTAAATAGAATGTTAATCTAGACAGATTTCTTGTCACATACAAAAGTACTACCTAGTATTTGTAAGCGAAAGGAAGCTTTGAACCATGAATTCAATTATTCTTCGACCTATGGTCATTTACATCTATACAACCTCTGACTCATAGTTTGACAATATTAATGAGACAAAACCAGATCTTTATTCAGGTGCATGGTTTGGTCTATTTTTATCATAGAATCCTTGGCAATACATAATCGAAAGCCGCACCTGTTTGAAAAAACAATTTTTCCCATCATTATTGCCACAGTGATCATACCCAATCATAACAACAACATTTTTATTCTACTCTACTTTTCTCTTATTACGGTATTTTCATCTTTGAATAACGAAGTCTCTCTCTATTGCTTTGTATCTTTATACGTTTGATATGACTGTTATTCACATATTTCACCTCCTACCATTTTAGACATTTAGAAAAAAATTGATTGAGACAAGATATATATTACTTCTCATTTCGGTCTTCATTTTGGCCTCTGCACTAATATATAAGTTTACAATTCAATCGAAATACCAATCAAGTGGTGGGAGTTAGTGAACGATAATTACATGTTTTTAATAAGTCATGAAGATGACAAGTTTAAGAAATTAAGATGCAAATAATCGATAGAGTAATTTCAGATCCTCAATCTTTTCACCAAATCTAAAGGTATTTTTGAGACTGTACTTAACAACTTCTTTGTGCAGCATGAATGCTTTAATTAGGGATGACGGTAAATTTTAGAAGTTAGTCACTTGTGGTGACACAATGGAGGAAACTGAGAAACATCTAACTGAATCACTGGAAAAGATAAAACAAGAAGCTTTCATTTCAGAAAGCACCTTCAAAATGCTCGAACCTACTGGGACTGTTACACTTAAACATTATGGTCTGCGAAAACCGCATTAAAGTCTATTGCTTCTTCTACCAGTTCTCGATAAAGCAAACTCTCCTTATCATAAAACCGTGAAATAGTCAGCAAAAATCTTGAAGCCTCTCCACAAACAAGTTGTAAGGATACATCTCAAAGATATCTGTGAATTTGTTGAAAAAATTGGGGATCTGAAAGAAGATAATAAGTTAATGATTTCGTGATTTTCAGCGAACTTACTAATCACGGTATGGAAATGGGTGTTCCAGTATTCACATTGAAAGAACTACATGTTCACTGTATGATGAATGCACATTTCCTGATCAACAATGAAGTCTACAGGTAGTCTGCTGGTGTAGCTATGGGGGTCACCCCTTGGCCTGTTATTAGCAGATTTTTTGTGTTACAACTAGAGAATGGTCAGCTGAACGAAATTATTAACCGGTTAGAATTTTTTGTCGTTACATGGATGGTACCTTCGTAGTTCTCAAAAGTGAGATTGATAAGGATACTATTCTCAACAAGTTCAGTAGTATTCATCCAACAATCAACTTCACAATGGAAGAGAAGAATGATGACAGTATCCCATTTCTTGATATTCTGCTGGTAAGAAGGTTATATGGAGCTCTGAAATGAACTGTATATAGAAAACCAACATCGAAGGGTTAATACACGCATTTCTGTAGTGCCGTACCCCTTCAGTACAAAAAGAACCTGATGAAATGCCTAGCATACCTCACCCCATCTATTTGCTCAGGTGATGCTATAGAAGAAGAATTCGCCGTCATCCATGATCAGCTTAGTAGCAGTGGCTATCCAGTCGAGTTTGTTACAAAGAATATGAATATTACGAGGGTTAAGACAAGAACACCGACAGTTTTTAAGACGCAAATATTTTTGAAGCTGAAATTTAAGGGTGACATTTCCTATGAGATCACAAAACGCACAAAAGGAGTCTTGCAAAAAGCATTACTAGCCACTAAATTATGTCAGGTCTTCAACAAGCACGCAATTCTACATGCAAGAATAAAGACAAACTACTTCTACGTCCATTTATCAGTTCAACTGATCCTGCTGAGCTAGTTACGTTGGGCGTACAATGAAGCAGGTGTATCGTCACGTTTCTGAGCACCATTCATTATGGTTGAGTAGAGGAAAAATTAGCATAATAAAGAGCTTCATACTTGCACACATAGTTGACACGGGACATCAAGTGGAGACTAGGAAAACTTTCATAATTATTCATCACATTCCAATTGATTTGCCACATGGATTAAGCACTCACTTACTTCACACATAGAAAAGATTCCAATTCACCTTTACAAACCTGACTTTTGTATTCAATAGAAGTGTGTTCAACCACCTTCATTACCATGACCGTCAACATGATGTAACGTCTAGTATTACTTTGTACACCTCTTCCCTACCTTGTTTCTATCACTATTCATTTGCTTTCTCAATCTTATGTAATTATTTATTGTTTTTGACTGAACCTTCATAAAAAATTACTCCATTTACCTAAGAATAATCTGCCACATATTATCAATTTTAATAACTCGATTATTTGCAACTTAATTTCTTAAACTTGTCATCTTCATGACTTATTAAAAACCTGTAATTATCGTTCACTAACTCCCACCACTTGATTGGTATTTCGATTGAATTGTAAACTTATATATTAGTGCAGAGGCCAAAATGAAGACCGAAATGAGAAGGAATATACATCTTCGCTCAATCAGTCTTTTTTCTATACATCAACTTTTGGTTGAAATCATCCCAGATTCATTCATTCCTCCACCTATTTTACATTTCTGACCTTTTGTTACTGCTAACTTCTAGTCGATTTGATGATTCATGAAATATTATCCTTGCTCATACCTAATATGTTTCATGATTCCAAACATCTTAACGATGAAACATATATACAAATCAGCAAATCTACTATTTTTAAGGTAGTATTTATCACGGACTGGCATCATTTGAAGAACTACTGAAAACCTGAGAGCATCTGACTTTTGTTTTGTCTTAGTATGGTACTTCTCAACAATATGCACCCACGACCTCACCAAGGATTGGTACTGTGCCCCCAAACCGGTTACCCGACGGCAGCTTGTTTGAAACCCACCGCAGCCAAGATTCTCATTCCACCTTCAATCATCTTTTTGGCTTATGCACAATGGATGAGAAACTTAGGAAGATAATGGATCCATACTATTCTGCTAAAGCTGTTGTTTTCACTATACTGAAATTTTTCAACGGAAATAATTGTGTGAAACAACCTATTGTGTTGCTGAGTAAATCTGCTAGTCGGTAACACATCAACTTTTTAAACCAATAAACTTATAATGGAAATGAAGGTCATGCTTTTAAATTGTCTAAGATTTTGTAGGAACAACGACTGAGTAATGTAGAGCATTCTTTTTGAAAGGATCAGTTATCTTAAACTAGTAGTCATATACGAAATGAAGTCATATTTCCACAAAAGTAATCACTATTGTTCAATTCAAGAGATGCTAACAAGATACTTATATCTTACTACTAATAAAGTGATCTGAAATACTTAAAAAAGGATCAGTTAAATGAAATAAATCCCGATAAAATATTGTCAGATTAAAAAACAATTTTTATCCAAGACAACTTAAAATTTAATGAATTAAAACACTTGTAAAGTGAACAATTGAACAATGAACCAGTTATTAAAATCAATCACTTACTCTTATCTCATTTTCTTGAATTAAAATGGAATCCAATAATGAACTGGATTCAAGTTTATCCTCTAGATGATATAGATACGAGTTTTCATAACTCGATGACAAATACTTGCATATTCTTTTGCACGGCCAACGAAATGAAATATACTCTTCATTGAATCTTCTCTCTTCTAGAACACTTAATAACAATGATACTTTACGCGTAAAATTTGCTATACACCCAATTGTACCATCTTGTGCAGCGAACATACTAAGCTGATTATCTAAATGTTCACGTTTTAATTGTATCTCTTTTAGACGCATATGTTTATTAGATATACGTGAGTAAATTTTAACTATTTCAATATGTTGACTTGTTAAATTTAAACAAACTGTATTCAACTTGATTGAATTCGAATTTGTAAGCGGTTTGTTTGAGTCGTAATGGATTAGTTTCAATTTGATCAATTCCTTTGAAATGTTCAGTAATTGGATCTTTATATATGAAGAAGAAAAGTTGCAAACAAGGATAAATAAATATTAGCAATTGGATGAATTTTCTCTCGGGTTGAAATTATGAGTATACACATAAAAAAAATAGTTTTCTCAGTCGAATGACCATTATTTTCTTGTCTAAAGGTGTTAACACTTGCCATACACTTGCAACCCATCATATGTACGATAAGACTTGAGGACTGCTCTAAATTAATGCCTGAATTTGGCTTATGGGAAGAAACAAGTAGAATATATTTTTCATTTAATTTTTCTGATGAATTGTTGCTACTGATACAGTCTTATGGAAGGTGACAAGTCTACTTAGTACTGACCAATCTGATTCATCTACAATTCCCTTGTTATTTCCCGCTATTCATCATACGATAAATTTGTTATTCTACCAAACAACTGTGAAAACAACAATTATAGGCGGATGACATGAAAACGTCTCTGGGAATCAAAGCATTTATTGCCTTTAGTCGATCAACTAAGTTACTACAGTTCTAGTACTATCAAGGTACTTGGAGTTAATCATCACTGATCTTAGTATTGTAGGGATGAATAAGTTTTATGACCGCAATCCATGAGATGATAGGCGATAATAAGTGGAGAATTCACTTAATTTGACTCAGAATGATCAGGCATTCACTTCTCATGTTTCAATAACTTTTGACTGTTTTATTCCTCTTTATCGATTTACGTCTTTCCCATTCACATCATTCCCCTTATTTAGCATCTTATCAACCTAATTTTGGTTACTTTCGTATTCAAAAAGTAACATTCATCACGGACTGACATCATTTGAAGAACCATCATTCATTCTTACTGCTGTCTACATTCACCTTTTCTCATTGTCTAGTGTATTTTTCACTATATTATTTGATAATATCTTTACTGTGATCTTAATTAAAATCGAATTGTAGGATAGCTGCCAACCAAGTTTTGAATTACTTAGGTTCAGTGGGTGTATATTTCCATCTCATGAATATATCTTCGACCAGTTGAAACTGAGATGGGCTGAGTAGACGATGATTCATGATTTACTGCTTAGTAGAAAGTATCTTGTGTATATATATGATGATTACATTAAAAAAACTAAAAATAATTTATGTTTGTTTCAAACACAACAGTTCTAAAGTTTACCTGATCTTCACATATCTTTTCAAACGTCTCAATTTCGTTCATTCGAATTTCTTGGAGTAGGTTCAGTAACTTCTTGTTGTTGGGTAGTAAATTTAACAGGCATCCAGCTAATGCACTTCCTGACTCCAAGTGTGATAAACCTAAATCTATTGGCATTAAGTCAATCTCAGAGAATATTTGTAGACAACGACTTCCTGTATAGTTGAAAAGTCAAAAGTTAGCTGAAATTTATGCATGATATAAAAGGTTGAATATTCATTCAAATAAATATTTAATTTATATACTTTCAGGTGTAACCAAAACCCAAATGAGTTACATTATTGGTCAGAAACAGTGTTATGAAATATGGGTAGTCATTGATCAGCACTTTCTCTGGTGTTCTCAATTCACTAGATCAAAAGCTATCATAACTGAGTAAGCTGATAATCTTCACTGACTACAATCAGTTGGAGAGCAACTGACAACCTGGAGGGAGTGAAATGTTGTTTTGTACTAGTATGGGACTCCTCAACAATCCCCACCCATGACCTGACCAGGAATCGAACCCTGACCATTCAGGTTCCGTGGCCAGGTCGTCACCATTGAGACACTGGGACAGAATCCAATGGCTCATATTCCTTATTTCCGTCAGTTCATGATATACCAACACAATTGCCACGAAAAATGAAGGTTCTTGATTCCATTCCTGAAGGAGTTGTGGAGGAGTGTACTGCTGACGAATCACATACTAGAAAGAAATAGCTGTCCAGGGCTTCTAGGTTTCAAGTGGTCCCTCAGCTGGTCAGTCTCTGATGAATCCCAGCCTGAAATCAATAAATAAATCCGTTCAAACATTCAAACTGATCAAGTTGCGTTCCAACTTTGACAATCATCGAAGTATATTGATATGAATCATTAGTATGAGCCAAGATTACCACCGTCGGTGCCATAGATCGTCAAGGCTGTTGAGAAATCTTTAAAATTTACTTGTTATGAGATATTTATCTCTATGGTATCTCATAAATCAAATCCCTATCCAATAATATATGAACCTTTTATGCAACAGTTATGGTAAAAATGACTTCACTCCTTAGTCTCCTCAGTCATATTTTTAAGTAGGTATTGTTTAGTATATGTTAAATAAATCAAGTTTTTTTCAATTCACTAAATATTAGACCAACAAATATAATGCTTCTGGTCGAATCCTAGCGATGCTCCAATTTACATTTCACCCTCAATCATCAATCAGTATCAATGCAAATCTGCCAAACAATGTCTATCTCAGACAGTTAATCTGCAAAGTCTACAAAGTCAACTATATAGATTGATCACAACACTACATTGGCTAATCTAACCGTCGGATTGCTCAGGAAATTATGAACATCAATTAGCAGTAAAGATACATGACCAAACCCTCTTGGTTTTAATATACGTACACAATCATGATCAAGGATTTGACTGGAAGGATGCAAAAATCCTTCAGATAGTAAGTTAGTAAGCTGAAACAGAATTTCTAGGATTCCATATTATATTTATTTATTTAGTTTATATTACATGACACAGTATGAATTACTTGATGACGTTTAGAGCATAAATTATTGCTCATAATCATATCAATTTAATCACACACGTTTCGATGAAGACTTAGTAATCAGCCTCTGTCTAAACATTTATTCATCGAATCGACACCCACTACATTTAAAAGGAATGATGCAACACCTATGCCAGACATATGGGAAAGTTTACTACCGAAAAACAACCAATAATATGAGGTGACATAAAATCAAAAGTCTTGAGTTGTATGATGAAAGTGATATGATTATAATCAATGATAATTTATTCTCGAAGCGTCTTCAAGTAAATAATACTCGATCACTGTGTGTTATAAATCAAATAAACAAATATAATATGGAATAAAAGTCTATTACAGTGCCTGGTTAACTAGTTCAGTAGTTACTAGCCCGTCCTAAGCCCGAATAAAGAGGGAAGGTTGAGCATAAGGCTACCAACCCTACCCCAGAAAACCAATCCAATCGCTAAACAAATTTCAAAGCACAGAAAAATCATAAAACATAAAAGCAAACTTATTCCCAACTGGAATCAGAGAGATGAAATGATGCCGGTTGGTGAAAGCCTCAACGAATCCAGTCGGTCGATGTTTGTCTCCTCTCCCTCGATGAAAACGAAAGTAAGGATGGGGACATGGAATGTCCACACCATGTATGAACCTAGTAAGGCTGATCAGATTGCAAAAGAGATGAGGAGGTGTGGCATGGAAGTGCTTGGAATCTGCGTGAGGAGTGGGTGGAATGGAATGGACTCTCCAAACTGTCAACTGGAGAGTCAATAATCTACTCCGATATTGTCACCCAGAGGACAACCACGAGCACACTGAGTTCTCGAGTGGCTATCATGATTTCCTCAAGAATATCGAAGCCTCTCATGCAGTGGGAATCAGTCTCCTTGATGATCAGGATCATGTCAGCCAAATGGATTAAACTCACAAGGAAGGAAAGTCACAATCATTCAATGCTTGGCTACGCACCTACAAATAATTGGGCAGATGAAGAGAAGAAGGAGGAATTCTACAGACAACTGCAATCAGTAATGGACAGGAGACTACCCAGATGGTGACATCAAAATTCATTCTGATGGGTGACATAAATGCCAAACTGGGAGCAGACGACACAGGAAGAGAACTCATCATGGGTCGACAAGCACTCAGTGAAATGATGAGTGAGAATGGAGAAGTGTTTGCAGACTTCTGTGCATTCAACGATTTGGTGATTGGAGTCAGGCAGTGCGTACAAACACTTTTGAGGATATTCACAAGGCAGTGAGAGACATGGATTTGATTTCACCAGACACCAGGGTATACTACACTAAAAATCAGATCGACGTCATCTGAGTGTGAAGAAAGTGTAGATGCAGCCTACTGGAGAGGGATCAGATGAAGAAGGGGAGCAGATGTTGGTTCAGCCCATCAGGATATCTAGTGCAAGTAACCTACTTTTCAAACGAAGTTTAAAGCCTTCACAGAAGTTGGTGACAGACCACAGTTGAAGTTGAATATCCAGAAAGTGAAGTGAAGGACGAAACTATGAAGGACATCTTCACGTCAGTCAGTGGCCAGAACAAAATGGGAAACACTAAGCAGCATCCCTGAACGGTGGAGCGCCGAAGAATACTTGAACTGTTTGAAGGAGATGTGGAGGGAAACCTGCATAACCGTATTAGGAAGGAAGAGGAAACGAGACAAGACAAGACAAGGAATGGATCTCAACGGATAAATGGAAGCTGATTGAGCAGGGAGATTAAGGTGGTCAAGCAGAAGACAAACCAGTGCAAGGATGCACAACGAAAAGAAGAACTGCGTACAACGTACAGAACACTGGATAAGGAAGCGAAGAAGTGCACGAGGAGACAAAATACACTTATACGACACATTGGCGAGTAAGCAGAACAGGCTGCAGGTAAGAGAGACCTGAAAACGTTACATCAAATAACCAGGTCCAGTACTCAACTTCAACATTCAGTAGGTCACAAAAATCTTCAGTTAGAACGCTGCATCAGGAAACAGAAAATTTTGACCTTCTTTTGTCTTCCTAATGTAACTTCAACCGCAGATGCACGTAAACTTGTATACACAAAAAGCATATAAGTTCCCTAAGGCTGCGACAATCAGACGACTGGAACTGTGTTCCAAAAGAAACAGTGATAAGTCTTTCTTCGCCCTGGTGACCTAATATTTCACTCTTCTTATTTGATGACATCATCTTTTGATTGCAATTTTCCTTTCTTTGGTGTTATTGCTTGTATTACATCGTCGTTGAGTGTACCGAAATGACCAGTCTCTGTTGGCATATGGGCTCTTATGCAGATGCCTCCATATTGCCTGTGTTTTAATTATGTATAGTAATGATGAGTAGTGTCTAGCAGTAGAATCCTATATGCGCATTTCGTCCTATTTTAGACTCGTCAGCTGGATGTGCCTGCCTCCCATAGAGTGGTTTTGTTCCCACCGGTGCAATACAAGCAATAACACTGAACTTATACTCGTCTCACAAGAAGCGGCTATCGTGCCCACGAGTTCGAGTCCCGGTGGGAGGGACGTCACTCACTGGGAGGCAGGTACACCCAGATGTTTCCCCTGTTTGTACATAAATTTGATGATAGTTCCACCAACTGATTTTAAATCCTTTTGTTACTGCATAATTTGTCCCTACTTTATCACCAATTAACTAGTTTGTTGATCTCCTTACATAATCTTCTGTTACCACTCATTTTCTTCTCTCGAACTCTCTGTTGTAACACATATATAGCTGAAACTTCATAGCTTATTTTTTCTAGGTGTCTGTATTCTTTACTATAATATGCCGTCTCATGTTAACTAACTTCATGTGACTCCATAGTGTACGTTCTAGTTCCTTGGTTTTATAGTAGTTAAATGTTTTTGGATGGTAAGCAACTGATGAGAGAGACGAAAATAAGTGCTACTATGTTATTCTGCTCGAATCCTGTTTCCGTCTGTATTCAAGTCCATAAAGGGGAATATGTACATGAAAGTATACTTTTATAAGTATAATGATGAGTAAGTAATTTTGAGGTGGTATTTATCGTGGGCTGACGTCAATTACAGAACCACTGAAAACCTAGGAGAAATGGAAATATGTTTCGTCCATGTACAGGACTCCTCAACTCCCAGTTAGTCAGTTTATGATGAATACTATTTTAAAATAAATAGTATAAATAATTACCAATTCAGAAGTTATCGGAAATTGTGCCCGCATAGTAATCTATGACAGCTTACCAATTTCAGTGTATGTACTATACGTCGTGTACAAAAGAATTTGGGAGTAATTCTCTTGTATATTTCTGCCAAACAATCGACTACGGTGAAAATTAAGTAAACAATTGATATTGCGCCTTGCTTTGGAGCTGTGGTACTGATCTACATCAATCTGGATTATACAGTCTAAAAATGAAAATAGAAGTGTATGGAAAAATGTAGAACATTTCTCAAGTGAAGGTGGGGGTGAAAAAATTAATTTCTTTGATAAATTTAAACGATCTGCTAAGAAGAAAATTATTTGGAACAAGTGACATATTAATCTTATGTCATAGATTTCAAGATCGTAGGTGTTACGAAAGTCCTGGAAGGGTTTGAGCACCTTAACCGATCTAATCACTAGATAAGTCTTAATATAATCCTAATACAGGTATATCTATTTGATGGGCCCCAAATAGGACGAAAAGCACGTCCTGAATTCCTCTACTGGCTACAACCAAAAAAATTCATCATGATTACTATTCAGGCAAAGTCGAGGTATCTCCATAGCAACCCATATGCCAATAGAGGTCAAATAATTAGGTCTAGTAAAAGTACACAGAATTAACAGTATAATCAATAAATAGTATCAATCCTAATGTATTTACCACTGTAGATTTCGAAGACGGTTTGATCACACTCGAACTTGACGAATAATTTATGTAAAGTCTGAACAACGCTAATCAAACCAATAGAGTTTTAATAAAGATAATTAGGGTAGAATGAAAATTACTAGCATGAAGCGTGAAAATCAATACTTCTGAAAATATAAAGCGGATTTTAATTTAGGGCTAACAACGGTTTCAACAGATCTTTCAATGACTGTATATGTACAGTATAACAAAGAATGTCTTTCTATAAGTCTTGTGACCATATTCTAGCATATATTTTGCGGTGGATGAACGAAACTGTTTTTCATCAGCACTTTTCAAACTTTAAGACGTCATTTGTTTCTAGAATTACTAAGATATATGTCCAACCATTTTCAACTGTTTGCGACGGTTACTCCTCTTCATGTATATGTGACCATATATACGTGTAAAATGCTAAACACAAATGGATATTGTACACTCATTTTTATATTGTTTAGCTTTGTGCTGAAGTATAGACTTTGTCTTCTTCACTAAGATGATCTTGCCTGCTAAGTGTGTTGTGTCAACAACCAATATGAGTCTTTTGTTCATAATTAGGCTATTAGAATCACCCTTATATAATAATTTGATATACATTTTTGTCCTAGAGACTGGTTACTAGTTAATACGTCTCAGCAATGTGCGAATTTTACACTTGTTAATAAATCTGAATGAATATCTACTTTGTACCAATGTAAATATGATCAATCCCACTAAATAAAAAAACCCTGATTAAACCATATTTGTATTGGACTGGACGGTAACTATGGGAAATAAGGCATTATTTTGTCACTGTCCATATGTGATTAGACTGTTCAAAATGCATGACGCTAATACATGACATGTTTCAGATAATTTCCGTCTTCTGATTACATTTCTTAAAGGTTAGTCACTTGACTTCTTTCTACTTGGTGACAAGGTTCTATTAAATATATACAATAGGGATCATTTACATACTATTAAAGCCATTATTCAAAGTGATAGTGTACTTTGTTTAGTCACCAGCTCACAGATGGATTCTCAATTTACTAGTTAAAAATGACCTGAATACAGATAAATTGTTCTGATTGCCTTTTGAATGGAATAAATACTGAAAGTTGATGTACAGAAGATATTGTTATTAGGATTCCTTCCATCTTTTTCAGATGGTACAGATTACTGTTCTAGATTTATAAGCTCCAGCTGCTCGGATGCCTTAGATTTGCAGAAAACATTATTTTTTTTTATACATTTTTAAGTTATCGTTTTCGCTACCTTTCTACTCCATGACCAGTAGCCCATTTCTCCCTACTTTTTTCAAGGTAATCTGCTGATGAGTTGATAATTTGTTCCGAATTCCAGACAACGTCATATATCCTTAATATATACACATATGTTTTGGCTTATCTTCAGTCTTATCCCATCTAGATCAATCTTCTCTTTATTTCTTCTGGGGTTTGGAATCGGTGGTATATGGTGTATTAGTTAGCTGGCATTTAAGCATATGTATTATATACATTCAGCAACATAAAGCTCCTCTCTCAGATAAGTTTAAAAGTTTGATCATTCAGTGCACTATAGTAATGAATTGATTTCCATGCATTTACTGTTAGCTAACCTGAATGTTTGACACTCTACGAGACTGTACTTCAATGATAAGAGAAATTATCTCACTCAACATAACGTATTCTTATAAAGTTAGGCTAAATGTGATAGCCGGAGTTAATTCACGGATATATTGTGTACACGAATGTTAATTAGATTTCGTAGAAAACTACCACTGTCTCAATCTCAATTCAGACTTCTATCAACTGCAATCAGTAAACCCGTTTACAAGTGGTAGATGATGAAAAAGGCAACTCATGCTTTCCGTGGCTTTACAACATTGTAAGACACAGTCTATGTATTGTTCATATTATTTCCTGATGAAATATCGTAAACTACTCAAGAATTACCACAAGACTGCTAAGAAGATATAATGCCATTTACTTATAATTTATTTTGTTCAACTGATTCATCATATTGCGATTTTGTTCAGACTAACCGCTTACATTCTGCTAAATTCAAACCTCATGGTGGAATCTTAGTTTACTAAAGAAAGTTATCGCTGTTTAAAAAAAGTGAAACCATCGTCTACTGATCTTATGATTCTGATCTGATTTGCTAGATCCGATAACAACTTATTTTGATGATACTCAGTTGCACATTTCATTCAGACGTTATATTTTTAATTCATATATTCTACTGATAAATTTGTACTACAACACATGAGAATTTATTTGAGAGGGGAAGTTGATCAAAGGCTGTTTCTGTGACCGAATTATTTTCATACTGTTCCTCTGTACACTTTATGATTCACTTCATGTTTGAGTAGAATTTGGCCATTGTAGTAGTGTATAATTCCATTTTAGTTTGTTTGTTGGATATTTTACACAATTAAACACTTTTGTTTACTGCATTGACTGGTCAGTCGAGGATGGCCAGCTTCATGTTGTTTAGTCGTAAGTGATGATAGAATCCTGTCGATCACTTGCAATGTGACCGACAAGCTAGAAGATTCACCATCAGGATGCACTGGAAAGATGTTAGTTGGATGGAGGCAGTCGGTGGCAGGCCACTGGGCAAATTAATTAGTCACTGGATAATAGGTGACTTCATACTGTCTAGTCTTAAGCACTGATGACACTTTGAACAGAATTTATTGTCTGTATTCATACCAAAGGTGACTCTACATCTATCACACCTATTATATTAGGGATAATGATACTACCTAGTCGACCAAATCTTGCTAGGTGAGGCAGCCTCTTAATAAGTGACCCACTGACTGAAAGTCAACTATGTTAACCAATAAGCCGAGGTTCTTCTACTGGATTACGTTTCGGAAACAATTGACTGTCCACATTCATATCATGTAACTTCAAAACTTTGAGGCAGACTTTGTATATTCCTAATTTTATCTCCTTCTCTGTGATGACAAGGGTAGTAGAATTTTCCATATAACTGGGACAGGTGCACAATCACTTCCATTGCTGCATGTATCTGGTATTGATTCGATAAACAAAGATTCGGTTATCAATTTCTCCCTCAATCAACCCGACCAAATTAGTTTCAAAACTGTCGCTCTACCCCAACCTACCATGCGATTGTGTGCAATTGCATGCAGAGCTAGTAAACTTGACCTGGTCAAGTTTTTGTGCTCTGCTATTGTAACCGACCCTGGTTGACTACTTTGACCTAGGTATTTTACCTTGCAGTCATTGTAAGGGATTTGCTTAATTGCATTGGTAGGATCTTTTAACCTACAAAGCTGGTTTCTGAGTGAGTTTGTTGGTTTAAATGCCACTCTAATCCCAGCCTTATTGAGAATTCTTCGAAATGCTTGTGAGGTGCCTTCTTTGTATGATAACACAGCAGAGGCATTGAATTCTCTCTCAACCCCGTCACTAGTTTTATTATTGGTAGTATGTAAATCACATTCACCTGTGACTTAGAAAGTGATGAAGGTGGGCTAGCAATATATGAGTAAAACTTGGACACTGTGGCAGACTGTATTTCCATTTTAGCCTGTTTATTAGAAATGTCACATAGTGAAATAGTACGGTTTACTGGATAAGTGATACTGTTTCACTGTTTGACATTCCCAATAAACAGACTAAAATGGAGTGAGCTACCAATGTTGGGCTGCACGATCAAATGAACACAAGAAGGAAGCTAAGAGATTAATATGTGTAGGAAACCTACCCATTCGAATAGATACTCCACTTAAACTTCACATCATCTCACCCCAACTCCATTAAAGTAGACTCAGTTAAGTGCCTCTCAATAATTACCCACCTAAATTTATAATTTAATTCATAAGAAATCGGAAGAAAAATATTAGCAGTAGTAGTAATACATGTGTTATTAATAATAATTTTACAGTTATTAGTAAGTACGGTGACAGGGTTGAGAGAGAATTCAATGCCTCTGCTGTGTTATCATACAAAGAAGGCACCTCACAAGCATTTCGAAGAATTCTCAATAAGACTGGGATTAAAGTGGCATTTAAACCAACAAACTCACTCAGAAACCAGCTTTGTAAGTTAAACGATCCTATTGATGCAATCAAGCAAAATAATCTGATTTACCTTATCTAGTAAATGATACTGTTTCAGTGTATGACATTTCTAATAAATAGACTATATTGGAATTTTATTCCTAAAATAAGGCCACAGTTGTATTTAAGGGAAACAAAGTTTCATTTGTTGTTACCAAAACTAAGAAAATAATTAAAGGCAACGTAGTGTCTGCGTATACTCAGTTGTCTAAGGACACCTAAGTAGATACCTCCTTATCTCAACTTTACATATTGATTATCTCAACCTACTTTGCAGTATGGTCAGGTAGAAATCCATGTAATTTGATAAATCCAGTGAAATATAATATAATCATTGATATACTTTTTTAATCTGTTCTAAAGTAGGAATATTTCAACTGCATACTGGTAACGTGGACTTAATAGATTGTTTTACTGGACAGATAACTGACATCATCGTTTCAAAGATAAATGCAAATTTTATGCATAGTCTTTTTCAGAGAGTGGTACGAAGACATGATTGGAAACCAACATAATTCTCCACTAGTTTGAAACTTTTAAAAGGCAACCTTTCTACTCTAGTATTACCAATTTAAAAATATTTCAAGTGATATATTGGAAGTAATCAAAACTGAGAAGTCCCACTTTGGAACTTTTCAAAAGTAATTATAGCAACATGATATTCTTCATATGGTTTCGATGCCTCACACTTTCCTAAATATATCAGTCAATATTGATGATCTGATATTTCTTTTACTGCAAGGCTAACAAAATTAATAAGTTGACTTCTGTATTTTCTTCCTTGGAACAAAAAAGAGTGAAAATAAGTACAAAAGAATATGATATGTATGTATTTCATTTCTTCGATCCTCATCAACTGCCTACAGCCTATATTGCAAAGCTAAACAATACTGAACAGCTAACGTAGTTTATTTTACCAAATAGAGATCAGTTAGACAGTGAAATACAGTGTCTAAGTGGATGAATCGAAGTTAAAGAAAACAACTGAGAATTAGAATAAAAAATTTTTTTATGTTTTGATTTGACAGTTTATTATTGAGATTCACTACTCATAAGTAGTCAAAATAACTGTAGGAAGTAAACTTACCTGTTCTGATACTTTCCTCAAAATGTTCTACAAAGTTTTCAGAGTCTATGCATAGATTTGTAACCAATGAATGGTTCTTGCTGAAACAGAAAAAGTGATATATGTATAATTAGTGCTTGATTTTAATATATCACTTCACTAGAGTGAGTTCATGTACTTATGCTTATTCAGGAAGCTAAATGGATTAATCATCATGAGCATAAAAGGTTCTAAATCCAAATGTTTCAGTACTGAGTATTACTCGTTACTTTATGGTCACACTGAAGGTTACCTGTATAGTCCACTGTTTATGACCGGTTACCCCATGAAAATCACATGTTCTTTAACAGTTGAATAATTGGTGATAGGTCAATATACAGATTGTTACACAAATAAACCTGTAAATCGATAAAGTTGTAAATATTCAGTAATATGAAGACATTATATCACTGAGTGCCGATCCAAGTTGGGTGATAGAGTTCAAGTGTCCTCGTTGATGTCTATGATATTCCTACATAGCAAGTTTCACCCTCTAAATTATAAACAGGTTTATTGCCTAAACATGTAATGCTCTTCTGACCAATTTTTTGACTTTGATTGTTTTGCTATTCATACGCCTAGTTTTAAAGTTACTTTCAATACTGACTGTCATTAGTCGGAAAATTATTGAAACTCTAGAATCACTGCACTTGTACTTCGACATTTTTTAGCGTTTCTTTAACCGATGAGCAAACCATTATTTCTTAGTGACTTGTTAGGAGATGAATTTCGGGAACTGTTAACCAGAAGCCATGACCTATGTGATCAAGTACATACGTTACAAAGATAAGTACTTTCTGATGACGTCGAACGATGGCTGTGCTGTATCACAAAGGGAAAAAAGTAGGGTAATGTGGAAAGCTGAGTTTCAACTCAGGGCAAAGATGGCGAAGTGCATTTTATGAAGGCTGATAGTCAAAGAATCGAACCTTCATGCAATCTTGAAAACATATTGCAGAGTAGTTTCAAAACTGAAAGACTAGTTGACCCAGTTTTTTTGATTTTCAGTGATCTTCCAGTTGAAGTCAACCCTTGATGAAAAGTATTTTGAAATAATTCAATCTTTGCAAAAAGCCTTAACTGTGAATGACTGTTTTACCTTGAAAAGGATAAAAATTGACACTAATTTATTGCTGTATGCTATTCTAAATCACTCAGTTTGTCCTTCAGTCTATTACTGGGCATCAATAAGATTAGCGTTACTAGAATAACATGTTATTTATCTCCAGAATGCATAAGAATAAAAAATTTGGAACAGGGGATTCTTAATGAGTTCCAATTCTGTTACGATCCAAATTTTATTTCACCTTAAATCACCATCCCTGTGTTAAGTTTAGTTTGCTCATGAAGGTTATCTCAGGTAGTCTAATTAATAAACGATGGTAGTTCGGTGTTCTCTGAATTGTGGTACTTTATTGTGCAGGTATCGTCACCAAGCTAAGTAACATCTTCAGCACTAACTTTATAAAGAAGTGGAGTGTATTTGAATGTTTCACAATCACTAAGGTAGTGTTCCTGTTGACCTTATGTGTTGTCCAGTTGTTAAGAGAGGTATCTGTCATATCTTGGCCTCTTTGACCCTAAATTTCACTTGGCTATGCTGGTAGAGAAAACCTAAGGTCAAAGAGGTCAAAATGTGACAGAAATCTCTTCTCTAACTTACGGTTGGATGACACTCAAGATCAGTAAAGACACTATCTAAAAGTTTATGTAACATTCGAATTTGCTCCATCTCCTTATAAACTTAGTGCTGAAGACGTCACCAACTCCGGCCATGAAACATCCATGACAAATTAGTTAAGCTCAGAGAACGCCAAAATAATATCATCCTCATCCTGAGATACAATTCTGTCCATCATTTTACTCAGTAGATATACATTGTTTAAGTTCTACCTCATGAGGATATACAGATAAGTACTGGGAACAAACGTTTCGCATCTAGTCACAAACAAGGTTGACAGTAGACAGATGTTATCACTTTTATTTTTATCATATCATGACCAAATTTTTTTTGAAAAGATAGCCCTTGCTACTTTAATATGCAACTAGGAAACGTTTATGAGTGCACCTGTCATCTTTCAGACCTCCAGGAATACATGGTATTCATAAAACAGCTTTCTTCTACACAAGTAGTATTGGTCACAAGGATTGTTAAAATAAACTACATAGGTAGAATAACTAAAGTTTGATCCACTCTTGCAGAATAAAATGAGTATCTGTGGGTCAAAAGGTCATCGCCATGGAGGACTAATGATGCGGGAAAACATTTTTGACAAACATAGATACTAGATTTATACATATCCTAACCAAGTTGGGATGTGATGGTTTGAGAATACTTGACGTTGAGCAAATGATGTTTATTATTTTGTTATTTGTACTGCTCAATGAATGTAAAACAAAATAAGTTTGTTCTAGACGACTTTGGACTGTTTAATCGCAACAGCTTTATCAAAGTGATAGTAGACTGGAATTTACAAGATCTAAGCCTATACATGATAACTTGATATGCATTCCTCTGAATGAAAGATTCTCTATTGTCAAACTGTTGAACAATGATATCCGTATGTGGCGTATTATGCGTGCGTGAATTAACGATGTGGTGATAGGCCATCTCGTATGAGTGTTGGTTTCGTCATAATGTGGAGATGGGTTGAAACCAGGTCAGGTTACCTTTTATTTACTCATTCCTATTTAGACAGTTTTGTTTCCACTTCATGAAACGCTCATGTATTTTTCTAAAATCTTTCTGAGTAATTTTGATATTATGAAAATTGACCTTGTAACCTGAAACCTTAATGTGTAGAACGAAAAATATCTGAAGAGTTTTCAAGCTTTTCCAGCTCCACTGATTTCTAAGGGGTCGATAGGAACCCCTTAGTGTTAATCTTGTTTAATTTTGATTTCACATGAAGCCTTTCCTCTGTATATTCCATTGCAGTCTCAGCCCTTTATTTTATAAAAACGCAAGTAGATTTTGAATCCAGATGATTTTTATCCTTCACATGAACTATGGTACTTCTCAGCATGTATGACTTTCTGTAGAATACTCTGACATTGCATTTGTTGAGCACTGTTTTTATCTCATACAAGGTGTGTAGTCTGCATGGAGTGACTATTTGTTGAGGTTCATGATTAAACAGTACTGGAACAATCTGGTTTAATATCATTTTCAACTTTATGAATGAATTCCTTTAGGATAATTATTCATTTTAAGAATTTTGATCACATATTTTAATTTCTTAACTCTTTCATTTTCATCCGTTATTAAAGTGTGTACTCTTCTCGAAAGACTAAAGGTAAGAGAGATCTTCGCACTGATTGGACATGATGAATTGAAATCGAGATTTTTTTCGGATATGTTTTTTTCTGAAAATGATGATACCTAAATATCCATTTTCTTTCCGTCTAACAAAGCAATCAAGGCAGGGTAGTTCACCAGTATTCGTCTCTTTTCCTAAGCTGAACTTGATACTAAGCAATCTAGAGTTCAGTTGATGACATACTTTGTTTGAAACGTGACCTATACCAGGTGTTCTTAGATTTATACATTCTTCACACACAGAATACACTACATATGGATATCCTCTTCGTTCAACAATTTGACAACGGAAAATCATTCATGAAGAAGAACTCAGATCAAATTATCATATATAAGCTTGAATATTGTAAATTACGGTCTACTACCACTTTGATAAAGCTATTGTGATTAAACAGTCAAACATCAGTTAAAACAAACTTGTTTTACATTCATTGGGAAATACAAATACCATGATAATGAATAAAAACTTGGTCATTACATAACTTAAATTTCTGTCAATTTGACTATTAATAGACTTACCCTGAGTAAACGTTGTCATCTTCTATGCAGTCAGTTAACAGTAAATTAACCATATCTATTCCAATCATATCTGGATCAAAGATAAATAGAATATAGGTTGACGCTTTGATTCTATTTTGACGCTTTATACTACAACATCTTCCTGATAATAATATTGTACGTATCGCTAGAACAGCTTCAAGTATATACCCGATTTGTTTATCATGATATAACAATCCCACTTCAAATGGGAATTTTCTACTTGATAACCATCTCATTACTTCATATGGTTGACTTTGAATAATTGTAAATAATTGTAGATTTTGAAGAAAAGTTTTATCTATGAGTGAGTTTTCATTTAATGTATTCATTGTTTTACACGAGTAATCCTAAAAATGGAAATTTCCAATTTAGTCAGTGAGTACATTTAATCATATCTTGTCATGATATGAAAAGTTCAATATTCATATGCATGAAAGTCTACGAACATATAAATGCAAATTAAATGTCCTACTAACCAGTAGCCTTTTTCGTCACTTTAAAATTGTCAAGGATTCACTGATTCGAAGAAAGTTTTAATTGTGACAACCTGAACTGCAACAATTATTGTTTATGTGTTTCGATGCGAATTTGTCTGAAGGCAGATTTCTTTGGAAGTACATTCGACAGCTAAAAACCATATGATTCAGCAGAAGCTTATGAGTTATCAGCAGTTTGTCAACTCAGAAACTTCCCATTATCAGTAGTTTAGGAGTAGTCAGTAATAGGTACATTGTAACGCCACCTGTATTGATCTGATAACAATGTTGATATTAAGTCTGCCTTCTCAGTCGTCTACAATATACCAGAAAGAATGCCACAAGCATTAGAAACTTACCTTCAAACTGGCCAAACATTGACAAAAATATTCATGAAACCTGAGCTCTGTCTGCAAAACCCATTCAAACATTCTCTTGTTCTTCTGTTGTCATCAGCAGAGATAATTATCAGCCGCAACACAGGTATCGGTAGTACTGACACTAATAGGCAATACTGTGAAGAAAGAATTGAAAACCTTTACAGCATTGCCATACAAAGAGGGCACCTCAGAAACACCAAGTAGGATTCTCAATAAGGATGGCTGGCTAGGATTAGAGTAGCATTTAAACCTACAAACTCACTTCGAAATAAGTTTTGTAGGTTAAAAGATCCTACTGATCCAATTACACAGAATAACTTAGTTTACCAAATCTCTTAAAACGATCTTGTAGTCAAGTGCATAGGTCAAAGTAGTCGACCAGGGTCAATTAAGCTATCCAAGCACAAAATCCTAGCTATATCAAAAATGGTAGATCCTAATAAGATAAGGAATTTTTAGAAAAACACCACAGGATTGGACAAAGATAAACTCCTTGAAATTAACTTAGCGAGGTTGAGCGAGAGATTCTTAACCGATTTCGTGTTTATAGGATCAACACCAAACATATACAATAGGAATATCTCACCACTTGTTCCAGAAATATGGAAAACCCTACTGTCTACATCACAAGAAGGCGAGAAAATTAGAACCATATACACCATGTATCAAAGTTGTTGAGTTAGAGTAATGTGACTGTAGGTACTAAATTGTGTCTAAAAGTAATCCAATATATAATGCTGTTCCAGTGTGTGATAGATTAGATGTATCAACTAAAATCTTTATAATTAAGTCTGATTGTTTTTCAACACCATATATGCCACAAGAAAAGTACAATTAATCACCTTGATTCAGAAAAATTCGAAAATTCTACTGAAGAGCTATAGTTTATACAACGAGACGTGTTGAAAACTCTTATCTTCACTTACCAAACATACTGGGAGTATATGAAAACTCACTTATGTAGCGATCAGATCAGACTCGGCGCTCAACTTCTTCTATAACATTCGTAACAACTAAGTGACAGAATGATCATTTAACATATTCGCTTTCAAATTACTATGAAATATTTAGTCATGAGGTATAAATTTCAAAGCGCCATTCCTAGTTTTGATGGTAAACATGATTATTTACTAGATCAATGCCGAGTACTTTAGTTACACAACATACCACTGTGATAGGTCTCAATATTCTTAAAGTATCAGCTGCTGGAAGACAATTGGTAGGAAACTATGCATCTAGATTTCACTTCTGTTGACACTCATTAGTGAGGCGTATCTCCAAACTCAACGGAACTTATTACCTGGCTGAAATGCAAACCCGAGTCATCTAGAACTGAATTCAGTGACATAACTCTTGGGCTATCCTTGCAGTTCCAAATCTTAGATAGCAGAAAGTTAACACCGCTAATATACGCTAAAAAACTTCCTAGTGCTTTTTAATATATATATATATATATATATATATATATATATATATATATATATATATATATATATATATATATACAAAACTTGGGCACTGTCGCAGAGTTTAATGCCACATTAGATTTGTTTATTTGATCTATAACACACAGTGATGCAGTATTATTTGCTTGATGACCTTTCGAGCATAAATTATTGCTCACAATCATATCAATGCAATCACACAACATTGGACATTTGATTTTTCTAGCTATGTCACCTCATATGATTTGTGTTTATTGGTAGTAAAATTTTCCATATCTCTGGCATATAAGTTTCGCGTCATTTCTATCATATATGTTGGGTGTTGATTCGATGAACAAAGATGCAGTAGTGAATCTCCCTCTCTGCACCTAATTATATTGGACTTGAGTACAGTGACATTATCCCACCTAGGCTATTGTGTGGTTGTGTGTTAATACATGCATTGCAATACCCGAGTTCTTTTCCAGATTAATCATCTTATTCGGGTCTGTCGTTCTATATTTAGCTAAACTCTTATGTTCGGCTACTCTAACAGATCCTGACCGGCTAGTTTAACCTATGTACTTGACCTCACAGGCATTACAAGAAATTTGATAAATTAGATTATTTTGCTTATCTGGTTCCATCGGATCCTTAAGCTAGCCGACAACGCTAATCTCTGAGTTTGTAGGTTTAAATGCCACCCTAATTCCGACTTTGTTGAGGATGCTACGTAGAGTTTCTGATGTTGCTTCCTTACAGGGTAACACAATGACGGATGTGAACTCCTTTCTACTTGTGTTATCGTCATTATTCGTACTCGTGTTACTGTTATCTTTTCGTTTCTTGTGTGTTCATACGAATTTCTTAATAAACTGTAGAGAAAAATTATTAACTATTAGTGCTCTTTTAACGTGTTTCAATTCATTGTTTAGGTCTTTACACTGATTAGTCAGTATTCTAGTTTTATCACTTAGACATTTGACTAAACCTGCCTTAACTGAAGTTGGATGGAATGATTTGAGGTCTAGATACCTGTTGGACTGTGTCTGTTGTCTGTAGACAGTAGTATCCAAACCACCGTCCATCCTTCGTTTTATCCTGCAATCCTAGTGTCCTATTCTGTTAGAGTTTGATTTTTGAAACCAGGATCTTTCCTCTGTTTATAATCAGCATTATTCACCATCTCATTCAGTGTAATCATTAGATATTCCTTCACTTACGCTTACACTTCCATGCTCTACCATCGTTCATGTAAACATCTATGGGATGTATATGTGTATTTAACTAGATTATTGCATGCCACAGGGTTCTCTAAGGAACAAATAACACTTTTCATGTTAGTACCGATAACGTATTAGTATCATTTAGAGGACTACTGGAAGTCTGGGAGAACCAGGCAGCTATTTCGTCCTAGTAAAGGACTCTTAAACAGTGCGCACTCATGAACCTGTAAAGAATTGAACCAATAGCTTTCAGGTGTTATAATGAGAAGTTATGACTGGTGGAGCAAACCAAGTTGAATTTGAGGACGAATGCTCACAGATGTCACTGAGTGAAGGTCATGCTATATTGCAAATTAACAGAAGAAAGAAAATGTAGGCCATCGAGTTCCAGTCCAGTGACTCTATGGTAACGTGTTCACCAAGAAACATGATGGTCCTGGGTCCTACCTCTGATGAGGTCATGAGTCTACAACGCTAAAGAGTCCCACAGTTGAACGAAACAGTTGTTCAGTACTGAGGTTTTCAGTGGTTCTCCAACTAATGTCAGTCTGTGATGAGAACTAAATTTTGTATAATAATATGGATTTCTTCTAGAATATTCTGGCAGGTTTTGATGATGAATGATAAGTGTTGGTCTGCTAACATCTTGTTCAATGTTCAAATATTTGGAGCAATACATATTTGCATTTGCCTCAATTTTTCTGTGCTCTCATTAAAGTATTACTACATAGTAAGTTGTTACGAAACTGTTGACTGCCAGATGTTTCAATGGTTGGAAATACAAAATTACTCAATGAAATAACTGAAGTGCTAAACAGTTTACTTGAATCACAGGACTAGCCTACACTGACTCCTAGTTTGGGGATAGGAAACAACGGAGCTGAATGTGCTGGCTTCTTTAGTTGTTTGGGGGTTACATCAGTCTTAGTAGGTTAGTTGTGGATTAGATCTCACCCTGGATACATAGAACCCATTTGCTATTTCTCGACTTTGGCCGGATAAAATGCGGGCAGCTATGTTATGCAGTAATTTTTTTGTCTTGTGGTTAGACGTTAAGACAGCTGTTAAAAGTAGAAAGGATGAAGAGGCTACAGGGTTTTGATGGATGTTGTCTTCAGAGCATTACTTGAGCGTGGTGGGGTTACAATATGTGAGATTTCGAAGTTAGACTTATTGAAATGGGCAGCGAAAGTATATCAGTCGATGAAGTTATGAATACTAATAAACCTAAGTGACATGGATACGTGTAACACATGCTCAAGTAGTCATCAACCTCGAAGTGCTATATCAGCTGTGGTAAGATTGGTTTAAAACAGGCTTTGAGGTGATCAGACTAATCCATGAGGTTTCTGATCGTTGTATGGAATGAAACAGAAAAGTGTAAAGTTTCTGACTACTTTCCTTGAAATGATAAAAATCAATGATTGAAGAATATTTGATATAGCTAAAAATCGACTATAGATCTATATATTCCTTGACATATTTTGAAGTTTTTCATCAAACTTCTACTGATTTTTATTTTTCCGTTCATCTACTCTCGCTTACTTCAGCGTCATCCGTTTTTCTACAGATGGTGATTTGAAGAGACATAGATAACTGAATGAACCTTTCATACTAAGAATCATGAGTTCCCTAAAATAAATCATTGAAACTAAGTTTATTTAAATACCTCAGTAGCAGTCAATCTGAGTACTTAAGGATGATGAGACCAGATTTAAATGAAAAATAAATGACTTAACACTGTTTAAGCATATTAGATTTTCTCTATTTCATATGGCACACGGTGAAATAGTATTACTTACTTCATGACGTAATAAACATACATTATTATTTATAAACATATTAGTATAATCAGACCACTTTCAACAATCTATTTTTATAGTCCTGTCACTTCATGTTATTTGTTTTATTGGCAGCGAAATTTTCCATATCTCAGGTTTATCTGCAGCATCATTTCCACCACATGTGTTGGGTGTAGATTCGATAAACAGAGACTGAGTAATCAATCTCTCTCTCTCTATGAACTTAATTATATTTATTATGATTTGACTATCTAAGATAGCCATAGTTAGGCAGACTAGTATTTGTACTGTGTGACGATTGAAGATGAGATGGAAATCTGAACCGCAGCCGGATTCGAACCAGCGACGGCTGGCCCGGTGCTATACCAACTGAGCTACGAGGTCCGACTGCTGACCAGAATTTTATTTCACTTCAATCACCAAGGGTTGGTAGAGCACCGGGCCGGTAACCCGATGGTCGCTGGTTCACCTCCAATCACCACCCAGTACAAATTAATTATATTGGACTTAAGTACAGTGATTTTATCCTGCCCAGCCTGCTGTGTGGTTGTATGCTAACGTATGCACTGCAATAACCAAGTTTTGTTCTAGATTATTCATCCCATTGGAGTCTATCATTCTATATTTGGCTAGATTCTTATATTCTGATCGTTCAACCGACCCCGGTCGGCTAGTTTAACCCTTACATGGAATTTGCTAGATTAGATTATTTTGCTTATCTGGTTCTATTGGATCCCTATGCCGATAAAGCTTGTCTCTGATTGGGTTTGTAGGTTTAAATACCAACCTAATTCCAGGCTTGTTGAGAATCCTACGTTAGATTTCTGATGTTCCTTCTTTAAATGGTAACACAACAGAAGCTTTGAACTTCTTTATGCTCCTCTTGTTGATATCATTTTTATTCGTAATTCTGTCATTATTTCGTTTCTTGTATGTTCGTATGACTTTCCTGATAAAGCGTAAGGGATAATTATTAATAATTAACGCCTTTTTAATGAGTTCAAATTTCTTGTTTAAGTCCTTACAACGACCAGCCAGTTTTTCAGCTCTATCATTTAGATATTTGACTCAACCCACCTTAATGCACATTTGATGAGATGACCTGAAGTTTGGATACCAGCTGAAATGTATTGGTTTCTTGTAGACGGTAGTATCCAAACCACCGTCTGTCCTTCATTTCACTCTGCAATGAAACAAAGATAATTCTTCTCCTTCATTTTCTATCTCGTAAGTGAACTGGATGGTGCCTACTACTCCGTTTACATATGTGAGGAAACACTGAACACATTTTGATTTCAACTGAGTAAATATGTCGTCCACATGTCGCCACCAGATTATAGGAATAGGACTAAACATGCGTAAAGCCATGTTTTCCTAACTACCCATAAATACATCTACTGTGATTGGGGATATCGGTGACCCAAATGCTAGTCGTTCTGTGTGCCTATATACTTGTTCTTGAAACTTGAAGACTGTGGAGGTCAAGCACAACTTTATGCCTAAAAAGACTTATTCAACCGATTTATTAGTTCTGTTAGTAAGTTCTGAATAAATTTTTAAATTTTTTTTGCCGTCAAAAGTAGAAATACATCGAAATACATTTGGTCCACAGTAATAATTTTTCGTAAGTGTTATTTTCTATCCCCTCTCCCTAGCTCCATGTCACTTGTTATCCAATAAAAATAGATGAGAAACTAACCAAACTAACTAAAGCTGGCAATTGTAACAGCTTGTCTACTTTACTGGTGTACTTTTAGATACGCGAATAATAAAATATGCATGTAGTACTATGATAATGTTGTTATTTTTGTCAAAATACATCAGTTAACAACTAAGAAACAGTTTTTGAGATTTATGCGGATTTTTATTGTTAAGGTAGTAACTATCACAGACTGAGAAGTAGGAAACTGTGAACTATCGAATTCCTACCTTGTGGCTGAGTGAATAAAATTTTTGTCATGATTTTGATCCCTGATGTGGTCGTAGGTCTGAGTAGCCTATACTAGGATAAACAAATGACTAGTGCTTTAAAGTTTTCAATATTTCTCTAACTGATATCAGTCCATGATCAATACTACCTTAAGAGATTTTTCGATGAATTATAGCAAAAAATAAGCTTTACCTTCATTTTATTCCAAACAATTTGTTTAACTTGACTCCATAGTGAAGATCTGAAAAATATATACAGAAGAAATAAGGTATATTATGTTTCCCATTAACCTACTTTTTTTTAGCCAGATGAAACCAAATGAAACAATAAAAACAATTACCTGTGCTTAACTGGAAACATTTGAACATATACTATCCCGAGAGCACCAAGTATATTCAGCCAAAATTCAGTAGATTTCCAGCTAACAACTGACGGATTACTACTGTTCATTAATTCGTCAAGATTACATTGTATAGATAGTGAAAGTGATTTAGCCTCACTGATTTTATATTCCAAAGTCTATAAGGATATTCATACAAATAAAACAGAAGAAAAAAACATCAGCTTCACATTTCACTAGGAAACATTTTACACAAATAATCCCCCTTAACACTGTGATTTTACCATCAGATAAGGATGCACTAACAACAAGAGACATTGACCAGCTGCGCTACTTTAATTTCGGGCTCTTCATCTGTGTCTATCCACAGACCTAAATGAAATCCGAATCAAGATTGTTTGAAATTACTCAACCCATGGTAATATTGACTTGATAGTCTCGAGTTTAGCAGCGTACAAAGTCAATTATGTATACCATTAGGAAGTCAAAAACTAAAACAAAACAGTGATTCATTGTTTCGTGGTTTTCAGTGGTTCAATAGCTGATACCAACACCTTGATGAAGGCAGTTGTTTAAACACAAAACAAATGAACAAATGAATTAAAATACCTATCAAAGTATAAATCGTATGACATGAAGTAGTTATCACCCTGTAGTTAGATAGACAAATGCAAATAAATATTGCCTACAGACAACTCCCTACCTGATAGATGATGTAGGTTATAATACAGTAAACTTGAATTTGTACTACTTAAGCTTTAGGTAAATCCACTGAATAAATTGTATTCAGTTATTCCTTTGGTTTATGGTGGAAGCTAACACTTTAAGCAATCGGTAAACCCTTTAGACGGCATGGTTAAATAGAGAAATAGTACAGCAGTACTAAATCAAATAGATAATTCCTTCAGCTAACAGCGAAGTCTATCTCGCTCGCAGTTTTTACAGCTCATTAAGTTCTTATGTTATTTGTTTAATTGGGACTAAGAAACGCTTTTCTCTGTAGCTGAGTTCAGTAAAATGAGATTTCAACGCATAAATAGTAACTTGCTTTTCTGCCCAACAAGGTGTAGTTATCACCACTCAACAATCCAGTCGATAATGCTTTGTTAGGGTATAAGCAATACCTGTTGAGTCGCAATTTAATTGGAAACGTGAACAGACAACTGAATACGTTTAGCTAAATAACTCAAAACAGGATGAAACTGACATTCTGAATTTGAAACAGTGGAGAATATTTGTAGCTCAGGTGGATGATCTTGGTTGCATTGTGTTCTCTGAGCTGGGTTGTTTAATCGTGAAGCTTTCATAGTCTTTCCACACGACATCATCAGCACTAACTTCAGTATGAAGTGAGCTGTCAATATCTCTCCATGAGTGTTTTAGTAGCTTGCCTTGACGAAGCGGTCTATGATTGGTTGTTTCTTTTGACTGTTGTGTCATTCACTGTATAGATTTTCCTGTTGGCTGTCCCTCTGATTCACCTCTGACCTTTCTGTCGTTTATCATCTTTCTTATTGGTTGATAGATTGGGTCTATGCCTATATATCTGTTGATTACTGACTGACCTGAATGTCTAGCTTCTGGGAATTCTCTGATATTCTTTATGTCTCCTCTCCCTGTTCAGAATTTCTACATTGTAGAAATTGAATTCATGTCCATAATTATCCACGTGCATTGAAGTGAGTGATACGATGTCATGTGTGACGTTTAATAGCCAGTTGGTGTTCATGTAGGTGAAGGTGAAGAGGGTGACCACTTTTCAAATGTAGTGTTGACTACAATTATTGCAGTTGATTTTGTAAATGATGTTTGGTTTGTCTTCTTTGGTTGTTGAGTCCTTTGGTCTGCATAATGTGGTTTGGAGGGAATTTGTTGATTTATGAGCCACACCAATTCCAAGTGGTCTCAGTAATCTTATCGTGATTTCTGATATATTCTTTCTGTATGGTAGGATGGTCTGTTTGTTGATTTGTGTGGATGACTTTGTAGTTGATGATGTACGGGATTGGCACCTTCTGATGAAGTTTCGTGAGTAGCCGTTCTTCTTTAAAATGGACATCAAGTAGTTTGCTTCGTTTCCCGTGAATGGTTGTACTGTAGTATGTTCTCGCTCTTTTGAATAGAGTATGCACACAACTGATCTTGTGGGTTGTTGGGTTGTTGCTACTGTAGTTGAGGACTTGGTCAGTATGTGTTGGCTTCCTGTACACTTGGGTTTCTAGCTTCCCCGTATTTCTTCTATTGACCAGAACATCCAGGAATGGTAGTTGGTTGTTTGACTCCTCCATTGTGAATTTAAACTATCATCACAATTAAGTAAAGCATCACAAAGTGAAACAAAAAGAAGCATTAAGGGATTTTTATAAAGGGTGTTCAGTCTGTCAGAAATCGATAAATTTGATGAGGTCGATAAAGCAATCAGAGGTAACAAAGTCTAAACGACTTACTAACTTTTTATCCCTTCACAATGATATCTGAAGCATTTAAAGCTTTGAAGTCACGTTACCTCCAACTGTATATATCAACTAACAAGTACACAGGAGGGACACAAACGTTTTGTGATTACATGTCTGCATGTATTTCGATGCATTCGCGACTGAGAGGTCAAAAAGTCTTCAACAGCTTTATGAAACTGGAAAATAATTTAGTTTGGCATTGGGTGAAGGTAGTGCTATATTGTGAACTAATGGAACTAGAAAAAGTGAACTTCTGGACTGCTAACTGGTGGCTCAATGTTAACGTGTTAATGGCTAAATCTTAATGTCTTGTGTTCTATCTCTGGCGAGTTCATGCGTGCCCATGATGAACAGTCTGATGATAGAACGAAGCATATGTCCAATGTCCCCATGGATTCAATGCTTCATTGACTGATGTCAGTCAATAAATTTCAACAATTGGTTTAATCAAGAGCATTAATTTTTCTTGAAGTATTACCAAAATAAAATGATATCATTAAAACCATTTTAGTTCATTTCATGCCATAAGATAATTAGGAGAGGCCATTATCTGTTACCACCAACCAATGAAGTAAACTGCGTAAGTATACAGTTAAATAATTGTAAAAAGTCATTTCGAAATGGACTGACTGAAATATTGACTGACTAACTAACTTACTTCAATACTTCTGAAAGATGTTCGGTTTGATTTTCACATTCAGTTAAATGAGTGTTGATCATTTCCAAATCTAACTTAGTCAACTGTAAGGATAAGTGTAGATTTCCAAGCATTGTTTCAATTTGATTAACTCGTGAGTCTGCTGATGAATAATTATTAATATGACTTTGTAAAAGTTCATTTGCATTACAGCATTCACATAATGCTCTTAACCACTGACATAATCTTGATGCTGCAACACTAATCTACCATTCATTCATTCAAAGGAAACAAAACATTTACAATGGTGGTATCATTGAAACAAGTCATGAGAATAAAAGGAAGGAGAATCAAATAAAATTTCTTTTAAAAGAAGTTCAGTATGGAAACGAGATAATTTGGTGACAAACTAATGAAAAACTTAACGATTACCGTAGACACGTAATCATAGTTATCGGGAAGACACTTCTAGGCATAAAGTTGAAACTTTCATAGTTTCATACTTACTATTTATCTCACAACTAAAAATCCTTAGTTCCCTCAACCAGCACGCAATGTTTCAGCTAAAAAATCAGAATTAGTTTTTAGTAAATCACGTGGTAATTATGGGACTGATTAACTTAACCATTTCCAACAATTATCACTCGACTTGTTGTTCAACGATCACTATTCTCTTACTTCGACATGCATTTCTTGAAGTTTTGACGAAACGCCTTGACCTAACAAGTTTAAAGGTGAGTGAGTACATGCCAGCGCTATTTCGACTACAGGCGGCGTGGACGAGGACGTCAAAGTCAGGATCAAGAAAGCAAGACAGGCGTTCATTAGCCTGAAACCAGTGTGGAGATCTTCTGCACTGCACTCAGCATGTGGAACAACATCCGGATTTTCAACACCAAGTCAGTCAAGTCAGTGCTTCTGTATGATACTGAAAGACTTGGTGCATCACGAAAAGCATTTAAACAAACTACAGACATTCATCAACAACTGCCTACACTGGCTCGCTACTGAAGATCAGATGGCCAGAATAGTCAAAATAAGCAACAAATAACTCTGGCCAGGCAACGAACCAACGAAGCAAGAAGCTATCACCCAACAAATATGTATTGGAAGGAAGTGGAGATGGATTGGGCATAGACTGAGAAGGCCGACTGGAGACATCACACGTCAGGCCAGTTGCTGGAGTGGAACTCCCATGGGAAGCGACCAGTTGGGTGTCCGAGGTGAGGGTGATATAGAGGAGATCTATGAGGAAGAAATGAGAGGTTGTGGGCTGTTGTGGAGCCAGGTTGGAAAGATTTCAGAGAAGAGAGTGGACTGGAGACGTGCTAGTGAAGCCCTATGTTCTATTAGGAACCCAAGGGACAAATAATAATAATATAATAATACACCTCAATGGGTTTGGGTGACAGTCACACTATATCACAAACTGACAGAAATAGAAGAGTGTGGGTCATTGAATTCCAACCCCGGTCGGTGGATGATAATATGCTCGCCTTGAAACCTGACAACCCTGTACCTCATGCCCCACAGGGTTGTGGGTAAATTCGAATTAGTTGTCCAGTGATTTCAAATTTTGAATAGCTCTCCTATTGACGTCAGTTCGCGATAAATACTACCTCTAAAATTAATTTCATTAACTTTCGAAGCAAAAAAAATTGTTTTTCATGCACTTGGTGGTGATCTATCCTCTTGCCAACATTTGTTATTTCAGAATAATAATGAATGATATGCATATATGATTTGTTTTGGACTAAATATCTGGATGCAAGTGTCTCCTAGAAAGTGATTTCTTTTCCATTAAGATTAGAAGTCAACATGTACCACTGTAAATGCTCATTATAAGGTAATGGGAAGCAGGTTCCTCCAAATGACGAGTTGTGGACATAATACGATTTGAATACTGAATTCCACTGCCAGTCACTGAAGACTTGCACTATCAAAATAGAGGTAATGGTATTTTACAGACGTAGGCCAACAGTGGCTTATCATCTCACCACTCAATAATGAAAGACAGGAGAAGAAAATCTATATCGTACACTCAAAATATGAGGTTTTTCGTGACCCGCACTATGAAGATTTCTTTCATTGAAATCACGTTCTCTAAACCTACCATATGGTGTTTAATTTAATATGAATTACATTTGAAGGTTTGTGGTGATCTGTTGATTGATTTCAAGTGGCATTCATCATGGACTGATATCAGCTGGAGGACTATTAAATACCTGGGAGCACTATATCAAGCTGTGTGGAAAAGTGACAAGTAGGAAAAGTAGGCTATGCGGACGCACAACTGAGGAGTCCCATACTAGGACGAAACAGATGTCCAATGTTCCCAGGTTTTTAATGGTGCTCCGACTTATATCAGTACATGATTAATACCACCTGTAAGTCCACTAATCAAAGAGGGGAAAATTACTTTTTAAATGAATTTGGTTTCCTGAATATACTCTATTGGGAAACGGCTATAGGCAGTTAATCGATTGACTTCGGCTTTTGCTGTCGATTAAGGGCTTGGTAGATGTATCACTTATCCTCTAGGAAAACATTCCCTGTGCAGTTAATGATAATTAGAGGTATCGATGTATCTCTATAGGTAACCATCTCCCGGCAGTAGTCGACCAATTCGATGCCGTATCGCAACGGGAGATTAAAAGTATCAAACTACAACTGATAGCCGTTGCACAAGAGGTTGCCATCATATCCTAGTAGTCCAGTGGGTAACGCTTTGCAATTTGAAACTGTGCATACTAAGTCAGAGTCTCAATGGGAGCAACATCACTCACTGGGGTGCAGGTACATCCAGATGACTAGTCCCAAATGGGAGGATACTCATGTCCTGGATTCCTCTGCTAGTCACCAAGCAGATTACAACACAGTTAGATAGATCTGACATATATGTCTATAGCAGTCAGATCTCATGAAATCTGTTTAGTGATGTGGTGGAGATGCAAACTACTATATAATAGTCCGAGGTTTGGAAGGAACAGTAACAGAGAAATCTAGAAAAACAAGTCCAACTGTTTTAATGATTCTTGTAGTTCCCCGTTACTATACAGGGCTGAATTTCGTGACCTTTGTTGACAAATGAGCTCCTAAGTGGATGCCTCGATACTACGGAATATTCTTGATGTTATACTGATCTTGGTAACTAACAGAGAAATCCAGTAAGTGAGTTTGGTTCTATTTGCGACTCGTCAGGTTGGTGTACCTACAACTAAGTGAGTGATTTTGTTCCTACTGAGGCTCGAAACCAGAAACCACCAATTCAAACACCACAGCGTTATCCACTAAGCTACTGGAGTACAATAGTCACCTCTTGTGCAACGGGTATTAGTTGTTGTTACGTTACTTGTAGCCTCAGTGAGAACAATATCACTCAATAGTGTGCAGGTACACCCAGCTGACGAGTCCCAAGTAGGACGAAACGCACGTCCTTGATTTCTCTACCAGTCACCAAGATCAAAATTTCTTAGCCCAGTTTCCAACATGATGGAGGTGATCAGGCGAGAAACTTACAATAAACAAGGATGAAATACCTGTTTATTTGCAGACATTTTTCCAAAAATGACCGACAGAAGTGACTATTGAAACAGTAAGTTTATGAAATAGAATTCAAAGTTAAGCAATAACCTTTCCAAATTCCAAGTTAGTGATTAAAAAATGCAGATCAAATTTCTGTGAAAGTAATTCAGAATAGATAATTGCTTACTTGTAGTAGATTTTCTGGTGTCAGTATTACTGAACCAATCAAACGTCTTCTTAATTCTCTGTATTTAGTTTTATCTAGTAGCTGAGTGTGTAACTTCAAAATTTTACTAATAAATTTCACTGGAACCATCATGTGTTTGGCATTTTCCCAGCTAGTTATTGAAAAATAAATGAAAACTCCATTCTTTTACAAAACTGATATTTTTTAAAGAGATGCATCATGTAGCAAAGAAAATATGTGAATTTAGTAGATTTACTGCTTACAAACTTAGTTTTATATTCTTTCAGAGAAGTAGTATATTTGACCACTGATATTGTTCATTGTACTAAAAAGCTTTAATCTCAAAAGTGTATTACATATGATTACTTTCTGAGTCGTGATTCTCTGGGTTCTTTGGCTCATAGGTTTAGGAGATGATTTACAATCAATTGTTTACGGGTCGAATACCGCTCCACATACCTAGGTTTGGGCAGCCAGGTAGTATTACTAACCCTCACATAATAGGTACGGTTTATTACCTACTGCACGAAAGTGCTGAGATCTTTTCGATTTTTGAATACAGTTATCTATCAGAAGTACCTCGCTAATACCTTGCTGGTTACGCCAAGAAATCTCAGTAACGTAAATGTTGAAGGTGACCAAATTATCACCATTAATGTTATACTGTCTGAGACTAACTCCCGTAAAAGAGATAGCCAATGATTTAGAAAGAAGCTTATCGTTTCTAGGGTCATAATCGTTCAATGTCTGATAACAACAGACATTTAATATTTACGAAGAACATAATACTTCAAGTAGAAATGTTGGAATTTCATCTTATGATAAAATCTTTCTATATCAGAGGAAATTTCCTAGGAAGATTTCCTCATCTATAACTCTCATGACAAAATATCATAACATGTGAGGTGAACAATGAACTCAACTTGTAGATGATCCCCAATGATTATATTTAATAGATAAAACCCAGAAGTGTTAGTTGGTTGGAGGTAACCGGCAGGAAGGCATGCCCAACCTAGGCTTCATGCTTGTAGGCACCCCTTAGTGAAGCCTATCTCCCCCTCAACGGAACTGGTGTCCCTTCTGGAATACAGACGCGTATCACTCAGTATTGCAGTTAGTGATTTTGCCACTAAGCTATTCGGGTAGAGAATGAACTCCTGTAAGACTGAATTAGACACATTAATTAATCACTGAAGAGCAACCGATTTCAGTTTTTGCTTTATAAGTATATCGTCTTGTAAGATTGTGTACGCGGTCACCCAAAGTTCGACAAAATGTCTGTCTTAAACCATACTATCACTTCTTCCAGCGAAATTCTTCAAAATATTCATGGAGTAATCATCAACTTTTTCTCAGGTCTTTGTTGAGAAACGTCAAGTTCATTATGATAGCGAGAGGCATTAATAACCAGCCTTCAACGAATCTCATCAAATTATACAAGCCTCTTGAAATGTGATGCGTGATGATAGTCAGAACATAACTGATTGCTTTATCAATATGTGAAGCTAAAAATAATGCCTAACTGAATATCGAACAATATTCTTGATCCTATAATTAAGTTATAGAAAATATAAGCCTTTTACGTGTGAGATTTTACCGTATATAGCTATATTCATGACCATCCTAATCATGCAAGATACTTAGTATTCATTAATATTCATTGTACCCGGTTAGGCTGTTGTCTGTTACACGATTCATGCGGAAATTTCTATACATTAAATAGTAATGAACAAATAAAACTGTAATTCATCTTGGACGTTTGTGGGCATTTATTAATTTCCAGTTCGTGTTCCTTACGGACTTACATCAGTTGGAAAACCATTAGAAACTAACTGGAAATTAATAAATCCACACAAATCTCCAGAGTTTTAATAAGAAGTCTTAACCAGTGGGGCAGATTAAATCGGATGGGAGGACAAATACTCAGCGATGTCACTGGATTAAGTCTGCTCTACATCGCAAACTTACAAAAGTAGGAAAATCTGGGCCACTAGGTGGCTTTATAGCACTATGTTCTCCACTTAACCTGAAGGTCATAACTGCGTACTGCTGAGGTGTTACAAGTAAGACGAAACAGCTTCCAGTGCTCCTGGAGTTTCAGTGATTCTCTGCCTGGTTTCAATTCATGATGAACACCAAACTGAAAATGGACTAAATTTTGTGAGTATATACAGGATAAATCTGAACGTTACCAGTGGAATCCAGTACGTGCTTTTCGTCCTATTTAAGATGCAGCAGCAATATGTACTGACCTCTTGTAAGCTTTGATGTTCCCATCAAGATTCAAGCTTCAAATGCCAAAAGGTAATCCAGTGAGCCACAGACTCACAATCGACACTCCTTGTGGAAAAGTTACAAGGCCAGTTGTGACTTAGTGGATAATGCTGTAGTGCTTGAAGTAACCATTCTCAAGCTCCAGGTATAGTGGGATTATTACTACTCACTATGAGTCAAGTACATCGTACTGATCAGCCTCAAACAGGAGGAAACGCATGTCCAGGATTCCTTTACTAAACGCTATCCACCATTACCATACAAAGGCCAGTTTCAACTGGAGGAAGGTGAATAGTTGGTAGACTAGAAGATTGTACCACCCCACGAAGACTTTGGCTGTTGGTCTGAATTATGCATTGAAATCCGGACCACTAGATTAGAGTCTGTGTTAGAAAGTGAGACAAATTTCTGAAGATAATAGGTAATATAGTTCAAAAACGATCTAAGTGACGCAAGCATTATCAGACATTATTTTCCTCTTTATCACCATGTAAAATGTGGTTTTTTGTTTTGCCTCGTTTTGATTGATTCTCATGACTTTCTGCGAAATGATTACAGTTTTGCTTCATATCCTTTTATCTTTTATCTTCTTACCACCTTATATTTTGATGTACTGACATGAAATTGTGTCAGTCTGTGTCCAGTAAGCAGTATTGTCAACTTTCATCGAAATACTAACTAACTGAACTCTTTTTATCAAGCTAACAGGAAAGAAGCGGATAAGTAAAATATTTTATGGCTTCACTTAGAAGGAGCTAAATGTCACACTTATAGTTCTTTATACATTTTATTCATAAGATATGAAAACTCAAAATCGAAAAGACAAAAACCAGTTACTTTTCCTCTTCATCCATAAGCATACAAATTATGTAAACACAATCTTTTACTGCATCTGGTGGTTCACGATATGAGCGTATTTCATCCAAATCTTCAATCGACAGGCCATGCAAGCCTTGAACGGCTATACGATATAGATCCTTTAACTAAAATGAAACATAAATTTGTAAACAGAAAGAAACAGTGAAAGCACGTTGAATTTCATTTCTGAATTCAATTATCGGTATATGGCACAGTAACAAAAACTGTCCATATAACGACCAATTAGTTCACTAAACACAGTTTGCACTGCGATTTTATTATTACCACAAAAAACTAATAAAGATCACAATGAAATCGAAGTATGTTATGAAGATAAAAACTACCTGGAACACTCAAAGAAAACGCTCAGTCACATTTCATCGTACTGGATCACTCATCAGGTGGATAGATAAAGTCTTAATAGATTCAGCAGATTGTTACATTATTATTATTACTTGTCCCTTGGATCCCTAGTACATACAACATAGGCTTCAGTAACACGTCACCACTTCACTCTATTCTCTGCAGTTCCTTCAACCTTCCTCCACGACTGTCCAGAAGCTTTCATTTCATCCTAACACCACCTAGTTCAGGTCACACTCCAACGCCCAACTCGTCGTTTTCCATTTGTTTCCACCAGACGGCCTGACCTGGCGCGTGATGTCTCCAAATGGTCATCTCAGTGTATGCCCAATCCATCTCCACTTCCTTCAACTGCATATTTGTTGGGTGATAGGTTCTTGGTTCGTTGCCAGCAAGCTAAAGTTCCTCCTTGCTTATTCTTATTATTCTGGTTATCTGATTGATCTTCAGTATCAGTATCGAGTGAGCGTAGGCGGCAGCTGTTGATAAATGTCTGTAGTTTGTTTAAAATGCTTTTCGTAACGCACCAAGTCTTTCAGCCATCATACAGAAGCACTGACTTGACTGACGTTGGTGTTGAAAATCCGGATATTGTTCACGCTTTATACTAAGTGAAGTAAACTGCAGTACAGTAGATTGCCACACTGGTTTCAGATTAATAAAGGAAGGTCTTTCGTGCCGTCTTTCCAACCCCGGATGCTTTGACATCCTCATCTGTGTTTGTGCCACCTGTAGTTGAAACGATACTACCTAGGCAGGTAGGTAGGTGAAAGAGACTACTTCCTTTAGGTTTCGCCCGTTCATGGTGATTGGTGCCTCTTATTATTATTATTGTTGTTGTTGGCTGGATATCTCCATCACCTCCGTCTTCTCTACGTTCACTTGGAGTCTCGTCTTCATTCACTGCCCGTCTCTTCTGTCAACTTGTTGGTTTTCGCCTGTAGATCTTCAAGTTTATGCTACAGAAAACATCAGACATAAATCATCATGGGGAAGTGTAAATCTTCTTCTTAGACCTTTTCATCGGTCCAGTCAGCGTACGCCCATCTTCTCACATCTCCTCATAGTTTGTTACATGATCCAGTTCAATTCAGTCTAGTCGATCATAAATAAGGAAGATCATCGGTGATAGTAGGTGATAGCCTTGTCTTACTCCTGTCTTCACTTCACTTCAAAGGCGTCACTCAGCTTTCCACTGTGAATCAATTGTCATGTTGCATCATATAGCAAATAGCTGTTGAACGAGGTTGATAAAGGTTTGTGGCACTAAAAGTGCAATGTTGAAGCAGTTGCCAGATTACTTCTCGGTCGATGCTGTAGAAGGCCTGTTCAAAATTGATGAAGTTGAGGTAGAGAGTTAACTGCCATTCTATACTCTGTTCTATGATGATGTAGTGTAGCGTTGCAATTTGATCGGCAAATGATTTGTACTTCCTGAATCCAGCCGGCCTGTTCCGGTCGTAATTTTGGTCTCTGATGCTGCCTAATATTTTGCTTGGGGGGAGAGGGACACAGCATGATTCCGCACCAGTTCTTGCAATGACTTGGGTCCCCCTTCCTTAGGAATTTCACAAGGTAGCCATTCTTCTAGTCAATCGCTAGGTACTTTTCCTTCCGAACCCTCTCCAATAGTGGTGTGAGCATATCCGTTGATGTCTCTGTGTCTGTGTTTAGTTCTTCTGGAGGAACTCCGTCTGGTCCTACTGCTTCCCAGGCTTTTAGCAGCTTTATGGCGTTCAGGACTTCACTTCTGCTTTTGTCAGAGGGTATATGTTCACAGATAGTTCTGTGACTTGGCTGCTGGTGGTATTTCCGGACGAGATGCAGATGGTGGTGGAGATTGATTCAACAGCTTTTTGAAGTGGTCAGCCTATCGTTTCCTTTGTTTCTCCTCTTTGGTAACTAGGTTTCCTTCACTATCTCTCATTGGTTTCATCTGCTTCTATCTCTTCCCAGATATTATTTTGGTTACTTGACATAGTGTTGTCAGGTGTCTGTCTCTACTAATTGCAGCCTGTTTTGCTTCACTTGCCAGTGTGTCGTGGAAGTGTCTTCAGTCTTTCCACGCACTCTTCTTCACTTCTTTGTTCAGTGTTTTGTAGGTTCTATTCAGTTCCTCTTTTCTTTGTTCATCCCTTCACTACACTGCACTGGTCTATCTTCTGCTTCACCATCTTTCTCTCACTCCTCTATCAGCTTCCATGCGTTCATTGAGATCCATTCCTTGTCTTCTTTATTCTTCCTTCCTAACATGGTTATGCAGATTTCCTTCCACGTCGCTTTCAGTAGACTGTTTATGGTGGAAAAGCAAAGGAAGTAATCAGTTATATATGAACAAATTCACCTGTGAATTCTTCTTTGATTCAAAGATTCGAAAGACTGAATAGTTTTTACTTTTCAATCTATGCGACACTCATTTGTTCGGATTCATATGTGTTATGGTCTTCCCAAAGACGAGCATATAGTCCAGGTCAGTTTTCATTAATTACTGACAGTAGTCTGATCGATCTTAGGGATCTTTAGCAGAAATGTAAACTTCTATTAGACCAATTAACATTATAATTATTATTTATTATTAGTCCCTTGGGTTCCTAATGGAACATACGGCTTCACTAGCACGTCTCCATTTCACTCTCTTCTCTGATATCTTTCCAACCTGGCTCCACGACAGCCCATAACCTCTCATTTCCTCCTCGCACCATCTCCTCCATGTCACCCTCAACACCGACACCCAACTCGTCGCTTCCCATGGGAGTTCCACTCCAGCAACTGGCCTGACGTGTGATGTCCCAGTCGGTCTTCTCAGTCTATGCCCACTCCAATCCATCTCCACTTCCTTCCAATGCATATTTGCTGGGTGATAGCTTCTTGCTTCGTTGGTTCGTTGCCTGGCCGGAGTTCCTTGTTGCTTATTCACATTATTCTGGCCATCTGATCTTCAGTAAGGAGCCAGCGTAGGGGCAGTTGTTGATGAATGTCTGTAGTTTGTTTTAAATGCTTTTCGTAACGCACCAAGTCTCTCAACCATCACATGGAAGCACTGACTTGACTGACTTGGTGTTGAAAATCAGGATGTTGTTCCATATGCTGAGTGCAGTGCAGAAGATCTCCACACTGGTTTCAGGCTAATGAACACCTGTCTTGCTGTGTTTCCGATTCTGACTGGATTTGACATCCTCGTCTGTGCCTGTGGTGCCTGTAGTTGAAACAGTGCTGCCTAGGCGGTGGGTGAAGGAGGTTAATTTCTTTAAGTTTCTCCCATTGATGTGATTGAAGTTTGTTGTTGTTGTTGTTGGAGTTGTTGGTGTGGTATCTTCATCACTTCTGTCTTCTCTATATTCACCTGAAGTCCCGTCTTCGCCGCCCAGCCTCTTCTGCCAACTTCTTAGTTTTCGCCTGTACATCTTCCAGTTTGTGTGACATCAGGCACAAGTCATCGGCGAAATCCAGATCTTCTAGGTTCTTTTCCGCACTCCAGCCAGCGTATGCCCCTCTTCTCGCTGCCCACTGTTTGCTGCATGATCCAGTCCAGTTGACCACAATCAGGAATATCATGGGGGATAGTAGGCGACCTTGTTTCACTCCTGTCTTCAGACCAGTTAACATGGTCAACAGAAATGATGATAGTCAAGATGCCTTTTGTTAAGGCATGGATGGAAATAAGTCAGTATTACAATGATACGAGACTGATTATTGAAAATTTGCCATGTAGATGGAAATCTCAAGCCCCTTCTAAATGCTTTGACGTCACTGAGGGTAGGTTATTCACGACCATCCTTGTGAAATCTTGTCATATAGCCTGCATTTATAGCTTCTGCCTTAGAACTCCAATGCACTATGTTTATTTGATGAGGGGATTTTAGGCAAAAGTGAGAACATCAAAGCTAACATTTAACACTAACCGGATCGGTATACACGAAGAGTACATCCAGGGAAGTTAGAAAACCCTGATTCCAAACCAGTAGCGAATATTGACCCAACTATCCAAAACAGAGGAATGTAATGCAAACCCTAGTGATGGACAACCACGGGAATGCACTACTCTAGGTTCCTTCACAGTTTTGTAGACCATACTTCCCGCCAGCCTCTTGGGAATCGGTGCTCTGAAATAACTACCTGCTTTTGTTCGGGCATTTGGGAAGTATCACAGCCTAAATAAATTTAACGAATCAATATTACTAGTGAAGACTACAAAGCCTTCATCAAGTCTTTCTAAACGGAACGAAATTCACTTTGTAACAGACTTTCTGCTTAATCCAACATCTGATACAACTCTTCTCAAAGCATATTCATTACTTGAGCTGACCACCTTCAACGTAAAATCACCTATGTAAATCGGACGGTGGTCAAGTTTGGCTAGGATTCTTGAAATCCTTCCTTTTGATGTATACTGTATCTCTCAGTGAAGGGCTTGAAAGAATTTCTTCATCTGTCAGCTCAAAAAGTGTTTTCAAAGTGCGCTTACTCTCGGGTTCTATGAAGTCAGAATCAAGCCATGCTGGTAGTGCTGTCGTAATCAGCGCCAAAGATGAACCCTTGCTAGGTGAGTGGATCTCATTAATAGCCGTCTGTATACCACTAGGCTGGAAGGTTCGACTTAAGTGAGAAGTAACTGGTAAGAACTATGTCTCTCCATAGTCTCTCCCAATGTACGGACGAACCACTGCTCCGATATAGTTTGAGATGAGGTGTACAGTCATCTTAGTAGAATTTTATACTGGTCAGGTTCGACAGATATTATAGCCGAAGCTAGGGACATGACTACACAAGTCAGACGTCTCAGACGGGAAGAGGGTTGTTCAGCTGGCCAGTGGGGTGTACTAGGTTGCCAATCAGATAAGGGCTAATGTCGTGTCAAACTTGTGCAGATTACAGCTTGTTTCTACCTAGTACAAACTTCCAGTGCAGTTACTAACGTTGTGCTACCTGGAGTCTGCCTTTAGCTCCTCAAATTTGGACTCAGAGAGCTCGTATTGCAATTAGCTACTAGTGGTGGGAATGTTTTCAGGACTTCCGGTCCTTTTGAAGAAAACTTTATGGACCCTAACGATGCTTATGTGCTAAGTTCATCTTGCGTTTTGATCATCGAAAACGTCACCCAAAACGGGACGACCTGAGCAAACTGGTTGCACCTAGGATGACAAACTAAATATCAAACAGTAATAGATTCAGGAGTAGTTTCAGAATCACTATAAAGTAAAAATGAACATCGACTGCACTTGCAAGTCCCCATAATAATGGTGTTTGTCTGCTTGTGGCTTTGTGGAACATTAAGCTAATAAACATATGGTCTCTGAGAGCTCCTTGAGACAGTTAAACGCCCATGAATGTACTCCCATAGTACAATGGTGTTCGAAAGTCACCCACGTGACCGACTAAACAACATTTAAGTAAGGAACATAAATCAAAGTAGTCAGAATGCACAAATAAGGTGGAAGCAGCAGTAGTAATATCCGGCAGCAAAAACACAGGCGTCAGTGGGAAGTAGATGGAAATCCTATCACTAACTTTTACCGACTCTTGGGTACTGAACGAAACACTTCTAAAATCAGCTTGGCTGGCCTAATGTAGCTGATTAGTTGTGTGAGTTCTGGTGGTGTGACTGATGAGATTTCCAACCGTAGAGTGGTATATGCCAGTCTGGGTTACTTTTGTCTTCGTTATGATGGTAGCCTTGCACTCAAAATCAGGATATACAATGCATGGGTGCTGGCCTTTCTACTTTACGTTTATGAAACCTGGCCTCTCTGAGCTGATGTCCGTCGGCTTTGCGTGTTCAGTCACTGTTGTCTCACATCCATGAAAAACATCATGTGGATATTTCCAAAGAGGGTTGATGAATGTTTCGAAATGATGGACACTGACATTCACTGAGTAAGTGATATTGTAACAGCTTTAAATGACTGGGACATGTTTTAAGAATCTCATATGACGTCGGCTAACACTAAACCAATGGTGGAAACAGAAATCACATCTCTAAAGCCATCGTTGGGAGAGATCGGTGGGAGAGTGATACTCTCTCTGGAGTACTTGTCTGGACTCCAAGTATGTGTCAATAAGGTCACGTGTATATGATTATAATAATGATTGTAAGCAGTGCTGAACAAAACCGGAGGTGGGTGGAAAAGTCATCAGCGTTAAGTAATACCCTGCAGTTAATTCGACTTATTAACGATACCGACAAGAAAGAGATGATGGTGAGTGAAACCATCACCGTAAAGGAAGAGATCTTGATGATCTCTCACGACAAACGACTATAACGGTGGGTGGAAAGCTATGAAATACAGCCCATCTGACCAATACATTAACGCTCTAGTTGCCCAGAATTCAGCCATCCCGAGCCTGAACGAAAGGTGAATGTTGGTCCTTTAACTCTCGTTAAAGTTCAGAAAGTTGTTTTAAACCTGAAAAGATCCAAAGTAGCAAGACCTGACTGTGTAACTTGGGAGCTTTTAAGGAAGCTAGTGCACGGGAATCATAGCTGGTCACGTCAGAGTTCTACTTCGGCGATCATTTCAGTCTGTAAGAAGGCAAATGGGTGTTCTTATGACAACCATAAAGAAAGTAGTTTGGCTAATGTGGTGCCCAAGATCCTAGGATCCATACTTGTCCCACGCCTAACAAGAGCTCGAAAAAAACCAGGTTTCAGACCTGGTCCAGGGTGCATTGTTCAGATTTTCGCCCTCAAACAAATTCCAGAACACAGGGATGCCTACCAGGGAATGACCGACACTTTCTGCATTTTTTGGCTTCAAGGTGACAGTCGACTCTGCCATCCATGGGGTCTTGTGTGAGTTTCTGACTTTGAAAGCATTACTGAGCATATATTCAATGCTAGCAAAACCCCTTTATTCGAACTCACGCAACCATATTAGGGGTTTTAAAGAGCTGTTACTTCAGTTGTCAACAACTAGTGGTGTTCGACAGGGATTCCCATTGTCACCACTCCTATTTAATTTCGTCATAGATTTACTAATGAACATAACCCTGGGTACGTCTGACTTCACAGGGATTAATCTACTGAAAGTCATATGCTTGACTTGAAGTATGCTTGCAATACTGTCCTGCTAGGTGAAGAAATTACCAAATCCAGGGTCTTGTGAACGTGTTGAGCGGAAATCTGAGTGTGTTTGCATGCTTTTCGCGCCTGTTTAATGTAAGATGATGCTCCACGACTGGTCTGCAACTACCCCTAGTTTAAGGATAGGGTGCGAAGTGTATTATTATTACCATTACGATTATTGTTACTATCATTATTATAGTTGAGGATTTGCACCAGCCCTAATGAGCAGCAAAATACGAACACATCACATCTTTTTGTCATGCTTTTTAAGCTACTGATGGTGGTAATCAATAGTTCAATGCATAACACATAAAATCTTGCCTTGTTAAATTCAGTTTGAGCTAATTTTCTCATACGACCCATTGGTTTTTTCAAATGTTCTAGTTCACCTTCTTTACATTCAGTTTCATTTTCTAAATACTTCAACCGTTCCATTGTATCTGACTGATTCAATCTAGCCTCTGGTAGATAGATATCAAGATAATTAGTTAAATCTTTCTTCAATAACTCGATAACAGTATAAGCTTCAGTGATTTGACTTTCTAATGTTTGATAACCAGTTTTCATTGAATCAAAAAGTAGATTCGTTTCATTTAGTTGATTCAATAAATTTTGTTTGACATTACTATTTTGTTTATAATAATGAAGGTATAACCATACATTTAATGCTTGTGATAAGTAATTAACTGAGTACAAATGATTGAATGAAGAATTTTGATTTGATAGTGCATACTGACAAACAAATAAATGAACTTCAGTAAATATATCACACAAAATCTGATTTTCATCTCTGTTATCCTGATAACCACAGTCGCTAATATAGTTCATAATAAAGCTGTTTAGCACGGAATTTTGATCAAGATTTACATAGTTAATTATGTTCAAATCTTGTGAATTGGTTAGTTGTAAATCGGACATTTCAGTGAAATCTATTATACAATCCAATGGTATATATTGAATCAATGGTTGAATTAGTTTATCTGAAACAAAACAAAATTGTTCATTCTTTATTAAACATCAACAGATTTTTTAAACTTAAACAAATCAAAAACTTACAAACTATGATTTTTGGATCGAAACTACTGACAAGTGACTACTTAAATCGAAGTAACAGTTAACTAATTCTCATTTATTTCATTCTACATTTTATTGACCTTCTGCTAGCATAGAGCAAAGTTTTCAGTTTCAAGTCTTGATATTTGCATTTCATTTTGAAAGATCCCCAATTCAGATTTTAAAAGAAGCATTTTCCATTTTCCTCTTTTCTGTGGTTTAATGCAGCCTTTAGTTAATTACATCTATTATCATTCCATGTGTACAAATTAGAAATTCAAAAACTCTATTCACTTAAAATAAATGAGTAATGAAGCATTGGAACACTACCGTTTACGGTATTGATTCTACAAACATCATAAGTGTAAATACCATAACTTGCTAAAAATAAACACCACAAGGATTAAATAGAGGTTTCTTTCAGTTGTAAGCTTATTTGTTATTGAGCAAGTTCAGATTCTCTTGTATTCCGTCCACTGTTACGTAATCAAAATAATGCTTGTGTGAAACATGTAGCTTTTAAATACTTTAATTTAGCTGGTTAGGAGAATATATTATTTTCATCACTATCTTTAGATTAGAAGGTAATTAACTTTAAGTGAAAACAGGAGTAAGACAAGGCTGTCTACTATCACTGATCATCTTCCTGGGTGAGATCAACCGGATCATGCAGCAAATCATCAGGAGCAAGATGGTGGGCAAATTCTGGACCGATGGAAAGACCCCAGGAGAAGATTTGGATTTTGCCGATGATGATTTATGTCTAATGTCTTCTGTAGCATAAACTCGAAGATCTACAGGCAAAAACCGACAAATTGATAGAAGAGGCGAGGTAACGAACACGGGACTTTAAGTGAACGTATAGAATACAGAGGTGATGCAGATACCTAACCAGCAACAACATCAACAACAAGCACCAATCACCATCAACAGGAGAAACCTAAAGGAAGTAGTCTCTTTCACCTATCTACCTGCCTAGGTAGCATCGTTTCAACTACAGGTGGCACAAACACAGATGAGGATTTCAAAGCAACCAGGATCGGAAATACAGCAAGACAGGACTTCCTGCAATAATCTGAAATCAGTGTGGAGATCTACTGTACTGCACCACATCACACTACACTGCACTGAATTGTACTGGACTCAGCATAAAGCGTGAACAGAATCCAGATTTTCAACACCAACGTCAACTCAGTACTTCCATATAGTTTAGAGATTTGGCGCGTTATGAAAAGCATTTCCAATAAACTACACACATTCATCAACAGCTGTCGTCTACACTCACTCGGTACTGACACTGAAGATCAGATAGTGGGAATAATAAGAATAAACAACAAGGAACTCACTCTGGCAACGAACCAACCAACAACCTATCACCCAACAAATATACAGAAGAAAGTGGAAATGGATTGGGCATAGACTGAGAAGACCATGCGCCAGGCCAGACCCTCATGTGAAACCGAGATGGGAAGCGACGAGTTGGGCGTCCGAGGCGAGGGTGACATGGAGAAGATTATGTGAGGAAGAAATGAAAGCTTGTGGGCTGTCGTGGCGCCAGTTTGAAAAGACTCCAGAGAAAAGAGTGGAATGGAGACGTGCTACTGAAGCCCTATGTTCCACTAGGAACCCAAGGGACAAATCATAATTATAACGCCAAGTAGAGATACAAGAGGCATCAAACACGTGTTTCCAAAACAGTTTGAATGGAATTCATTGACGAAGTTCTTCGCCTACCTCGAAAGCTTCAGGTGTTGTGGATAACAGGGGACCGTTTCATTCTAGGAAACTTTATTCACTATAGAAGTAAAAACCGTCATATCACAGAATGAACACGTGTCTGCACATTTCTAACTTCGAGATTTATACGGGGAAATGTTCTATAGTAAACTAGATAACCACTGCTGCTGACACATAGAGATAACATATTTCAATTACAAGTAGGAGATAAGGATACAGGTTCCTTTCTACATGGGCCTCAGGTGGATAAGGTTATTGGAGCATGTAGCCTTTTATCTATAACTAGAAAACGATGAAATTATTCTTGGAATTATTTATTTCCATTCTGGATAGAACTGCTTGACGTCGGCTGGCAGATGGGCCCCTAAAGGAATGCCTTGATACTGTCTGAATATTCAGCATGTTTTATTTTACTTGATGGCTAATAGTGGAATCCAAGATGCCCGTTTTGTCTTATTTGGGACTCGTCAACTGGACGTACCTGCACTCCAGTTTGATGCTGTCCGCACTGAGATTCGAAGCCAGTACCACTTCCTTCAAACGTCAAAGCGCCATCCAGTTAAAGTAAATTGAACAGTATCAGTATCCATAAAATCTGATTCCGCGATTCAAGAACGATTTAACCTTAGGCTTCTGATCAGTCGATGGTGTTGTGAACTTTCATGGACTGGGATGACTTGGATAGAGGTCAGGCATACTTAGTTACCATCCACGTCGATATCTGATGTTAGCTGAAATAGGACTGAGTTAGAAGAAGATTAGGAAGGCCCGAAACCTGACATAATAGAAATTCATGAAGTTTTTGACAGTTGGTTTTCGCGGTGCAATGTATTACCTACCTGACTGTAGTACTGAGAATGATAAGAATCGATGGTTGTAAGTTCTTAGTGCTATGCCAGATACATACACTCTGATACCTTGGAAATTTTAAACTTTTTAACTTATGTTAATGTTTGCATTAACTCGTCGTTGGTTAGACCAAATTGATCGGTCTCTATTGAGATAACAGCTCCTGTGCGGATACTTCGATATTGCCTGTTTTTATCACATAGTAATGATGGATAGTGGTTAGCAATGGAATAGAGGATGCGTATTTTGTCCAATTTGGGACTCGTCAGTTATATATACCTGCACCACAGTGAGTGTTGTTCTCACCGGGGTTCGAACTTTGGACCGATCGCCTCAAACGCCAGAGAGAGTTATCCACTAAACCACCAAGCCATGATGACCACTTCTTGTGCGACGGGTATAGCTTCAGTGTTATTGCTTATATTGCACCGTCGTTGATTGGACTGTCTTGCAAGAAGTGACTATCGTGGCTGGGTGGTCTAATGGATAACGCCCTGGCGTTTGAAGCAATCTGCCCCGAGTTTGAATCCCGGTGGGAACAACATCATCCAATAGGAGGCAGGAACATCCATCTGACGATTCCCAAAGAGGGCGAAATTCCCATCCTGGATTCCCTTGCTAGCCACTATTCATCTTTACTTGTTAACTGATCTTCAACTTTTTATCTATCTTCACGTACTTCTGTCTACTTTGGTTTCAATCATTTTTCTAATCAATATTCCCTTGTATGCTACTGTAAAGTGGGGCAACTTGACCTGTTCTACTTCTGTGTTACATTTCACTTTGGTTTTTTTTGTCAACTATCTGGTAGTAAAACTTTTGAACACACCGTATTCCTTTATCAACAGCTATCACTGATCTTTTATGTTTTGAGCATAATATTGGCCGATACAATGATGATGATGATGATAATAATAATAATAACAGATTACAAAACCACATTACTTATGACAAATATGCATTTAACTTACCATTACATGATGCGATAACAATGATTCCTTTCAATGTAGTAATAATTTCTTGCCATGGTGAATGAAACGTATTTCATGCAATTGTTGTATCAGTGCAAGTAATCTTTCTGAGTAATCAAATCTTTGACGATCAGGTTTACTCAGTAGATTAATTACTATGAGGTCATATTGGTTGGAGCATAAGCCAATCAATTGATGGAACTGACTGTCAACTTGATTAGATTGCAGTATAGATTCTTCCCACCAGTGAGTATAATAGATTTTGGTATAACCTTGTGATTTAATAATATATTCAATCATTTGTTTCTGTAAATAAAAAGCTGCTCCACATATTCCGTATGTTGAATTTTTCAATAATATATAACAAGGACTGTGAATCAAAGCACTTGATAGGTTGTTTTTTCCGAAAAAATTAGATAATAATTAAAAAATCAGCGTTTTACTAAATAAAATGGTGATAAATAAAAGAACTTTACAGAATAATATTCGCAGCATAATTCATGATGTTAGAAGGCATAGAATCTATTAGTTAGATCCGCATAGAAGCTGGAAAACGCCGAAACATTATAATCTAGCCGCATTTTCTCGAAATTGTCTAGAAAATCATATGATTAAGGATAAACATAATTTAATCGGGGGCTGTAGGGACCGATTTATCAGCTGATTTCGGTGTGGTATTCATCAGTTGAAAGGTCATTTGAAACTTGGTATCACTGGGCAGCTGCTTCAACTAAGCATCGACTCTGAAATGGTGGAGAATATTTGTAGTTCAGGTGGATGGTCTTGGTTGCATTGTGTTCTCTTAGCTGGGCTGTTTATTCGCTGGGGTTTCATCGTTATTCGAGACGACATCAGCAGCACTAACTTCGGTATGAAGTGACGTGTCAACCCAACCAAACAACCCAATAAAGCAAAAAATTAGCTGCATCCAGACTCTGTTCAAAAGAGCGAGAACACACTGCAGTACTGAGAAGCAAAAAAAATTACTTGATATTTGTCCTTAGGAAGAACGGCTACCCACGAAACTTCATCAGAAGATGCCAATCCCCTACATCCTCAACTACAAAGTCATCTACACAAACCACAAACAGACCATCCTACCATACAGAAAGAATATATCAGAAATCACGATAAGATTACTGAGACCACTTGGATTGGTGTGGCTCATAAGTCAACAAATTCCCTCCAAACCATATTATGCAGACCAAAGGACTCAACAACCAAAGAAGACAAACCAAGCATCATTTACAAAATCAACTGCAATAACTGTGGTCAACACTACATTGGATAAAGTGGTTACCCTCTTCACCTTCGTCTACATGAATACTAATTGGCTGTTAAACGTCACACACGACATCTCATCACTCATTTCAATGCACGTGGATAATTATGGACATGAATTCAATTTCGCCAATGTAGAAATTCTGAACAGGGAGAGGAGACATAAAGAATATCAGAGAATTTCTAGAAGCTAGGCATTCAGGTCAACCAACCAGCAATCAATAGATATATAAACATTGATTGTTATTTATTTGTCCCTTGTGTTCCTAATGGAACAAGGACTTCAGTAGCACATCTCTAATGCGCTCTGTTCTCTGAAATCTTTTGAACCTGGCTCCACGACAGCCCATAACCTCTCATTTCCTCCTCGCACTATCTCCTCCATGTCACTTTATACATTAGTAAAAATTGGTGATAAAAACCTTTTGGACTAGTCTTAAAACATCAGGGTCACGTATAAATTTATATGGGCCAGTATTTTGCATATAATTTACCTGATAGTTAAGTATCTCTTTTTTTCCCTACATTTAACTACCATTAGGCAACATATTTTTTAACGAATAAGTAAATCTCCTTCTTTACCACATCTGACATCATTAACAATAAAAAGTTTTGTAAATGTATCTGAACAGAAAATGTTAAAGTCACTGGAATCCAAACGATAATTGTTATTGTACTTGAATTGCACTTTTACATTGTTGGAGGTTCGCTCTTTTTGTGTTGACCATAAATTAGACAGTTTTACCATTGAAAACACCATACACTGTCTGCTCAAGTAATTCATGTTATAACGGCCTAGTGATTAACAAGGTTGAAAACGTTTACTGCATAAATTTGCAAACAGCAAATGTCACTAGTTGGACAGCCTGTTGAAGACACGATAATTTTACAGACAGGAGATTAACTGATTGGAGCATAAACCCAAGTTATATATATATATATATATATATATATATATATATATATATATATATATATATATGAATGTAGACAGGAAACTAATAAATGGAACGAGATTTTGAAAGAATCTAGAAGAAGGACATGAGAAGACAGCAGACAGCTTATGAATTATTGCATATTCTAGTTTACTCACCTATAGTTTATGCTGTTATTCTGAAACCACATGAGTATTTAACGTATCTTATTTCACTGTATAGACTAAATGTAGGTAGTAGTATGAAATAAGCAAAGGTACCACTTTGTTGAAATCTAATACCTAAACTTGAGACTAACCATCTTCGACAAGATGACGAAAAGACTTCCAATGACACCTGCTACAAGCAAATTATTCTTTAAACAGACTGTGAAAACGTAGATAGTTAGATTGTTATATTTCTTACATTTACTATACTTTCGTCACCACACTCTTAGTAGAAGAATACGCAACAGCCTAATATTGTGTAGCATATTAGTTCCTTGATAAACAGTTACATTTTACGTCTCGTCAAAGAATATACATTCTCGACTAGATCCATAAGCATACGTTCACCTATTTATCCGTGACCTAGTCATTGAATGAATTAATGGCGTTATGTGTATTTGCTGATAGCGCAACATTCCTAGCTTTGTTATCAACTAGAGTTATCTCATGGTAACTATATCATTCAACTGAACAATCTTGAAAACTGATTTACTTGCTTATCTAAATCAACTGTAGCTGATATCTTAACGCTGTGGTCATGCTTCACTGTCACAGTGACTTGTTATATTTGCTGTCAAAATAAAAAGTCATTAGAAGGATGAATGACGATTTAAAAACTGCTATCTGTCGAAAGTTATCTTTCACATAACAATTTTTCGACTTTCACTGAACCCATTGAATCATAATGAAAAGAAGAAGAATACAGAGACTAACTAATAGAATACGAAGTTCAACAATTATAGCAGACAGATGACCATTTTCAAGAAAGTAATGCGTTCGATCAAATATCTAGATTTCAACTCATCACATCCAATCAGTGCGAAAGTTTATATTGCCCCCAGTCCTTTTAAGGAGAGCATACACTCGTGTACCGGATGGAAATAAAAGAGTTACGAAATCAAAATATGTGAACAAGATACATAAAATGAATACTTATCTAGTAAATTCATCCGCAAAGTAGAAAATTACATTGATTTAGATAGTGAAACTACTCCTAAATTATGGGCCGCAACAACAGATGTCCCTTAAGGATCACATACATTGGATGCAACAAGTAGAGTTCTCAATAAATACAATATCTGAATGTTCTACAGAAAATCAAACACATTGCAGAGCACCGTAGTCCATATAGAGGGCAAAATTACTGTAGATTAATAATCTAATTATGCTCATAAAATAAAATGCTGAGGCTGCAATGGAACATGCATAGGACAGACATCATGTGAAATCAAAATTCGAAAAAGTGAACACCGAAGAGCTTCCACTGGACCCCTGTGGAAATCCAATGGAACTGAAAAAATCTGAAAACACATCAGACATAGCTCTATATGCTATAATTTCAGGTCACAAAGTCAACGTTGACAATATCGAAATTATTCAGAAAAAAAATTAGAAAGAGTGTCACAGCAGAATCTCTTCACATGAAGTGGAATAGAAATTGTCTAAATAGGAATGAGGGAGAAACATGTAGTTTGGCGCAGTCTCAACCCATCCCCACATACTGACATGATCAACATACGTACGATAAGAATTATCAACACGTGTACATATCAATCTCAATCTGTAACTGACACATTTCTTACACATACACTACATATGGATATCATCTTTTTTCTACAATTCTTACAACGCTAAATCGTTCGTGCAAAACGATACTTTTCAAGTTATCATAAATAAGCTTGGATACCGTAAATTCCGATTTACTATAACTTTGATAAAGCTATCAGCAGTAAAACGTCAGTTGACACAAAGTTGTTTTATACCGCTGCAGGATTCGTACCAGAGACCACCGGGTTTCCAACCTGATGCTCCACTAACTGAGCAATGAGGTCCAACCATTCGAAACACGAGGGCGCTGGACAGCCTCTTCATTTTAGTATGGGACTCCTAAACAGTGTGCACCCAAGAATTCATCAAGGGTCAAACCTGGGACTTTCACGTCCCACAACGACCTCATTGCCATTAAGCCATTGGGTCCAAATCCGCTGATCCATATATTGCTACCTTGGTTAGTTTGTGATGTATCGAGACCTATATTATCTAGACTAATAAATCCTTTCAGAAATACACTGAGTTAGCTTGAGGAATGAGTTTAAAAATTAGATGAAAGCAATAAATGTCAATGTCAACAATAAATGTCATGTTTTGACTATCAAACGACAAAAACGTTGATCTAATATAGTTGTCAGTCACACAGAAAATTGTGTAGGATGAAAAAAATATCAAATTAGCTGCATTATGTCATAAAGAATGAACAAAAAACGATTCAGTTAAGAAAAACATTTCCCTACGTCGAATCATTTTCAGTAGCTTTATAAATATCTAAAATGTATGTACATCAGTGGTTAATGGGTCAACAGAAGGCCTAAAGAACAGTGAAAAACGTTTAACACTTCGATTCTTGAACATCCAGTTAACTCTGACCTCTCTGCTAAAGTCATTTAAAGTCCCGTAAACATTTCGAAGAAGGTGCAGATTCGTTATCTAAACACAATAGTAGCCTTGTCAATGCTTCAGTTCAAGCCTTATCTCCACGTCCGAAAGAAGTCCGTTCAACGTCTAAATTTACCCTCGTCACAATATCCCTAAGATTATTTATTTGTCGATTGGTTTTTTATTTTATTCATCAACATTATTATTTTCATCCCCTTTCCTTACGTTGTAATTATCTTCTTGCAAAGGAATGTCCCATTTATCTTACCTGTTCTATTACTTCATAGGTTATTACATAGTCATCTTGCAATTCACTTATACTAACCTTCCAGGCAATACGTTATAATCCTATGAACAACTTTTTTCTAGCCATAATAGCTTTTTAACCGTAGTAACCACTTCTAATGACTTTGTAATGACTGGTTAACCATTTATGGATGCATAGTTTTGCTGAAACTATAAGTGTGACTGTACAGCCTCTGGAAATGATTCGTGGTGAATAAACAATCTAACTGACTCGATAAAAACAGCTTATATTTCTGGGTAGTATTCATTATGAGCTGATATCAGTTGGACAGCCATTAAAAATCTAAGATCATTGGATAGCTGTTTTGTCTAGGTACTGGATTCCTCAGAATTGTGCACCTGTTGTACTGTTAGTGACCGAACCATGTTCCCAATGACTCATTAACCAATGTGGGTCCGTGATGAATACTACTTTGAAAGAAAAAAATCTCTAAAAGCTTTAGGTTGTGGGGTCAGTCAGTCAGAAGTTAAACAAACGGCGAATTCAGACCTTGGTTAAGATTTGCGATATACTGCAAATTGAAAGTGATAAGAAACTGTGGAGCACTGAAATTGGAACAAGCGGCTAAATGATTAACATGTCCACCACAAGACTTAAAGCTCCTGATTTCAATCCTTGACAAGGTCGTGAGTGCATACAGCTCGGATGAAATAGCCTTTCAATGGTCCACTAACTGATGCCAGTCTGTGATGAATACTGTCTTGAAATAAATAAAATCCTCATAAACGGCAAACTACGTTATATATTTCATAAATATTGAGATCTATTTCCTTAATCAGTGTTTGCAAGAACTGGCGCAGAATCACTCTCCTGTCCATCCACAGCAAGCAAAATATTGAGCCACATCATCCTGGAGAGGCTAAAATATGCACTGGATTCAAAACTACGAACGGAACAGGCTGGCTGGCTGGATTCAGGAAGTACAAATCATGTGTGGACCAAATTGCAACGCTACACTAAGCATCATCATAGAACAGAGTATAGAATGGCAGTCAACTCAACTCTCGACCTCAACTTTATCGACTTTGAGAAGGCCGGCCTTTGACAGCGTCGACCGAGAGGTAATTTGGAAACTGCTTCAATACTACGGAATACCACAAACCTTTATCAATCTCATTCAACAACTATATGAAGACGCCACATGCCAGCCAAGTAATTCACTGCACAATGGGAAGCTCATCTCAGTGATGCTTTTGAAGTGAAGTGAAGACAGGAGTAAGACAAGGCTGCTGCCTACTATCCCCCATGATATTTCTGATAGTGGTCGACTGGACTGGATCATGCAGCAGACAACTGTGAGGAGCAAGAAGAGGGAGATACTGTGGCTGGCCTGGAGAAAAGAGCCTAGAAGATCTGGATTTTGCCAACGATGACTTGTGTCTGATGTCACACAAACTTGAAGATCTACAGGCGAAAACTAAGAAGTTGGCAGAAGAGGCAGGGCAGCGAAGACGGGACTTCAGGTGAATATGGAGAAGACAGAAGTGATGAAGATACCGCACCAACAACTCCAACAACAACAACAAACTCCAATCACCATGAACAGGAGAAACTTAAAGGAAGTAACCTCCTTCACTTATCTAGACAGCACTGTTTCAACTACAGGCAGCACAGGCGGGACAGACGAGTATGTCAAATCCAGTCAGGATCGGAAAAGCAAGACGAGCGTTCATTAGTCTGAAACCAGTGTGGAGATCTTCTGCACTGCACTCAGCATGGGGAACAACATCCGGATTTTCAACACCAAGTCAGTCAAGTCAGTGCTTCTGTATGATGGCTGAAAGACTTGGTGCATCACGAAAAGCATTTTAAACAAACTACAGACATTCATCAACACTGCCTACACTGGCTCGTTAATGAAGACCAGATGGTCAGAATAGTCAAAATAAGCAACAAATAACTCTGGCCAGGCAACGAACCAACGAAGCAAGAAGCTATCACCCAACAAATATGCATTGGAAGGAAGTGGAGATGGATCGGAGTAGGCATACACTGAGAGGACCGACTGGGGACTCACACGTCAGGCCAGTTGCTGGAGTGGAATCCCCATGGAAGCGACGAGTTGGACGTCGGTTTTGAGGATGACATGGAGGAGATGGTGCGAGGAGGAAATGAGAGGTTGTGGGCTGTTGTGGAGCCAGGTTGGAAAGATATCAGAGAATAGAGTGGACTGGAGACGTGCTAGTGAAGCCCTATGTTCCATTAGGAACCCAAGGGACTAATAATAAATAATAATAATAATTTTCTTAAAATTCGACTTCCGATGAAATTATGGACAGTAGTTTTTCTGTAATGCCTCAACATAATGAACAGCTGATTGTTAAGTCAAAACCTTCAATTTAAATCTACTTCAAATCAATTTCTATGTACTGTTTGAAATTGTGGCAATAGACGTACAAATTTCATGATATTTAATTACGTTAACTGTTTATTTCTTTTGTAAACCTATCTCGTCAGTTTTTTAAATCAAATATCTTCAAGAAATCTAATTCAGCTTACCTGAAAATCAAATTAATTGCATTACTAATCATATTCTGAGATGCTGAGTTATTTAAATCTAATCCAATATCATAGAAAGGTGTAGCATTCTCTGACGTAAAAGGAATACTTAGTAAGTCAGTTGAACAAGTGCAGTATCGATAATTGCTGGTAAACTGATAAATGGTGCAAGATTAGGGTTCAATAATCCATACTTGACCAGCTTTTATGAATAATTTTACAATTTGCATTGTATCTTCTAAAGAATGGTAAAATTGTTTGTTCTCTTTGATTTGATAATACTGTCTCTGTTTCATCATTTAATTTAGAACAAATTAAGGTTAATTGTGTATTAAATTCCATTTCATTATGATCAACACTTGAAAAATTTTTAGTAGAATTAACTTTTTTATGACTAGACACGTTGAATAGTTGGTCTATTGATGGAGAACAATATGTGAATTCGATTTGGATGAAGAAGAAATGGATATTGAAGTATCATTTGATGTATACGAGATATTAGTATTGGATTGACATAGTGTAGAGTTAGTTGTAGTACATGAAGTGAGCAGAGAAATATTCGATGATGACGCAACAGATGTTGGAAAAGAACCACCGACATTAGCGGATACTGAAGAAGTATCAGAATTTGGAACTGTAGAGGATGATAAATTAGTGAATGAATATACTGAAGCTGAATTATTGCTTATAGAACTGGTTGTTGTCAAAGATGATGAAATAGGTGTAAAATGAGATTGAACAATAGTCGAGGAAGGAGCAACACCATCAGAGTTGTAATAACAAGTGGTAGAAGAGGAGACATCTATCGGTTTCACTGGATGATGTATGGCTGAATTTAACAAGGACTGTCTAGTAAACTTTGAATTCAGAAAAAGACTACCAACTGGACCAAAAAGAAGATATGAAATAGGAATTAAATGACCAACTGGAGATGATTTAACTAAATAGCATTCAACAGACTTTGATAAATTTGTGAAGAACCACTGAGAATTCGAATATTGAGGTAATAGTGGGGCAAAATATCGTTTTATTTCTTGACACAAAATAAGTAACGATTCCTCAATGTTATTTAATTGACTGTTTGAATTCAGTTGAACAGTTTCACTTAACACTAGAATAAAACAGTTAATTCATAAAGGTTAGTCAGTAAAATTGTATATTGATTGTTGAAATTGTGCTTTAGTGTTTATATAATATAACCAAAAAAGGTAAACATTTGTAGAAACGAAGTATATCAAATGACAGTGTAGAAAGGATACTATTGTTTACAAATTATCTTCTTTAACTTTTAGATGGCACACAAATTGGACATAAAGAATAAGATGAAATGATGGGAAAGGTTTGCAGCTCCGAATGACGATGATGGTGCTTTGATGTTCTCTGAGCTTTGATATTTTGTTGTAAAGGTTTCATCGCTAAGCTTACTGGTTACCGAAATCGACCCATTCTGATGAATGAAAGCCCGCAAATATTAATAAAGCAAAGTTAATAGAAGAAAAATTCAGTTATAGGGGAGGATGACTGAATCTGTAGGGAAAGTTGGTTTACGATACAACTGAAACTATTCGTCTCTGAGTAACAGCTCAATGAGTTACCATGGATACATCTACAATAATATAGTCATCTCTAAATTAGAATAGATTATTTTAACAACTCAGGTATCTCAGCAGTAGCATCTGTTGCAAAAGGACTAGGTGATGTGGGTTCAGAAGAGAAATGAGACATCACTTCCTTTGCGATTATACACATATCTTGCTGACAGGTGTCAATAAACGTGAAACCTAGGCTCAGAGTTTCTACTGAACTATTTGGAGAATAATCTTGATAAACTTCGTTTTCCCACCAAGATTAGGATTAACTACATCAATCTTCCTTTCTATCCTCATCTTTCTTAGTTTACTTCCACTGTTATCTAAACCATTCTACTTATCTTCCCATCGATCGATTATCTATAAATTGATTGGACATGTAAATGTGAGGCCAAATTGTTCAGAATGTATTGCAAAAATACATCATATTGTTCAGATAAACTTTGTCTTCTAATTGCTCTGTCTAAACTTATAAAAAGGATTGATTGTTTCATATTAGTAAAACTTTACTTAAAAAGGATCAAATGGAGTCACTGCATCTGTTTTCTAGAAATCTAAATGAAGTTAATCAGCTAATAAAATGTAACAGACACACATACATTTACACATCAGTCAATCAGCTCAGAAATATCAAATATTAGTTATGATTGCCAAATGGGCAATCAATCAAATGACAATTTTAGTTTATGAAATAGAATCGGTGACTTTTGAAATAATGGAAGGATAGTAATCAGTCATTGTTATAATTCAGAAAAACGTCAGTCAGGAAGATTAAATACCCACTAACATTTCATTTATGGACATGCTCACATTACTACTGCAGAAGGTTTGAAAGGAAGGAAAGATACCTGCTGATACGAAGAAGGGCTGCCTTGTCAAACTCCCAAAGAAGGGTAACCTAAGCCTTTGCAGGAACTGGCGAGGAATCATGCTCCACTCCTGTCCACCCCAAGTCTACAAAATATTATGCCGTATCATCCTGGAGAGACTAAAGGATGAGCTGGGTTCAAAATTACGCCCAGAACAAGCTGGCTTCAGGAAGAATAAATCATGTGCGGATCAAATTGCGACGCTACGCTACGCATCATCATAGGAACGAAACAGAGTATAGAATGGCAGTGAATTCTCTAACTCAACTTCATCGACCTTGATAAGGCCTTCGATAGCATCGATCGAGAAGTAATTTGGCAGCTGCTTCAACACTACGGTTTTAGTGCCACAAATATTTATCAACCCCATTCAACAGCTATATGAAGATGCCATATGCCAATTTATTTGCAATGGAAAGCTCAGTGACACCTTTGAAGTAAAGACAGGAGTAAGACAAGATTGCTGCCTACTATCACCGATGATCTTCCTGATTGTGGTGGACTGGATCATGCAGCATACCGCAAGGAGCCAGAAGAGGGTGATATACTGGACCGATGAAAAGACCCTAGATAACATGGACTTTGCCAACAATTTATGTCTAATATCGCACAAACTCGAAGATCTAAAGGTGAAAACTGACAAGTTGACAGGAGAAATAGCGAAGATGGAACTTCCTTTCAGGTGAACGTAGAGACGACAGAGGTGATGAAGATACCCAACCAAGAGCATCAATAACTAGCACCAGTCACCATCAACGGGAGAAATGTAAACGAAGTTGTCTCTTTAACCTACCCACATTAGCAGCATCGTTTCAACTATAGTTGGCACAAACGAGGATGTCAATGCCGGGATGGACAAAGCAAGATAGGCTTTCACTAGTCTGAAACCAGGGTGAAGATCTACTCCACTCAGCACCAACAACAAGATCCGGATTTTCAACACCAATCCAGTCAAGTCAGTGCTTCTATATGGTTCAGAGACTTGGCGTAACACGAAAAACATTTCCAACAAACTGCAGACATTCATCAACAGCTGCCGCCTACGCTCACTCGATACTGACACTGAAGATCAGATGGTCCGAAAGAATAAGCAACAAGGAACTCTGACTGGCTGACAGCGAACCAACCAACAACTTATCACCCAACAAATATGCAGAAGAAAATGGAGATGGATTGGATTGGCCTACACTGAGAAGGTCGATTGGGGACATCATGCGCCACGCCAGATCCTCATGTGGAACCCAGATGGGGAACGACTAGTTGGGCATCCGAGGCAAGGGTGAGATGGAGGAGATCAAGTGAGGAAGAAATGAAATCTTGTGGGCAGTCTTGGCGCCAGTTTAAAAAGACTCTGCATAGAACAGTGTGCAATGGAGGCGTGCTAGTGAAGCCTTATGTTCCACTAGAAACAACAAATATGACGCCAAAAATGTGCATAAAAGTATAACAGTAACCCTTATGCACCGGGGTAGAATTTATTTCCTTTTTATTGATTCACTAGATTAATCACACAGTGTAACTGTATTGTTTACTGGATTACTTTTCGAACATAATTTATTTTCCATAGTCATATCAAGATAACTGCACAACTTTGGTATGCAGATGACACGTTTACAGTATTGAAATCGAAGCATATATATGGTTCCTTCACATGTATAAATTTAGTAGTCAACGCAATTCACTTCACCTATGAATTAGAAAATAGTGAAGGAGAATTAGCAATGTTGGATTGCAGAATAAAACGGAAACAAGATAGTTCACACACTAATATCTACAGATAACCTTCACATTCGAATCGTTACTTAGACTTTAAATCGTCTCACCCTATGTTGGTTAAAGTTGGCTTAGTTAGGTGTTTAAGTAGCAGGGCCAAAGACTTACTAGTAAAACAGAAGATCTAAAACAAGCAACCAGATACATTAAAAATGCCTTAATCATCAACAATTACCCTCCCAAATTAACTGATACGTTCTTCAGGAATCGTAAGAAAAATATTAATAACACAGGTAATAATGGCGGTAATAATAATGTTAATAAAAATAGTAGAAACAATATTATGAAAACAGAATTCCAAACGTCTACAGCATTACAACATTACCTTACAAAGAAGGCACCCCAAAAGCATCACATAGGATTCTCAATGAGGCTGGCGTGGATTAAAGTGGCACTTTAACCTACAAACTCACTTCGAAATAAGCTTTGTAGGTTAAACGATCCTATTGATCCAATAAAGCAGAACACTTAGTTTACCAAATCCCTTGCAACGATTACGAGGTCAAATACATAGGTCAAAGTAGTCGACCAGGGTCAATTAGGCTGTCCGAGCATAAAAACCTAGCTAAGTTAAAACTTGTAGATCCTAGTAAAGTAAGGAATTTATAAAAAAACTCGTCCATAGCTATGCATGCCATTACACACAAAACAGATGGGACAGGGTGAAAATCCCTAACACCAACTTACCAGGATGGAGGGAGAGATTGATAACCGAATCTCTGTTTATTGAATCAACAGTTAATACATGCAACAGGAAGAACTCAGCACTTGTTTCGGATATGTGGAAAATCTTACTACTCATATCACAAAGGGCTATAGGAAATTAGACTATATAAAGGGTAACTCAATATTGTGTAGTTATTTTGATGTGACTATGGGAAATAAATTATGTCCGAAACATAATCCAGTAAACAATACTGTTCCCTCGCTATGTGATAAATCTAATAAATTAATAAAAATGGAACTGCATAAAAAGGCTAAGCATCAAAATAAGATTGACTTACACAAGGGAGCCCATCTTGAATAAACATGTTTGTTTATATTGTCTGTAATGATTGAATAATTGAACGGAATTTCACCAAGAGAAGAATATGAATAGTACCTTTTCAAATGATTTCCAACAGCATGTGCAATTTTCTGAGTAATTAACCAATTAACACATGAATTCCCATGTCTACAACGTTCTTTCATTAAAATGCAATGCATCCACCAAATTATCCAACTAAATCTCTTTTAGAAAAAAAAAACAACAACATTAAACAGTATTTTGACACCAATTAACATATTTCCAATGCTAAGCTTTATAGCACTGAACTACCATTTTAAGTATATTTGATTCAATTATGGGTGGATATAAGTTAAACAGTCAAAAGAATTCGACAAACTATTGATCATTTAACACCTATGAAATCAAACATAAAACAATTTTTGTATCATTTGAAGAGCGTCTTATTGTTAGTACGTCTCATTTCAATGACCTTCCAACAGCACAGAACTAAAGTTTAATTCTGTATATCAAGTGTCATTCACTTCACTAAATCAGAGAAAAAGCTATTAAGCATAGTTAGTATTATAAAAATTGTTTGTTACGTTCCGGTGGGACTAGCATAAATTGGATATGGTGTTCATATAAAGCTTTTAGATATGCTGGAGTTAAATATAAACGACAGTTAAGTTCAAATGTAACGTTTTTGTTGCGAAACCTGAAGGTCCTGATTTCGACCCCTGAAACAGTCATGAGTGCGTACTGTACAGCAGTCGAATACCAGGACGGAAAAGATCACCGGCGCTTCTAAGTTTTTAATAGTTTTCCAAGTGTTTCCAGTTCCTGATAAAATCTACTGGAAGAATGTTCTTTTCAATAACTTTTCTTCAAATCATTACCGTTGTTAAATCGAATTTGTTAACATGTAATCATAGTCAGATTTGGAGCGAATGTATTCAGAATGGGTATAAAATTATAATTACAACTAGATTGTTTGCATTTTGTAGATGATAGTGTGACTTACATATGCACGTATGTCATTTGGGCTGATAAGTTGAGTGTAAAATGTAAGTATCAGATGATTGGTGATTAGGTTTGGGGAATGTATGTAGTATGAGGAAAAAGAATTATTGGTAAAGTTCAAGGTTTCGTCATGACGGATGAGTGGCACATGGAATGACAGAGATTCGTCAGGAGAGTAGATATGGAGTGAATATCTCATGAAATTATTGTCAAAATGTTTGACATGTTTATCAGCGTAATACCGAATAATATGAATGATAAATACACCGTTAAGAAACTTTGACAGAGATTTTAGCAGTTTATTAGAAAGAGAACCGAAAAACACAGGAAAATCTGGTCAAAGTTGTGATATAAAAGAAGAAAGGAAGTGAAAAAACTAAAAGAGAAAGGAAACAACACAAGAATGTTTTTTAGTCAATGAACAGCCAAGAGAGACTTAAGGCTTATACGTGTTCATTTTGAATGCAAAGTTATAGGGCTTAGTTTTTCTTGTAGCTACAACTTCCTCTATATGAAAACATTACCAAGTACCAGGCGTTAGTCTTCGGAGCGTGGTGTATCACAATAAGAGCTATTCTAGCATCCATGCAGTAACTTGAGTCTACTAGATGTACTACTAACGAATAAAAAGCAATGACATGACCTTTTACATTGTAGTTTGTTTTTATGAATGAGCATTTGTGACTTATGGATTGACAGTTTTCAAACTTTTTGCTTGTTAAAGATCTTTATGCAATCGTCATTGTTATAATAATTCTCTTTTTGTATCACTGAAGTAAATAGACATACTTGGCACAAGTATTTTCAGTTTGTAGGTTTGTGGGAATTCGCTTATTGATTTCGGGTGAATACTCATCATGAAAATTTGGGAGCACTGGACAGCTGTTTTTTCCTAGTATGGGAGTGTTCAAAATTACGCTCCTACTACCCTGTCAGAGACAGAACCCAAGACCTTCAAGTTCCATGACTAGTACGTGACCACTGAGTCATGGAGTTGGCATTCAAATATTCAGGTAAGTGATAGGATACGTAATGTGGATAAGTGAACATTTCATAAGTTAAGTGAATAGAGGTAGGGATATTATCATTAGTACTGCCTGTCAATGTAATTTTTCAGATGGAAGTATATTCACAATCCATGTCATGTAGATATTATTCATCAGCTGTATTTGACAAAAAAAATTCTAGCTGGTTAATAATATTGATTAGAACTGCTGAATATATACAGTCTTAGTATAGCTTAAAGCAACTGGTCCCTTTGATAAATTTAAACAGCGTAATGAGAAACGAAGATTATCTGAAACATGTGGTGTATTAGCGCTATACATTTCGAACAATCTGATCACACATGGACTTGTCGAACTATTTATATGAAAATTTACCAAAAGGTCAATGAAGTTAATAGGAAACATAGGAATAGGAAGGGATAAAAAAAAGAAGGAAAACCTTACTCTTGGTATGAAAATTAAAATCAATACTACCAAGGTAGGTTCAACGTGAGTACAAATTGTTTTGTATACATAAAGGAGGTTTAAATTTACGGATGGCAAGAGCTTCAATAAATTTAAGCACTCGCTCTGACCACTTTTATGTAGTACTTTAAAGGCTGTTTTCATGTCTATCCTATGGTTAGTCTCTAGTATATGTTTAGCAATACACGAAGATGGATGTTTGTCACCTTCACTTAAGGGATCTGTTGAGGTCATTTGTTTTTGTAGCCACTTAGGTACACGTTCAACCTTCCTTAACTTTATATCAGGATTACTCCTCCATATGTATGTGTCCACACATACATGTAAATTGTTGAACACAGTGGGATGTAATGTACTCACGTTGAACCTACCTTGGTAGTATTGATTTTAATTTTCATACCAAGAGTAAGGTTTTCCTTCTTTCTTTTTTTTCTATCCTTCCTATTCCTATGTTTCCTACTAACTTCATTGACCTTTTCGTAAATTTTCACATAAATGGTTCGACAAGTCCATGTGTGATCAGATTGTTCGAAATGTATAGCGCTAATACATCACATGTTTCAGATAATCTTCGTCTTCTCATTACGCTGTTTAAACTTAGTATAAGTAAAAGAATATTTATCACGTACGTTCATGTCTATCCTGTATGTTTCGTTATTTTATGTGATGTTTGACTATCAGCAGGAAGGAAAATATCTGATCTTGCTCTTGAGTCAGCTGATAAACATGACTAAAGTAGATTCCGAAATACACAACTACCAATAGGGTTGTTCCGAGTGAAAACAGAACCATTAATGTAACAGTAGCTAAACCTATAATGAGGTTATGTATTTTTGAGATGAATGGGGATTTTTTAATTTAGAAGTAGTATTCATCATGGACTGACATCAGATGAATACTACTTCTAAATTAAAAATCCCCATTCATCTCAAAAATACATTACTCTATAGTGCTCATTAGTGACTTGCTTGCAGATGGATGTTAGGAAGTTCTAATGAGAAGCCGTGACCTGTGGGGTCAGCCAGTCGGAAGTGAAGTGGATGCTAACTAAAGACCTTGGGTGACAGTCGCGCTATGTCATGAATTGACAGAAGTTGGAAACTGTGAACCACTGGAAACCAACCCAGTGGCTGAATAATTAACGCGTTCTCCGTGAAACCTGGAGGTCCCGAGTTCGATCCCTAGCCGGGTCGTGGGTGTGTACTGCTGAGGAATCACATACTAGGACGAAACAGCTGTCCAATGCTCCCAGATTCCCAACGGTTCCTAACTGATGTCAGTCCATGATGAATACTACTTCTATGAGAGGTTATTGATAAAATCTGATCGCATAACACTAACTTTTTCGTGAAGGCCTGACAGCTACGTATTTGAGAAAATAATTTTGTAAATACTTTCAAACATTTCAAAACATCGTCTTTCTCCTTCGTTGTGCTCGAAATTCGCGTAAAATGAATGACAATCAACCATCCATTTGTCAAATTTATTACGCCAACAGTATCATGCTGATAGGTAAAATCTAACATTTAGAATTCTAGTCTAACAATATTATACTTAAACAGTTTTCACTTCATCATCAGGCTAATCTACTGGCTATTTTTGCTTTTTATTTCATTTCAATAAAGATGAGGAACACAAAAAATGCTCATGTAACGGAAATTCAGCGGAAAACTCCACTCTCTTAGGAACTACTCATTTTTGATGTAGAAGGTAAAACATAAAACTAAGTAGTTCAAGTATTGGGTACAAACTATCATTCATGTATACTGAGTAGACGACTGCACGACAACCCAAACTCAGGTGGATCGAATGGGTTGTATTCCTGATGAAGTATGAGTGTACACCGCTGAGAAGTCCTACACTTGGAAGAAACGGCTGTCCAGTGCTCCCAAATTTTTAAAGCCTCTCTAGATAATGTCATTCCATAGTGAACATCACCTTGAAGACAGAAACTTCAGTTTAACGGATGAATCCAAATACAAATGAGCCACCATTGACTAATGATATAAGTACCGTGGTCAAATCCTGGAAAATATCAACAATATATAGTGAAAGTGCTTTTCAAAACTTCAAATTTTCACTAAAAAGAAACGATTATCACTTAAACTTTTCAGATATGTTAAAAAATGAAGTAGTAATTACCTCGACTAACATTCCGCTTATTCTTGATAGTCCATGGCTCATCATTAATTGACAAAGTTGACTAATTGGACTGAAACCATATACATTTTGTTCATACCAAAATCGATTGTTATTTACCTCACTTACAAATATTAAACAAGGATCTGTTAATGTAATATATGCAAATTGATACATTAAACTGTTCAATTTACTCGGAAAGTTTAAATACGTTTTTGTGAATTGATGATCATCTAAAGTTGTTAAGATTGGAATAAAATCTTCATTCGATTTACTAGAGAATGATGAATAATTCAATCCCAGTGGATTGTTAGCGGTTAAATGATGACGTAATCCTTGATTCCACATTCTTTGTGCTTTGAATTAAACAAGAAAATGACTATCATAGTTTAACAGTTAGAATTATAGAAATAATAAACAAAATCCTAGGCGTTTAAACTACTGAAGTTAAAAAAATATGCACTTACAGCAATAAGGTATTTATTTCAAAAGATCAACTTCTTACGGGTAGATATAGTGGTTTTATCTGATAGATTAACGAAAAATACAAGGAATTCATAAGGCAATGTGATTACCTTAGTGTTTTATAAATGGTGGAAGGGTTTCAGTTAATCGCTCACTAACAGCACTATTAGTTTTTTCCCTTGGGTTCCTAGTGAAATATAGAATTTCAGTAGCACGCCTCCATTGCATTCTCTTCTCTACAGTCTTTTCAACCTGACTCAACAACTCCCCATAACCTTTCATTTCTTCCTCACACAATCTCCTCCATCTCACCCTTGCATCGGATGCCCAACTCGTCGTTCTCCCTCTAAGTTCCACACAAGGGTCTGACCTGGTGCGTGATCTCCTCGAATAGTCTTCTCAGAGTATGCCCAATCCAATCCATTTCCACTTTCTTCTGCACATTTGTTGGGTGATAGGTTGTTGGTTGGTTTGTTGCCAGCCAGCCAGCCAGAGTTCCTTGTTACTTATTCCTAATATTCTCGCCATCTGATCTTCACTGTCAGTATCGAGTGAGAGTAGGCGGCAGCTGTTGATGAATGTCTGTAGTTTTTTTGAATTGCCTCTCGTAACACACCAAGTCTGTGGGTCATCACATACAAGCACTGACCTGACTGAATTAGTGTTGAAAATCTGGATGTTATTCACGCTTTATGCTGAGTGCATTGCACTGCATCACATCGCACTGCAGTGCAATGCAGTACAATGATCTGCACACTGATTTCAAATTAATGAAGGAAGGTCTGTCTTGCTGCCTCTCCCATTCTGGTTTTGACATCCCCGTCTGTACCACCACCACCTCCTATAGTTGAAACGATGCTGCCAATATGGGGTCAGTGAAAGAGACTACTTCCTTTAGGTTTCTCCCGTTCATGGTGATTGGTGCCTCCTATTGTTGGCTGAGTATCTCCATCACCTCCGTCTTCTCTACGTTCACTTGGAGTCTCGTCTTCCTTCACTGCCCCATCTCTTCTGTCAACTTGTTAGTTTTCGCCTGTAGATCTTCAAGTTTGTGCTACAGAAAACATCACACATAAATCATCATGGGGGAAGTGTAAATCTTCTTCTTCGGCATTTTCATCGGTCCAGTCAGCGTATGCCCATCTTCTCACATCTCCTCACAGTTGTCTGTTGCATGATGCAGTTTAGTTGACCACAATTCAGGAAGATCGTGCGCGATAGTAGGTGGCAGCATTGTCTTACTCCTATCTTCACTTCACTTCAAAAGCATCACTGAGCTCCCATTGTGAGTTACTCGGCATGTAGCCTCATGATATAGCATAGCATATAGCTGTTGAATGAGGTTGACAGATGTTTGCGGCACTAAAATAATGGTGTTGAAGCAGCTGCCTGGCAAATTCCTTCTCGGTCGACGCTGTCCAAGGCTTCTTCAAAGTTGAAGAAGTTGAGTTTGAGAGTTGACTGCCATTCCATACTCTGTTTTGTGATGAAGCGTCGCGTTGCAGTTTGATGTGCACATGATTTGTTCTTCCTGAAGGCAGCAGTATAAGGCGAGTTGTATATGTCCACAACTGAATGAAATGGAACATTTTGCTTAGAATATCATGCAGGTGAAAGTAAACCAAAGCAAATGTACAGGCAGTTCAGAACTGCTACCTCCTGCTTCCTTTTCCCTAAGATGTTGGCGGATTTCGGCGCAATTCTTTTACTTGACGTTATCTTGTAAAATAGTTATACGTTTTACCCTGTCTTTTGCTGTCTGTAAATAGTTAAGTTATCGATTTTTAATAGTAAGATAGCCATATAAGGAAGATAAGGAATAAATAGGAGACATTAGGTAACATTCCCGAAGAAACCTTCATGGAAGAACTTCGGAACTCTGTGAAAGTGACATAGAAGGAAACCTGCATAACTTTGTAAGGAAGGAAGAAGAAACAAGGCAAGGAATAAATCTCCACGGACACATGGAAGTTGATAGAGGAGGAAGAGGAAGGTGGTGAAGCAGAAGATGAACCAGTACAGTACAGTGCGTGCAGCGATGGATAACGAAAAGTGAAATTGAATACAACATATAAAACACTACACTGGACTACACTAGCGGTATTTCCGGATGAGATGCACGTGGTGATGATGATTGATTCGAGAGTTTGATGTGGTCAGCTCATCTTTTTCTTTGTTTCTACTCATTGCTAACTAAGTTTCCTTCATTATCTTTTATTGGCTTAATTTGTGTTGATCTCTTTCCTCCCAGATTGTAACCTGGTTATTTGATATAATGTTGTCAGGTCTCTGTCTTTCTTACCTGCAGCCTATTCTGCTTCACTTGCCAATGTGTGGTGGAAGTATCTTTTGTCTTTCCGCGCACTTTTCACTTCTTCGTCCAGTGTAGTATTTTATATGTTGTATTCAATTTCACTTTTCGTTATCCATCGCTGCACGCACTGTACTGTACTGGTTCATCTTCTGCTTCACCATCTTCCTCTCCCTCCTCTATCAACTTCCATGTGTCCGTGGAGATTTATTCCTTTCCTCCCCTATACATATTTCGTCAAACTCTTCCATCTCCGTTTTTTTTAATCTTTTAAATATGTATTCTACATGTGTCATGTATTCTTGTATCTTTTTTAAGATTTTCAAACTGTCGTTTTTAAAGCTAAGCACTAAAGAACGAAAAAACTTTATGCTGGATGGAAATGCAGACAAACAGAGACTAATTCATTTGGTTCAGAATAAATTAATATTTGAAAGTATGCTTGTACAAATGAGATAGAAAAGTGGAAAAAGTCTCAAAAATGAATGCAGTAGCTTCAGGTGCTTGAGACCCACAACTCAGTCAGCAGTGTCGAACAGAGACTCCCATTTTGCATTCTGTTATAAGCGAAGTTTTATTTCAACTTATATCAGTACCAGCGCACCAACACTTAAAATAGGTTGACGAATAAATAGCTAATTAATCTCGAAACATGAAAACAAGTTAGATATCAGTTATTCAAGCTGTTCGTTTTATCAGTGATACTAAATTAAAGTTTCTAAGCTGTCACGTGAAACGGTTAGAAAAATTCTTTTGATAATGGTTGGTAACTAAATACTATAAAACAGTTTATACTGGATTATCATTACTCAGACTGAGCACGGTTAACCCAGATATTTATTTAATTCAGCAATCTTTAAGGTTTGTGATCATTATGGTAGTTGTAGATAACTCCATTTATTCTGTCTGCAAACATATGCTCAAAAAAAGTAGGTGAGTAAGCAGACAGTCAGAGTAGAAATCATAACAATTCCTTTAATTAGCAGTACTAAAAAATTCGAAAATCTTCATAAGACCAAATTAATGTGAATTGCCAGTTGGTTGGAGGCAGTTGGCAAGAAGCTGTCATCGAGTTTCACGCTTATTGGCGCTCGTCAGAGTTCGGTGGTGCACTTAACGTCCCCACAAAGATCCACACTAGCGTTACTCATCACTACAGTCAGGGATGTTAACACTGATCAGCTCAAATTACTCAGTGGGGGAATCAAATTTGGATTTCTGAAAGAGCGTCATCCTCTTGGAGTATAAGATAATCATTGTTAAGCCTAAGTCTAGCAGATTCCCTCTAACCAACTAAAACAAATCAAAGTGTACCACTAATCTTCTTATGCTTTATTATGTGTTGTTAAACAGAACCTTTGTTAATATATATTTGAAAAATGTTGCATAACGAGTAAACTTACTGAATATCATATGCTGACGATTGTTTACTGCAAACAGAACTATGGTTTGGAATAAAGTCAATATATTAATATTGCACTAATCCATCTTGAAGTATGGCTAACGTATGCAAACCTATAAAAGATCATTGACTATTGATGGATAGTGGCTAGCAGTGATATTCAAGATGTGCTTTTTGTCCTATTTGGGACTTTTCATCTAGATGTACCTGCCTCCAGTAGAACTCGAACTCACCACCGTTCGTTCGAAACGCCAGAAGGTTAGTCACTAGACCATCAAGTCACGATAACTACTTTTTGTGCGACGAGTAACTGATTGTTTATTGTGCAGTGGAATTACTTAGGCAGAATATTAACTATTGTAAGAATTGGCTTTGTGAACAGACATTTTATTTAGGCTCAGAGATTTGTCGCAAAATCCATACATTCTACCTGCATTGTTCTTTTTAAATATAAAACTGCACTCTATATAAACCAAGCAATTCAGTAGTCAGACAACCCCATTAAAGATCATCCCTTATTTTAATTTACGATAGAATATGAACATGAAAAGAAGTTCACTTTTTTGAACCTCATTGTCAGAAGATATGATGATACAGTCAAAAAGCTCATCCATAGAAAAGGTACATAAACGAGAATAGCTCAAGTACCATAGTTTTTATTCTGCCAGATGTAAGCATAGATTACCTAAAACACTTCATTAAAGATCCAAAATCTTATGTTCTGTCGACAATTTAAAGGAAGAACTAAACACTAATGAAACATGTCTCAAAGAGTGGATGTCGTGAGAGATTTACAATGAAGTATGAAAAAGGACAGGTTGGAAGAGCTAAACACACGTGTTTGAGAGAAAGAAGTTTTCAGTCATTTAACAATCAAATGATATACAGAACGGACGTCAGAAACAATGAATGACTAAAAAGAATCTTTCCTTTATCTAAACTTGTGTCAGTATATGACAGCACATGCTCACTCAACTGGATAATTATTCTGTTCATGTCACATCTAACCGTATTTACGGATTCACATACACAATATGGTAGCAAGTACATTTGGTGCACCCAGCATATTCCGAGGATATTATGCCTTATGAATTGGTGGAGAATATTTGTAGCTCAGGTAGATGGTCTTGGTTGCATTGTGTTCTCTGAGCTAAGTTGTGGTGCTTTCATTGTCATTCGAGACGACGTCATCAGCATTAACTTCAGTATGAAGTGAGCCGACAGTATTTCTCCGTGAGTGACTTAGTGGCTTTCCCTGACAAACATGTTTGTAATTGGTTGTTCCCCATGCTGAAAAGGAAGCGGAATTCTAACCAGTGCGATAAGCAAACAGGTCAAAGATACAGGAAATCAACTTGATACTTCTGGTACCTTTAAAACAAAAAATACACAGAAAATATCCGGACTACTACGCCACGCCGAAATAATTGCTATAAAGTGCTTTCAACCTGACCCTGTATACAAAAGGAGAGTGTGATCAGTCTCTCACTACAATGGTGACTGCAATTTGATCCTGTTTAATGATAATAAAATAATTATTTATTTTACCTACTTATTTTAACTGAATGAGTTGATGTCAGTCTTATCTATGTCATTCCTAAGTGTGTTGTGCAATCTGTTAGCTAGTAAGATTTGTCCGTTTTCTTAGATTTTTCATCCCCTATGATAATTCTACTGTCTGTTGTTAAATAGTATGTAATTTAGCAATGATTTTAATATAAAACGTAAGATTATGAAATTTTTAGATACGTAATGTCAGATCACCCTGTGTGCTATCATAAATTAGTTTATTCTATGTGATTGTATTATTCTTTTCTAAAAACAGTTTTGAGTTCAAACTGTAGGCTACTGATGAAAATTCATAGAATAAAATGGCATCATTTTGCTTCACCATGGACCTAAACTAGCTGACGAAACATGGAAAGCCTGGGGGCACTGGACAGCTGTTTAGTTCTAGTATGAATTTCCTCACTAGTACGCACTCACGATCTTGTCAGGAACGAAATTCAGGACCTTCATATCTCATAGTGAACGCATTAATCACTCAGTCACTAGATCTGAATTCAGTGGTTCACAGCTTATTACTCCTGTCTGATTGGCTTCCTGAATAGTTAACTCGTTCGCCACGAGATCTAGAAGTTTTAGATTCTATTCCTGATGCAGTCTTGAGTGAACACCGCCGAAATGTACTCTATCATCTAGAAAATATCATTCCTGAATGACCGATATTCATAAAATTAGTACAATTAAGGAAAATGAATATATATATATATATATATATATATATATATATATGTCTATACGCAAACTGGGTGATCATCTTTACCTACCTTCAGACGTTTTAGATATTAAATGTACATCTTCTAAAATGATAGTATTATTTTTAAAATAAGATTTTTTGAACAACTTTTCGTGACATCCATTTCTCCTTGAAATATTGTCTCCTTGTATGAATGTTAAAGATAACTTTTTTCATAAAATCTACTGATTGCATTCGAAAAGAATGTATTTTGTTTTTATTTGATTTAATCCAACTTTTTCTCATCTCTGAATTTTGACTTATAGCAATAGCTAGTTGTGATTTACCGGAACCAAATGGTCCAGTAATGATTACTGGACGACCAGATTGTATCAACAATGAACCAGTAAATAAATGAACTGAAAGCTTAAAGTAAACAATAAGATAAAAAAATTAATCTTGACAGTATACTGAACTATATCCTACATCTTTTTTGTCTGACTCTCATAGTCAAAAAACAACACCCGGAGTAGATATATCTTAACTATTTATTATTTATATTTATCGAGGACTGATATCAGTTTGAGAACCATTGGAAACCTGGGAGCACTGGACATCATTTTGTCCTCGTATGAGACTCCTAAGTAGTGCACACCCATGACCCAGTCAGCAGGATCCCACATTAGAGTGAAACAGCTGTCCAACGCTGACAGGTTTCCAAGGTCTTTCCAACTCATGTAAGTCCATGACGAATATCAACCTGAAATCAATAAATAAGTCCCCACAAACTAGCAAACATTCAATCAGATTTGTTTAGGTTACGTAAAACTACCCTTGTAATTTAAACAGGGAATTCTGGTTGGTTATTTCATTGTTTGTTAGAGTAACCATTATAGTTATAGTTGTGAAATGACTGCTATATGCTTTAAATCTCATAACAATCAAATATATCTCCAAAAGAATTCTCACAAAATGTGTCTGCTATTTTTGATGAAACAAAGGTCTAACTACTAATACTTTGTTGATGGGTTGAAAAAATTTGGAATTCAGCTACAAACTCACATATGAATTGTCGTACTACAAATTTTACTTCAATTAAACAGTATACTCAAAGGTAAGTTAAAAACAAAGATTAACCACTGAAATTGAATTGTAAAAGGATTCTGATGTAACATGATATGGTGAGATAGACTTGTGAACGCTTGAACAAGAGTCTTCATTCTCTACACTTCCTAGTTCCTTGATTTGTCTAAAACAGTGAAACCAATAAGACAAGAGAAAGTATACTTCAAAAATGGGCAAGGAAAAAGGTTCTGTGGTCTCTTCATGTTTACAGTAGACCTTATAATATTCAGACCTCTCCAGAAAGACATTCCTTATTAAATCCATCTTAATAATCAAACATATATTAATATGTATGAAAAAGTGTCTTTCTGGGAAAATTTCAACTAGGACGATTGATTTTAAATCAATTTAGAAACATTCCTTTTTCTGAAGTATCTGCTGAATAACAAAACATCGACATTTCTAGTTGTTATTCATCGAAAACTGACATCATTTGGAGGAACAAAGGAAACCCGGGAGCACTGGCTAGCAGTTTCGTCCTAGTATGGGACACCTCAGCAGTGCGCACCCACGACCCCACCAGCAGGGACCGAACCCGCGACCTACAGGTTCCGCGGCCAGCGCGTTACCATTGAGCTACTGGTCAGAATCCAATGCTCCATATTTCCAACTTCTGTCGCGGGTTCGACCCCTGCCGGTGCGGAGTCGTGGGTACGCACTGCTGAGGAGTCCCATACTAGGACGAAACAGCTGTCCAGTGCTCCCAGGTTTCCTTTGTTCCTCCAACTGATGTCAGTCTTTGATGAATAACAACTTGAAATATTTCCAAATCTCCACAACTCCCTCAAAATCAACATTTCTGTTTGAAAAATAAGTGAATAAGATGACAAAACATTTGGGTTTTCTGTAGTACGGAGTATTTAACTATTTCTGAATGATTTTCACTTAGCTGTCATGACAGAGTTTAACTTAGCTGATTTACATTCATTTCTGCATTCACTGGCAGCATGGGGAGTTTATATGATTCAAGACAGGTATTTTCAGTAGTAGTACCTCAATTCCTTTCTCCTTCTATGGTCAACGGAATGCACAAGTGTACCTTAAAAACTCTGCATTTATGTTGGACGGCGTATAAAAATGTCATGAAGCAGCGATCAATTAAAGTAAGCAGGAATCAGCTGCATGACAGAATTTGTTATTAAGGAATTTTGGAACTCAGAAACAATTGGACAAACTTGACAACCTTCAAACTATAGTAACCAAGCAGTATCAAGGCAATCTATCAATATAAATCGATCAATTCGACTTTGTTCACTAACATGAAATCATAGGTATCAAACTACAAAACCTGATACCTGCTCCACGATTAGTGTTTCTTGTTTCCCAGTAGCGTAGTGCGTAACGCCTTAGAGTTTCAAGCCATGGATGGTAGACCCAAGTCTCAGTAGGAACAACATCACTCACTAAAGTGCAAGGGTGTCCAGTTGACGCGTCCTAAATGGGACGAAACCCGCATCATGGATTCCACTGCTAGCCACCAAGCAGATCAGAACATAATGGGCAATCGAGCAGTATCAAGGTAGCCACAAACGGGCCAATCTGTTAACAGAGGTCAAGCAGTTTGTCTCAGTATAGGAACGGGAGATTACAAGTATCAAAAACAAGAATATTCTTGTTTCGTTCAGATGTCTTTTGAATATCAACCTGAGATCTATGATAGGAGTTTTTAAGAAACCTAAGTGATTTGATTCTAAAGATGTAAGAAATGGCAAAAAATGAGGATTGAAAGATAGGGATTATATCATTATTTATATAATGTAACTCTTAGTATCTATCAGTGAAAATGATAGAGCATATCTGATTCAAACTAACAATACTAAAAGGTAGCCTTTTGGTTAAACCAAACGTACATGATACAACGTAGGTAATAATGGCTTTCTGTTGCTATTTTCTGTTTCGGGAATAATAGTGTCATATTCTTCTGGCCAATGTAAATCTAAACTATCTGTATGCCAAAATGGTGTTAACTGTCCAGTTCTTAAATCGACAATACAATTAAATAAGCTGTTTTTCAATCCATGCACTCCTTGTTCATTTTCTTCACTTTCATTATTCCAATCAATATCTAATAATAAACATTCATCTTTAGTCATATGATGTGTGATTTGATTTGTATAGTATGATTCAAGGGATGAATATTTATCATTGCATTCAATGTTCAATGAGTTGGGTAATTGAACAAAATCCTTTAGTACTTGTATCAGCATTGATTCATATCTAATATAGAAGAGAATACTCTGAATAATCTTAAAGACAGGAAAACCCAATAAAATTTGTTCAAAATTCAAAATACAACATAATATTTGTTAAAGTAGAAACGGTGAACAAATTCAAATCAAATGATAGGAACTCCAATAAGATCACCAGTTTAAGGGATCAGTGTAGAAGTAGTCATGTAACAAGTGGAGTTAATAATCATCTAACTGAAGCTATGGTTGTGATACTGGCACGATACATTTATCATTCTCAAGAAAAATGGTATTGAATCTAACTAAAACCTAATCAGTAATGTTTTCAGAGGAATCGAATTCATGAAAGAAGAAGAAAAAAATAAAGGATACAGGCATTCTTAGATATTTTGATTACAGAAGGTGATGATGAACGCCTTGAAACTCAATTAAACAATTCTTACGTATCAGATCCTTAATTACAACAGCAACAATCTGATGTCGTACAAAAAAAGCTGTGTAGCAACACTATTTTTCCGAGTAGATAAACATACACTGCAGTACAATAGACTCAAAGATAGCTGATAATAAAACTTTTGTTCAAAATCTACCAACCCAGCGGCTATTCAAACAATTTCACCAAGAGATTTTCTAGATAAACTAATGAAAATCGACTTCAAAATTTAATGGAAGAATCGTCGACCCTTGCATCTTGAATACCTTCAGGATCTAATAGGCAGACTGATGCAGCCGCTTTAAATCTCAGTGTCACACAGACCGACATAGCAGTAGAAATGTCGACTGTTTCGAAAACCTATTCTTTTAATTATTTCAAGAAAACGGGACAACAAAGTCAACAGACATTAATATATCACATCATACTACTTGATATCACCTGAACTCTTAAAATATTTAAAACTCTATTTAAAAAGAAAACCAAATACAGTACCGTGTTCTTATTCTTGGATCCCCTGCCATTGAACCACCAATACCCCAAATAAACGAGAATAAAAATAAATTTCTAATCAATAATTCATAAAATTTCGGTTGATCTTCAATATTTTTCCATTTAGGCCAAAAATGATCAATTAATGCAATGCTTGATTGATAAACAGATGCTAAAATAAATAAATAAATATTTGAAAATTTCAAAAAAAAGTTATTATAGGTAAGTGGAAATGTTTAATGAACAAAAGTCTACACTGGGATTTGTTGTGCATTAACACTAGGCTCTGTAATTATACTACATTGTATATCGTCAAAATCAAAATTCGTACAAACTTTATAACAGGACATAATGTTAAATACCATGTTGTGTATTTCAAAGTGGCAGCATTTTGGATTCACACTGCTGAGGATCTTCTTACCAGGACGAAATAAGTGTCCACTGCTCCATAGTTTTCAATGCTCTTACAAATGATTTCAGTTTATGATGAAGATTATCTTCAAAATATCTATTTCACTAATGGAGGAGAAGAGTTTCCAGTTCAAGCATCTGTTTTGTAGGGAGAATGACTCCAAAATAATCATTATTAACTTTATCAAAAGATAAAAATGATCAGGCAACCACTATCAAAATACAACCTGGATTTATTGTGTGTTACTTTATATTTTTAATACTCCACAACAGCAAATCAAAGTGGAAACATAAGAAAGGGGAACAAAGCTATGAGACTTGACTGTAGACCAAATTTTCATTTCACTTCAATCACCAAGAGATTTTGCCTGACTGCTATGTGAATTCGTGACGCGTTACTATCACTTGATTTTACACCCTATAGCTGATCAGCCAAGACTTCTTGTCCCAACCTAAATCTACTCGAATAATGGAAGGAGAGTATCAGATTTATTACAGATTTGACTATCTTAGGTAGCCATGATTTAGTAGACTTGTAGTGATACTAGGGGATGACTGTGGCCCAAACTTGTTTCAACTGAAATCAACCAGATCTTGTATCCCAGTGGGTCAAAAACCCTATGATCGCTGTTTCAAATCCTTCTGCGGACCAAATTTTCATTTCACCTTCAATCATAACACAGTATCAATACAAGTCTGTCAAATCATGCTTATCTCAAATTATCAAACTTACAATATGTCAACTTCATAATAAAAAAAACCGTTCGATAAAACTAAATTTGTGTTAATAACATAGAAATACATAATAAGTTTTTCAAGATTTACATAAATGTAAAAATTAAATGCAAATGCGTCACTGTAGTCAATTTCAAGTGTGATAAAAAAAGTAACTAGAAAGTCTACCAATTCACCTCTTGAGGTGGATTTGCTCGTACACGCTGCACAAAGTGTCTTCTATGCAAACTCTTCTCCTTATACTCTTCTACATGGCTGTCTAAATGAGAGTGTAAGCCGTCAACACCTCGATTCTTGAGCATCTCTTTAACTCTGGTCTCTGTGCTCCATGACAGTCTTCTTTCAAAGTTATAAGGCGAAACAAAACATTTCAAAAGCAGTGCGTATTTGCCACCTGAACACAGCAGAAGCTTTGTTTATTTATTGTAGTCCTACAAATAAATTTTGATGACTTTGGGTTGATCTCCTAACCGTTATGACCATGTGACTTTATTGGCCGTTTTTGGATGAGTTTGTATTAACCTATTAGCTATTGATGAAAATGTACGCATTCTTGTAACTATAATTACTAATTCATCGAAAAGAACACTTTCTACGTTGTCCATGGCTCATACTGACTGTTAAGAACCTTATGTTGCTGATTCTAACTCCTTCTTTTTGAATTGGTCTTCTCTCTCACCATTATTTTACGTTGGGCAGATGGATTAATATAACACTTGTATCCCTTACCCAAATCGTTATTTCTTAAAGCATTATTTTGCGTACACTTGCTTTCGACTACATTTAGATCATAGCATTAATTCAGACATTCCAGAAAGCTTGTTAGTGTTTTAAGCTGGTGAAGTTAAGCATAGAATTTTGTGTTCCTCCCAAAATTTTATCATCCAATCAAAAATCGTAAATGGTGTCACCTCTTAGGCAAACAAATTAGCCAAAGCATTCAGTCACTTCCCCATCGAATATTCTATGAAGTATCAATGAAGACTTTTCGTGTAACAACAGAAAATTATGACATTAAAATGTTGTGAAGAGAAAATAATTCCAAAGATATTTTTCGATATGACCAAAAACTTTTACTTTAGCTGAAGTGCACTTGAATGACCGTGAAATGACTACTCAATGTAGATGTCATTACGCTGAATTCTTTTATTATTATTTTTCCCTTGAGTTCCTAGTGGAACATGGGGGTTTAGTAGCACGCCTCCATTGCATTCTCTTCTCTACAGTCTTTTCAACCTGACTCAACAACTCCCCATAACCTTTCATTTCTTCCTCACACAATCTCCTCCATCTCACCCTCGGACCACAAAACTCGTCACTTCTCCTCTGGGTTCCACTCAAGGGTCTGACCTGGTTCATGATCTCCTCGAATAGTCTTCTCAGAGTATGTCTAATCCAATCCATCTCCACTTTCTTCTGCACATTTGTTGGGTGACAGGTTGTTGGTTGGTTCGTTGCCAGCCAGCCAGCCAGCCAGAGTTCCTTGTTACTTATTCCTAATATTCTCGCCATCTGATCTTCACTGTCAGTATCGAGTGAGAGTAGGCGGCAGCTGTTGATGAATGTCTGTAGTTTTTTGAATTGCCTCTCGTAACACACCAAGTCTGTGGGTCATCACATACAAGCACTGACCTGACTGAATTAGTGTTGAAAATCCGGATGTTATTCACGCTTTATGCTGAGTGCATCGCATCGCACTGCAAAGCACTGCAGTGCAGTGCAGTGATCTGCATACTGATTTCAAATTAATGAAGGAAGGTCTGTCTTGCTGCCTCTCCCATTCTGGTTTTGACATCCCCGTCTTGCCATCACCACCTCCTGTAGTTGAAACGATGCTGCCTTGCTTAGGTAGGTGAAAGAGACTATTTCTTTTAGGTTTCTCCCCTCGATGTTGATTGGTGCTCAAAGTAGACACGAAACTACTTTTGAGTGTTTTCGGAAAGACGCAGCTCACTCTAGAAAGAACAATGTCAAGTATTGAGGAGGAAATATATTCCCCGATAACTTGAAAATGGCGATTTGATAAGTAGATCAATGGTTTACAATAGCAAAGATGAAATGGCACCAGTTTTACATGAAGAAACATAAGATAAATGGTCACGGAGAGGTAAATTTTGCTGGCAGAAAAGTTGAATTAAAAATAGGATACTTTTTGCAGATTTCAGTTTCAGTTTAAGAAATATTATGCGAATTACTCCCAAAATGAACTACTTCAACATCAGTTACAACAGTTACTGCTCTACTAGTTGTATTAAGTTAAAATACGATGTAATGCTGCTAGTACTGTATATATCTACCCTCCAGAAAAAGTGCGAACTTCGGTTATCCATTTGAGTTCCTAGATAAGTCGTAGAAACAGATGAAACAATTTTCAGAAAGCGCAAACTTAATTGTAGTAGACAAGGTCTTAATCGATTAGATAAGTCCCTACTTTTACATTCATTTTGCTATATATTTTTAGATATCTGGGATATAAATATAAACAGAAGGACATTTTATACAGAAAGGCAACTATTTTGTACTCTAATTGCTGACCAGCGGTGGAATCCAAGATGTGCGCTTCGTCCTATATGTAACTAGTCAGCTGGGTGTACATTCATCACAATGAGTTTTGTTGTCCCTACTGAGACTGGAACCCAGTACTTATCGCTCCAACAGCCGAAACGTTATCCACTAGGCCAATGACAGTCTTCTGTCATCTGGCCATACATGTGTGACTGAAGGCAAAATAGCTCACTACGTCAACATGGCTGCAGTCACAAATTAGCCTTAAGTAAAAGACAACAGAAGTTCTTAATAACAATGTAGAAGATATTTTAAGTCGCTTGAAACCTTATTTAAGGTCATACTGTGAATCGACCAGAATGATAATTTGTTGGCATACGGATGAGTTTTGGTAGCACATATTTTTGACCTGAAGCCAAGAAACCCGAAAGAAAGCATTCAGATTTATATGAATAGCGCTAAGAAGTTATATCCTCTGTAATTTTCTAATCAGTTCTTGTTAATCTGATTTTTGATCGCCTTATTCGCAGTCAGTAGGTTTATAGGTCATTCAAATGTTGCCCAACTTCAGTGTGATTTTTCTACTCTGCCTCTTTTGTATCAAATTTCTGGTTTCAATTCAGACTATTTTGTATTGAAATCCGGTATCTACTGATACTTTCACTCCTAAAAACCTTAGTTAACTTTTTTATAACTATACAACAAGTGGAGGTAGTTCTAAATACCCATAACATCCCACAGAATAATCTGTCTGTATAGGAGGATATGACAGACTAACAGCATGCAAACAACATTCAGCGTCTTTTAAACATGCTTAATATGTTTTCATTTCTTCTGAAATGGAAGACCATGGTGTGGCACTTGAGTGACAGAGAGTGAAGTGGTTGACACTTGACACACTTTCTGATTTATTGACTACCTAAATTCACGATCCTACCTGAAGTAGATTTTAACTGCAAGAAAGCCTACGGTGACTAGACGAAGTTTTACTACTAATTCACAAAATATCTTATCACTTATCTTTTTGGTGGGGAATATTTCGATGTTTGGCGTCTTAGTGGTGTGCGTACCAATGTACAAAGACTGTTGGTGACATGACAAACAAAAGCACACAGATGCCGATATGTCCACGTGGTATCATCTTCTAGACAGAATATTTTACCAGTATTCATTTAGCAGTTTACCACTATCCCATATCTTTCAATTTTATCATTTTATTGATAATGACTACCTCCTGTGGTGTTATGAAGTAGTGGCAACTTGAACAGATTCACTTCAGTGCAACATTTGGTACCTACTTCATTCATCGTATGATGCTTTTAATAATTTCCTGAAATGATGGAAACGATTTTTAGCTTAGGATGAGGATGATAGTGGTTCAATGTTCTATGAGATTTGATATTTTATCGTGGATGTTTCATCACTAGTCAACTGTCTACCTCAATTTCATCTATTTTGAAAAGACCTTCGACAACGTCGACCAAGAAGGAATTTGCCAGGCAGCTGCTTCAACACTACTGTTTTAGTGCCGCAAACATCTATCAACCTCATTCAACAGCTATATGCTATGCTATATCATGAGGCTACATGCCGAGTGACTCACAATGGGAAGCTCAGTGATGCTTCTGAAGTGAAGTGAAGATAGGAGTAAGACAAGACTGCCGCCTACTATCACACACGATCTTCCTGAATTGTGGTCAACTAAACTGCATCATGCAACAGACAACTGTGAGGAGATGTGAGGAAATGGACATACGCTGACTGGAACGATGAAAAGGCCGAAGAAGAAGATTTGCACTTCCCCCATGATCATTTATGTGTGATGTTTTCTGTAGCACAAACTTGAAGATCTACAGGCGAAAACTAACAAGTTGACAGAAGAGATGGGGCAGTGAATGAAGACGAGACTCCGAGTGAACGCAGAGAAGACGGAGGTGATGTAGATACCCAGCCAACAATAGGAGGCACCAATCACCATGAACGGGAGAAACCTAAAGGAAGTAGTCTCTTTCACCTACCCACATTGGTAGCATCGTTTCAACTACAGGTGGTGGTGGCACAGACGAGGATATCAAAACCAGAATCGAAAAGGAAGCAAGACAGACCTTCCTTCATTAATTTGAAATCAGTGTGCAGATCACTGCACTGCACTGCAGTGCACTGCAATGCGATGCGATGCGATGCAATGCGATGCAATGCACTCAGCATAAAGCGTGAATAACATCCGGATTTTCAACACTAATTCAGTCAGGTCAGTGCTTGTATGTGATGACCCACAGACTTGAGTGGAACCCAGAGGAGAAGTGACGAGTTTTGGGGTCTGAGGGTGAGATGGAGGAGATTGTGTGAGGAAGAAATGAAAGGTTATGGGGAGTTGTTGAGTCAGGTTGAAAAGAATTCAGAAGAGAGAGTGAATTGGTGACATGCTGCTGAAGTCCTATATTCCACTGAGAACCTTAAGGACAAATAATTACTCTGGAATTTTCGTTAACTTTTCATTATGGTCCATTTAGTAAAAACTTTCTTATACTATGTAATAACAAACAATGCTGTATGTATCACTTGCCTGATTTTCTCCCTGTTTTGCGAAATTCCCATACTTGTTTTGAGAAGTATTTCTTAAATAATCCAGAAATTAAAGCTATAAGATTGTTGATACATTGATGATAAAATGCATTTTTATAATGTGATAGATAATTTGAATTAGTGGAAGAGTTATCACCAATATCTGAACACCACTGGTTAAGAAGTTCCCAGGTTTGTTCCATTACCATTGGCAGGAGTTTTTCTAACTCTTTCAGTATTTTATTCCATCTAGAAAAAAATTTCAAAGCGAACAAATGCATCAGGTTTACAAAGAACAAAATTCCATCAGTTGTTATTACTTCACAAAGCAGAATAGTAAAATCAGCAACTATCAGCAAAGAATATATCCTGTGTTGAGTAATCGATGCTTCCTCAAGTAGTTGACGCTGTGCCATAATAAATTTCAGGACCTTAATATTAAGTCGTTTGGGGCTGCCATAAATTTCTTGTCAAACTGACCAAGCTATAACAAGATAATAGACAGCGATGTACTTTCTTGTCGTCAATGGTGATTTGATACCACGAAAGATCTTGTAATGTACTATTAACCGGCAAGTATTAAAAAGGTAAAAAGAGTATACTTTAATTCTCTCCATACTAAAGCTCTCCTTCGGTATTCTTAACCCACTGACTTTGCTATCAAAAGATGTAGGATGAAGTGAGTGGTATACATCTCCAGGCCTTATCCTAAGAGTACATTTTAAAGTTAACATGTCATTCAGCAATATTAGCAAAAGTGAATTTTACTAAAATCAGAGTTGGCTGAATAAATCCATCAGGACAGTTACTTCAACATACGAAACGAGTCACTACACCACACATCAGCGAAGTCTCAGAAACTGTAAACAGATTACTTTATCCATTTGGTATCAGGGAAGTACATAAACCAACCAAATCCCTGCATAACATCTTACACAACCTAATGGATGCATTACTTGAGGAAGGAAAGACGAATATAATGCATGAGATTAGTTGCAAAGATTGTCAACAGCACTGTGATAGTCGAAGCGGTTATTGAAAATGTCAGAGAACTTATGAGCATCAACTTGTAGTCAAACGACATGATATGTCATCACTGATATCGATACATGTAGATGAATACAACCACAAATTTGATTCTGATACCACAACAAACAAGCTCTTAAACGACAAAAAACATTCTAGGGAGCATAGTACTTCAATCAAGCGGCTATCAATAGATGCATGAACGTTTACTCAACACTGGGTGGTAATTGAAAGCGAAATGAAATTTTGGACCGCGGCGGATTCGAACCAACGACAACTGGGTTTCTGGCACGATGCTGTGACAACTGAACTACAAGATTTTTATTTCACTCCAATCACCAAAGGTTTTATCCGACTACCAAGTGAATTTGGGATGCGTTTCTACCTCTTGATTGTATTCATACTGGCTGCCTAATCAGGACTTCTCATCCCAATCCAAACGTAACTGAGTTATAGAGGGGGAGCATCATGTTGATTATCATTTCACTATCTGAGTGGGGTAGCCGTGTTTTGACAGACTAGTGTTGATACTGGTTGATGATTGAAGGTGTGATTAAAGTTTGTACTGCAGTAGAACCTCGTAGCTCAATTGGTAAAGCGTCGGGCCAGAAATCCGGTAGTCGCTGGTTCGAATCCAAATTTTCATTTCACATCCAATCATCACCCAGTATAAATACTAGTCTCCCAAACCACGTCTTTCTCACATGGTCAAAATGATAATTTACTCAATAAACCATCCAAGTGGTAATCAGTCAAAAAAAGTCAGTGACCATACATCACGTCAACAACAAAGGTCAAATGATAACAACAATCACAATGATCAACTATTTTTAGAGAAGGCTAATTTACCTCAAGTGACAAGTCGATGAAGTTCAAATTTTAGAAGTTTCTTTCACAAACATTTATGCTTCACTTCTTTATGAGGTGAATGTTAATGAAGTTTCCTGGCCTGATGATAAAAGGTCCGAGAAGAATACCTCAAAGCTCAGAGGACAAAGAATTATCACCTTCCACGTCCAAAGTGGTTAACTACCAGAGGTTTACCTTCCATATTCTATCATTATAGTCGGTATGAAAGGTATATCAACACTATACAGTGGACCGACTATCACCACCATGGTTGCAGTGCCTTCTTTTAGCTGGGTGGTTTAGTCATGAAGCTTTCATTGTCTTTCTAGACAACATTTTCAGTAATAACAACAAGTATTCTCCATTATTTCAAAGCCCTTTATCATCACCATGAGTATTCTCAAAAAGTAAACTTTTCTTTGAAAATATATCCAAAAAAAATGAAACGTCTGTCCATAAATATGCAAGCTTTAGAAGCCTGTTGACGGCTATTATGACGAAATCGCGAATTCTGAATATAAACTACTGAATCGCAATCATTTATGTTAAAGAACCCCTATAAATTCATAATAAACAACCGTCTTCTTGATCATATTTACTTTCTGTTCCTCAGTTGTTTTCCAGACCTCACCAACAATACATAAATATCTGTCATAAGCATAAGGCAATAAATAACTGCATGACAACCCTGACTGTAACAGCTAAAATCTGCATAGCAGTGTGGAAATTATCAGAGAGAAAAGCAAGAAAATAAAATTATCATCACTTTATCTGAGCTAGCCTTGGTTTAATAGACTTGTGTTGATACTGGATGAAGTAAAGATTTGATCAGTAATCGGGTCTCCTAGCTCATTTGGTACAGCATCTGGTAGGAAATTTGGTGGTTACTGCTTCGAGTCCTGCCGTGACCCAGATTATCATTTCACCTTCAGTCATCACCGAATGTCAATGAAATTATTATTTGATAACAGGAGCATATGCAATGAAAAGTAGGGGATGAGGTAAAATGAATGTAGCATAACTGTTAAGATGTCATGTGATGTTGCATCACATATAAACTCCAACGTCCGATCGAACCTGTAGCTCTCTGCTCTCGACATTTGATATTCAACCAGTGTCGTAAGTACAAGTCCATTTTATTCGCCGATGTTTGGATAACCTGCTAATATCACTAGATTTAACACAATGCATTCACATGATTGGGGAGTTACAGTTCCCGTTACTTCACAAACCTTAACCAACAAGCTTATATTTTGTCTAGGTAACTAAGATCAAATATAAGAAACAATGTGGTTCGATGCCATGATTTATTCTGATAAGCTCTGAAAGACTCTGTGAAATACATATACTGATAATGGCTGGCGACTGAGGGTGGAATGAATATCTGCATCATGGGTAGGATTCGAACTGGTAACTTCTGGACTAATTTCACTTCAATCTAGCTATTGTATGAATCCATGGAACATAACTGTTCTTTCATAGTAATCACACTAGCTATCTAATCAGTTCTTTTTGCCCTAATTTAAATCAGGGTGAATTAAAGAGACAGAGAGCGCCATATTGATTATCAGTGTGACTACCTTCAATCATCACCCAGTACCAGTGGTAAGAATCCGCCAAACCAGTTATCTCAGATAGACAACCTGATATATATATATATATATATATATATATATATATATATATATATATATACATCAGCATTTATCTGAAAAATTACTTCAAGCATGCTCAGTCAAAAGCAACTACTCACACGCAATTAATTATCATATAGCGTTCATAACTTGTTCTACACCACATTCTCCATATATGAGACCAGTCAAGTTCGTTATACACTTCAGTTGAACATAGAGAGAAATTATTGATGATGCCAGGAGATAATTCTTCCATAGATGCTTTTTCTACGAATAACTTTCTTGTCGCTGAAAATTGTGAATTATAATTACAATAAGTTATATTATGTATGAGAATTATCAAGAAAAACCAACATTTAATCGGTTGTTGGAATCCTGCAAGCTCCTCGATGTATCTCTGTGAACGGTTCTTCATGTGGTCAGATAATTTTATCGATGCCAGATTTGTAGTTTGAAGTGAAAATTGTTATTCAATGACATTGTAAAATGATTCAGGCTAGCACCAAGTATGAAGTAGCGGTTAGATTAACCGTATATTAAATGTCATAATGCTACCAATCTATGACCGAATAGGTGAGTTCAGCTGAACCTTTGCCCATAAGTAATGAGGGTATATCATCTCAAATCAAGTGAAAGTAGGATGGAAAATATTTTTATTTACATTCACGTATGACTTTGTAACTAACCTTTTTCCGTAGTGGCCTTATATTTCTCTTATACATAATATTTACAGCTATTCAATACATTCAGAATTATTACGTTTGTAATGCAATGCTCCGAATTGAGACAGTTGACAAAATTAATCGAGTTTCGCAAGAAGTTGTTCCTTGCTTGAGTAGGTTAGTAGTAAGGCCTCCAACGTCAGTACTGAATGAAACAGGTTCGAAACGTCCGAAAATCACCAGTTAATATAGGTGTAAAACTTGGGCACTGTGGTAGGTTTATTTATTTGGTTTATAACACACAGTGAGTGATCTAGTATTATTTACTTGATGACGTTTTGGGCATAAGTCATCATTGCTCATAATCATAACAACGTAATCAAACTACTTTCGACATCTGATTTTATAATTACGTCACTTTATATGAGTTGTTTTTACTGGTAGCGAAATTTTCCATATCTCTGGTGTAGGTGTTGCGTCATTTCTATTACATGTGTTGAGTGTTGATTTGTTGAACAAAGATTCAGCAAACAATCTCTCTCTCTCCCTCTCCACCTAATTATATCGGACTTAAGTACAGTGGCTTTATCCCACCCTATTGTGTGTGAATACATGCATGGTAATCTAGAAAAAAGCTCAGCTATTGCTACGTACGCATTAACACACAACCACACAATACGGTTGACTATTGCTCCGCTTCACCTCTGACCTTCCTGTCGTTTATCATCTTTCTTTTTGGTTGATAGATTGGATCTATGTTTATAGAGCTATTGATTACTGGCCTGAAAGCCGAACTTCTAGGAATTCTCTGATATTCTTTGTATGTCCTCTCTCCGTCCAAAATTTCCACATTGTAGAAATTGAATTCATGTCCATAATTATCCACGTGCATTGAAATGAGTGATGAGATGTCGTGTGTGACGTTGAATAGCCAACTGATGTTCATGTAGACGAAGATGAAGAGGGTGACCATTTTATCCAATGTAGTGTTGACTACAGTTATTGCAGTTGATTTTATAAATAATATTTGATTTGTCTTCTTTGATTGTTGTGTCATTTGGTCTGCATAATGTGGTTTGGAGGGAATTTGTTGATTTATGAGCCACACCAATTCCAAGTGGTCTCAGTAATCTTGTCGTGATTTGTGATAAATTATTTATGTATGGTAGGATGATGCGTTTCTTAATTTCTGTCGATGACTTTGCAGTTCATACACGGGATAGGTATCACTCACCAGAGGGTAGGTACATACTGTCGACCTGTAATAAGCGGCAACATTGAGGCCTCTGTACAGCACCCGAAATATATCGATATAGGCTGATTATTTCGGTCTTAACAACAACGGGATACTTTAAGTTACAACTAGTTTCTTATTCTCAGTACCAGCACAAATAGGCACCCATCAAATACCATTTTACTGTGACACAGACCTAGGATAAATGAAGATGTTGTTCACTAGACAAGTTTCTTATCCCTTTAATTTGTGAACACATTCATCTTCCAGCTGCCTATGGTTGACTCGTCATAAAAACACACGAAGTATTAGAGATTTATTCTTACCCATTATGGATGAGGTTTACGAACTACGAAACAGTAACTTCAACTTTATGTGTTATGTTGATTACTGTCAGTTTGGTCAGTTATCTTGACAGAACTTCTTGGTATTACGTATCTAAATCAATACGAGATGTCATAGTAACCAAATTGACTAATCTGAACAGATTGCCTAATCCTCTGACTTATTAAAAGGTTCTAAATATCATTTGAAGGTATCCTGACCAACAATGGATGGTTCTGAAGATCGCTTATAAAATATCTGATTATAAATTACTTACAATTTACAGATTTATATGCATCCAGAAGTTGGAGAGCTTTATGTTGATATAATGTTGTTAAATTTTCTAGTGGTTGATCACTTAGATCAAATAACGACCACTCCTCAACATTGTGTAATAAATGGTCATCTAATACTTTGGAAATTCTATCATCTCTACTATAACTGTTGATTTGTTCATCTGAATAAGGAAAGAAATGTGTTAACTGAATTATTTTCTGATATGTATCATATTGGCATGAATTGATACTTGTTGAAATGAGGTCTTGTTCACTTAGGTATACTTTAAACTTATCCGGTATATTATAATCAGTAGTCATTTCTTTCATGTGATTTTGACTATTGTTAGCATCGTTCATACTTTGTTCATTCATATCCGATGACAGAGTAGGAAATAGTTTTGACGAAGAAGCCGTCAACTCAGACGATAAAGATGACGACAAAGATTTCACTGATTCTTCATCAGATTTATTATCAATTTTATTATGATGATTATTGTCAGCACAATGATGCCAATTGATTGTAGAGGTGAGTAGTCTTAGAATTGTACTTTTCCCAGATGCTACAGGACCAATGATAAGAATTGGGCGGTTTAAATTAATTAACTGCCACAATTCAATAATCTGAAACAAAAGAATGGTAGCAGAAAGGTTGATGAATTTGCTTTAAAAACCCTTAGGACATATCAAATTCAGCTGAGAAAAAGAAAGGGATAGTGGTGAACTACTCTGACTTGATTGCTTTGTTAGACTAGAAGAAAATGAACATTTAGTCATCACCATTTTCGGAGAAGTAATAGATTCGAACAAATATCTCGGTTTCTGTTCATCACATCCAATCAGTGTGAAGGTCTCTCTTGCCTCCAGTCCTTTCAATGAGAGCACACACTCTCATGATGGATGAAAATGAAAGAGTTAAGGAATTAAAATATGTAACCATTCATTCGGAAAGTAGGAAGTAGTGTTAAATTGGGTTGTAATGGTGCTCCTAAAACATGGTCATCAACAAAAGTCATCCCATGCAGATCAAACATCTTGGATGAGATTATAGGAGTGTCCAATAAATGCAATATCACAGTGATCTTCAGAAAATCAAACACATGGCACAGCATCTTAGTCTATATAAAGAACTATCTTTATATGACGTGTTTACCCCTAAATCCTTTTCAATGAATGAAGAATGACGCGATCATCAGAATAAAATGCGATCATGTTATTTGTGGACCATTTTCTTCTGCGACATACAGACTGAAATTGAAATGTGAAATTTTACAGTCTGATGAAATGGGATGATATAAACCTGACAGTCGGTAGCACAAAACAATGATCTACATAACTGTAACCAGAAAGAATATTCAGGAGACTTACAGTACATAGATTAAGACATAAAGATGAAAACAACACATGTTGGGAGTTGAAGAAAATATGGACCTTAATAACGGTTGGTAGTGGCTAGCAATAGAATCGAAGACGTACGTTTTGCCCTATTTAGGACTCATTCGCTAAATATGCTTGCAACAATATGATAACTATGCCCATCACACAAGATATGACTGCCGTAACTCAGTGACCTATTGTCTACCACTCTGCTGTTTAAAGCGGTCAGTGCCGGGTTTGAGTCTTAGTGGGAACAATACTTCTAAAAAGGAGGCAGGCAGTTCCATCCAATGAGTCTCAAATGGGATGAAACAGGTGTTCTAGAGTCCCCTACCGGTCACTAACCATCATTAATATGAAATTGAAACGACAGGCGGTATCGAAGCATCCGCACAGTAGTCCAGATGCCAGCAAAGACCGATCAGTCTGATCCAATGAACGATGGGATAATGCACTAGAAAACATGAGAAAGCGAACTATGTCAAAACAAATTTGTCTCACCTCCGTGTCTAGAAGGTAGAAGTTTTCATATGTCCATGTAAGTGTCCATTTATTAATTTAACCCCTCCTGTGAAGTCAGCTATTTAGGATGAAGTATATAACTGATACTGGCCATAATGTTGACATTGGGTGTGCTTTCTCAGTCATCTATAACATGCCATACCAAACGATTCCACAAGCAGTAAGAATTTGCTTTCTCCAAACTGCTCAAGCTATTGAAATGGAAATCTTTGAAACCTGAGCTCTATGTGCGAAAGCAACTCAAACATTCCCTTATTCTTCTGCAGTCGCCTCCAAACATGGAATTTACATCAATCAGCTAAGCGGTGACTCAAATAACGTCTTCTTATTGTATATCAATCTGATTCAGCTTTCTTTTTCTTAAAATATATTGATGATATCTCTATAGTTTATGATGAAAATATGAATCTTTTAAACCTGCTTCATACTTTCAACATCGCCCGTCGTTCAACCAAATTCACTCTAGAAACAGAATCAAACTCAACATCTCATTTCCTTAATGTTCAACTCCAAAGAAAAGACGATAATTCACCTCATAGACCGACCTTAAAAAAAGCCCACGTGGAATGGACAATTTATTAATTTTCAAAGTTCAGTCCCTCTATAGAGGAAGAGATATCTTATCCATTCGCCTTCCACGAGGATTAGGAAAATGTATACTAAAGACACCATTGACGGAGAACTGCAAATACTTTGACGAACTCCAGCTGAAAATGGTTTCCGGCCCAGATTCATGGATAAGAATGTAAGGCCAAAAAACCTAACTGAACGAACATATTTGGCACCAAAAAAGATTTTTCGTATAATCTTCAGTTCGAAAATCTTTAAACAGAACACACTTTGCAGCCAATCTTCGAATTGTTTTCTCCTGCAAGAAACATAATGGTCAATGTGTGAAAAGCAAGCCAACACATTGGGCCATATCTACGTGTGTATATCAGTTTACTTGCTCTTGTGGAGCTGAGTACATCGGCTATACCATGCGACCGCTTGTAAAGTGTTCACGCGAACACTATCCAGCCTGGCTGGCAAAGGGAGAACGGAAATGTGTCTTCAGTTCAATAAGAGAATACCTTGTGAAATCAGACCACTTAGCTCTTCCTGAGAGCTCATTCAAAATTAGCTTAACGTACTGATAATTGTCAAAATTTCACGCCAACACTTGACGTGAAATATCGTACTTTGAAGTAGGCCTAATGAGTAGACCAACGAAAATATGTACTCGTTGAAACAATTGAGATATGTAAAACGATTCTGTATATTTGTTCACTTACTTTTATTAGTTGACTATCAATCACCTCAAGATTACGGACATGAATTTCTCTTAATAATCGATGAATAAAATTCCATGAAATTTTAGGGAATATATTAATTTCAGATTTTACCAGTTCATCATCTTCATATATTATTGGCATTGCAGAGCTGATGTATAAATATTTTTCATTTGAAGACAAAATCTGTTTGAAACAATTAAAAGTTGTGTTCTGTTGAACTGTATCATTGAATTGACTAATTGGCAATTTGACTCTGTAGGCATTTATCAATCCATATGATATAGCAGTCTCAGCTAGTCTATCCTCTTCTCGTCTTAATATTTCACCTGATCTCAGACTTTTACCATCTTTACGTTTCAGTTGGATTTGATGTAATTTTTTTAACCAAAATTGTTCAGCAATTTCAAAGGATCTTATGATAACTGACCATGGAAGATAAATATTTTTCGAATTGAATATATCCATTGAATTAAGTGTAACGCATGTTGATGATCTATTGAATAAATTAATCAATTGATCTCTTAACATATAACCTTGATAGCCCGGTAGATATAACATGAGTAGACATTTTATGATAAATTCCCAATCTGGATGTTGAGTAGTTACTGTTCGAAATGAAAGCTATAAGAAATATATGTTTGAGAGAATAGATATGTGTAGAAGCATTCTATATTTCAAGTGCTTAGTATATCAACACAATGGAGTACAATACTTTTCACTGGGATGGCTAATCTTTTAGAACATGCTCAAATTTTCGAGAAATAGATAAAGTCAGTGATTTAGTTCCAAATGTGGTCCCAAACTACCGATTTTAAACATCTTAGGGGATCACAGAAAAGAAGACTACACAGCTTAGACCGACAGTTAAAGCACTTGTATACTGGATTCATGCATTCACTTGATAACGATGAGTTTTTATACCATTTGTTTTTTACTGTAGCCTATTACTCACTTTCAGTAACCATATCTACAGGCTGTATTTGCACTGCTCCCTTGATAGTTTGGTCTGTTCAATAATTCTGCTTAACTGAGAATATTATCTTAGTTTGGATGACTTCAAAGAATATCATCCAAACTTGGTGAAACTGAAGAGTTAGTCACAGACTCCTTTAAGGCTAGAGATTTTTTGACTATACTAATAAATATACACTAGGGATACCAACAATAATGATACAGATTTGCAGCCTAATTCAGTATACCTTAAACCTTTCTGTAGAGAAATAACATAGTATCAGTATACACTAACATTAAATGCCAACATAGAACTTAACAATACTGTGTCACGGTACAGGTTGATGTTACTCACATCAGTACGCTGAGAAGCAAACATCGACAAATTGTTTAAAAAATTTTTTAGATGGTATTCAAGAATTTTCGAAGGTCAAAACAAGAGATATGGTATAATGGTTAGGATGAAAATAATTCGTAGGTACATTCCTGGGCCATATCATTTGTTGCCTTAAACTATAAACTTTGGTCATCTTCCAAATTTCAACTGGGAAGTCCACATCACTCTACACTACTGGCATCAACAGTCAAAGATTTTATGAAATGATGTCACCTTTAAGTGTAACTATCTCTCACCATCTTTCAGTTTTAAACTTAGGACAAACCAGTGTACACGCAACCTAATTATATAATCAACAATAGTTTCAATTCATTAAAAAGTCTTAAGCGTAGATTTGAAATCCATGATTCAAAATGGTGCCCAAATGCTGTGTGCTAAGGAAAACAGTTATCAAATAAATAAACAGGTGGACATATATTTCGACGAACTAAAGGGTTTTTAGAGTAACACATTAAATTAACCATCTAAATTTGTCAGTCAGTGATTAGTGCCCAAAATGGGATTGTAATAATAATGAAAATAGTAAAGATAACTCCAACTAACAAGTTGGCAGAAGAGGCAGTGAAGACGGGACTTCAGGTGAACGTAGAGAAGATAGAAGTGATGAAGATACCCAACAACAATAACAACAAGCAGCAATCACTATCAACGACAGAAATCTAAACGAAGTTGTCTCTTTCACCTACTCATATTGGCAGCATCGTCTCAACTACAGGTGGCACAGGCATAGATGACGATTTCAAAGGCAGGATCAATGTGGAGATCTACCCCACTTCACCACACTCCACTCAGCATATAGCGTGAACAACATCCAGGCTTTCAACACTAATTCAGTCAAGTCAGGGCTTCTATGTAAGGGTTGAGAGACTTGTTGCGTCACGAAAATCATTTCCAACAAACTTCAGACATTCATCAACACCTGCCATCTACGCTGACTCGATACTGACACTGAAGATCAGATGGCGAGAATATTAAGAATAAGTAACAAGGAAGTCACTGTGGTAACGAACCAACAAGAACCCATCACCCAACAAACATGCAGGAGAAAGTGGAGATGGATTAGATTGGGAATACACAGAGAAGACCAATTAGAGACATCACGCGTCAGACCATGCCAGGCTCTCAAATGGAAGCCAAGGGGGAAACGACGAGTTGGGCTTCCGAGGGTGACATGAAGATGATGGTAGGAAGAAATGAAAGCTTATGGGCAGTGGTGAAGCCAGGCTAAAAAGACTGGAGAGAAGAGAATGAAATGGCGACGAGTTACTGAAGCCTTATGTTCCACTAGGAACCCAAAGGACAAATAATAAAATAATTTATGATAACCATGACAGTGATAGTGACAGATTTGCCCAAGTCAGTCGTAATACAAATGATAAGGATGATAAGAACCAAGATAATAGCATGAGAATGAAGACACTCCTACAATATTTATACAATACTACGGAATAAAGTAAGTAAACAAAGAAAGTCTAAAAAATATAATAAGTATGCGAAAGGGGTGAAGAATAAAGAACGAATTCAAAGATTTTAATTATGAAGCTGTTTATTAAGTGTTTCCTGGCCAAGAGAGAAAGAGAGAGCTAAAGAATGAATAAACTTCTGTATATAAAGACTTGTACCACTAACTCGAATTGCTAAAATATGAGTTCCAATACCTTTCAAGAGATTAGGCGGTATGTGGTATGTAATCTTTGAAGTATTTCCCTTATCTACCAATTGACCGCTACCAACCACACGAGATAATATAGAGCTTCTCATAGATTCCATCTATCCCTTTCCTAACCATGAAGATAGACGCTCAGCAACACGTCTACTAGTTCACCCAATACACCTTTATCTATCAGAGCAGCTTAGCTTGTAAATACACATAGAAACGATAGAACTAAGTAACATCTGTCCGAGAAACAAAAATTGGTCGATTGGTAAGTGATAAACAGGATTCTCTAGCATAAAACCGCATTTTAATGACTCTAAATAGCGTCTGATATATAGCTTTGCTGGCTACATATCTCATAAACAATGGTATCTATAGAACAGTAATAAATTCAGATTCATTTTCTCCTCCGTTTGTTCATTTATTATTATTATTATTATTATTATTATTATCATCATTATCATTATTATTATTAATCCCTTGGGTTCTTAATGGAACATGGGGCTTCACTAGCACGTCTCCATTTCACTCTCTTCTCTGAAATCTTTCCAACCTGGCTCCACGACAGCCCACAACCTCTCATCTCCTCCTCATAAGATCCCCTCTATGTCACCCTCACCTCGGACACCCAACTCGTCGCATCCCATGGGGATTCCACTCCAGCAACTGGCCTGACGCCTGATGTCCCCAGTCGGCCTTCTCAGTGTATGCCCACTCCAATCCATCTCCACTTCCTTCCAATGCATATTTGTTGGGTGATAGCTTCTTGCTTCGTTGGTTCGTTGCCTGGCCAGAGTTCCTTGTTGCTTATTCTAACTATTCTGGCCATCTGATCTTCAGTAACGAGCCAGTGTAGGCAGTTGTCGATGAATGTCTTTAGTTTGTTTAAAATGCTTTTCGTAATGCACCAAGTCTTTCAGCCATCATACAGAAGCACTGACTTGACTGACGTTGGTGTTGAAAATCCTCGTCTGTCCCGCCACCTGTAGTTGAAACAGTGCTGCCTAGGCGGTGGGTGAAGGAGGCTACTTCCTTTAAGTTTCTCCCGTTCATGGTGATTGGAGTTTATTGTTGTTTGTGGTGTTGCGGTATCTTCATCACTTCTGTCTTCTCTATATTCACTTGCAGTCCCGTCTTCGCTGCCCTGCCTCTTCTGCCAACTTCTTAGTTTTCGCCTGTAGATCTTCAAGTTTGTGTGACATCAGACACAAGTCATCATTGGCCAAATCCAGATCTTCTAGATTCATTTCCGTGGTCCAGCCAGAATATCCCCCTCTCCTCGCTCCCCACTGTTTGCTGCATGATCCAGTCCACCACTATCAGGAATATCATGGGGGATAGTAGGCAGCAGCCTTGTCTTACTCCTGTCTTCACTTCACTTCAAAAGCATCACTGAGCTGAGCTTCCCATTGTGTTGTGAATTACTTGGCATGTGGCGTCTTCATATAGTTGTTGAATGAGGCGGATAAAGGTTTGTGGTATTCCGTAGTATTGAAGCAGTTTCCAAATTACTTCTCGGTCGACGCTGTCAAAGGCCGGCCTTCTCAAAGTCGATAAAGTTGAGGTCGAGAGTTGAGTTGACTGTCATTCTATACTCTGTTCTATGATGATGCGTAGTGTAGCGTTGCAATTTGGTCCACACATGATTTGTACTTCCTGAAGCCAGCCAGTCAGCCAGCCTGTTCCGGTCGTAGTTTTGAATCCAGTGCATATTTTAGTCTATCCAGGATGATGCAGCCTAATATTTTGCTTGCTCTGGGTCGACAGGAGAGTGATTCCGTGCCAGTTCTTGCAAACACTGAGGTCTCCCTTCTTCGGCAGTTTGACAAGGTAACCCTTCTTCCAAACAATGGCCAGGTACCTTCTCTTCCTTCCACACCTTCTGCAATAGTGGTGTGGTGTGAGCATGTCCACTGTTGTCTCTGCATCTGTTCTCAGTGCTTCCGGTGGAATTCCATCTGGTCCTTCTGCTTTCCCACATTTCAGTAGCTTTATGGCGTTCAGGACTTCCACTTTTGTTTGGGGATTTATGTTCACTTGTAGTTCTGTGGCTGGGCTGCAGATGGTATTTCTGGACGACGTGCAGGTGGTGGTCGATTCAAGAGCTTGTTGAAGTGGTCGGCCCATCGTTTCCTCTGTTTCTCTTCTTTTGTAATTAAATTTCCTTCTTCGTCTTTTATTGGTTTCATCTGTGTTGGTCTCTTCCCTGATAGCAACCTGGTTATTTGATACAATGTTGTCAGGTCTCTCTCGCCTACCTGCAGCCTATTCTGCTTCACTTGCCAGTGTTTCGTAGAAGTGTCTTTTGTCTTTGCGTGCACTCTTCTTCACTTCTTTGTCCAGTGTAGTATTTTATACATTGTACTCAGTTCCTCTTGTCGCTGAGCATCCTTACACTGGTTTATCTTCTGCTTCACCATCCTCCTCTCCTCTATCAGCTTCCAGGTATCCGTCGAGATCCATTCCTTGTCTTCTTTCTTCTTCCTTCCTAATACGGTTGTGCAGGTTTCTTTCCACATAGCTTTCAAAGACTTCCAGTGTTCTTCCACATAGGTTTCTTCAGGGATGTTCCTCAATATCTACCATTTTGTCCTGATGGCTGGCTGCCGTGAAGAT